TTTTTTAAATAGTAAAATCTTTGCAAAAATTCAATTATTTTAAGAATAAAATTTCACGAAAATTTTCAATTTTTTTCTTATAATTAAATTCTTTTGAAGAGTTTCTTTAAGATTTTTTTTTGAAAATGTAGTTTTTTAAATACATTTAATTAAAATTTTTGTAAGTAATTCAATTAAACAACAAATTTTACTATTTATAAAATTTTTATAAAAATAATAGTTGAATTTTTTCGAAGAATTTATAAAAATTTTAGGAAATATTTGAATTCTTTTGAAAAATTGAATAACGAATATTATTCGTTATAAACTTTTTCAATAGAATTCAATAATTACTAAAATTTTAATAAATACTTCGAAACAATTCAATTATTTTTATAAATAGTAAAATTCTTTGTTTAATTCAATTAAAATTGTTTTGAAAATAATTGAATTTTTTCGAAGGATTTTTTTATTTATGAAAATTATTTAAATCTTTTGAAAAATTTTATAACGAATTAAAAAAATAATTTAATTCTTTCGTGAAATGTTATTGAAAATAATGGAATTTTTGCAAGGATTTTACTATTTAAAAAAATAATGAAATTATTTCGAAGGATTTATTAGAATTTTTGAAAATATAAACAATAATAATTAATTTTGTACCTAAGTGAATTTTTTAAATTTTTATTACGAAATTATTTAAAAATTTATATTTGAAAATAAAAATTTTTTCTAATTTTGTAAAATAATTTATTTACAATATAATTAATTGTAACTGTAATTATAATTAATACGAAAATAATAATAATTGTTTCAGAGGATAAAGGGTGACAAAATGAAGCTGAGAATTTAAAGATTTCATAGGAGAACGAGTGAGTCATCACTCAACTATCTCGTGCAAAATATATACCGGAAGTAAAAGGACTATCTCGTGAGAAAGGTGTGTTTACAATGTTGCAAATGCCACAGAAATGCATTGTAGCGAATGCAATTGACTTAAATATGAGACCGGAAACAATCAGCCAAATATTAAAATTTACAGTAGGAGAAGATGAAAAAACACTTTTTCAAAAAGTCTCCATATACTGAAAATAATTATTAAAATACGAATATAACAAAGTATAAAAGAAATTGAATACATAAATTTTCTTAAGAATAACAAATAAAGAAATACCACTTTATATCTTACTCCTACTTGAAAGTATAATATTCAATGAATGACATAACTCATCGTGACAAAAATCCTACATTTCAATTTACAAAACAATTGTTGAAATTCTCAGCCATTTATTACGAATTTTTGTTATTTTCAGAAAAAGAATATTTTTTTAGTAATATTTATTTAATAGTAAATATATTTAATATTTATTTTAAATAATATTTTATTTTTCTATATTTTATAAATAAATAAATGATAATAAAATAATAAATTACTTTAAAGTGTTCAACGGTGAATATAAAAAATAGTGACAAAAAAAATAAATTCGTTTTGTTATAAATTATAAATAAAATGGTTTCGTTAGTTTAGTTAATTTTTCTTCTTTTATTAAATTATTGAAAAAATTTGTTTAGTTATCGAATTATTTAGTATTTACAATTTTTTAAATTTAACAATAGAATTTATAAATTCATTTTGCAATAAATACAAAGCAAAATAAATAGTAGAGAATAAATAATAAAATAAAAAAATAAAAGAAATAATAAAAAAAAATAACACATAGAAATTTTATACAAAAAATTTTACAAAAAAATGGAAAAATTAAATTAAAAAAAATTAAATAAAAAAATTCCTTTACGTTCTCTGAAAGGCATTGTTTGGCTTCAATAGAATAAATCCAATTTATTCTAAAAGGTCAGTGAAAGGTATTTGGAAATTTATTGATCAATCACTCGTGAATAATAAAAAAAAATTTTCAGTTAACCTTGAGGCATTGAACTCAATTGTCCTAAATATTAAAACCATTTGACATTATGGGGAATAAAATTTATGAAACAAAGAAGGAAATAATATAATATAAAGTGCGATGAGTAATGAATAGACAAACTGAATACATATTACTGACAACGATTACGTTACGTATTAATATGAATAATTCCGTGTGAAATGATCAAGGCCAGAAAATTTTTTTTTTCCAAATTTAGGGAAGTTATTCCGATGGTAATTTTTGATGAAAATTGTTTTTCCATTTAGACAAATATTTTCTGAGAGGGAGAAGGGTGGAAGTTTTGAAACTTAACGGGACATTAATTTATTACTTTTTTTTCTGTGAAGTAGTAAAATAATTTTTTTAATACAATTTTAGAAATAGGTTTTTACTGTTATTTTTTAATATTAAGTATCTAATATTTTCAAAATAATTTTTTAATATCATTTTTTAATACAAAGTTAAAAATTATTTTTTAATTTAATTTTTAAATAAATGTTAATCTTAGAATATTTTTATTGAAATTTTTTAAAAATTCCATTATTTACAATTACATATTTCTAGAAATTCAAATGACTAATCAAAATAATTACATTAAAAGTTTTTTAAAAAATCTTATTTTTTTATTATTATTCGATTTTTTAAAAAATCAATTATTTTTCAAAATTTTTAAATAAAAGATCGTTAAAAAATAGATTATTTTTTTAAATTGTCCACAAAGTCTTGGTAGATATTCAACTATTTTCGAAAAGATATTATATTTCAATATTTCAAAAAAAATTAATTCTTAAAATATTTTTAAGTTTTTATAATTTATTTTTCTTGAAAAAAAGTAAATTAAAATGTTATAAATTTTAGAGAAAACAATTAATTTAAAAAATTTTTAATTAAAATTCTCTTTTAAACAATTAATCAGTTTTTCAAATTATTCTAAATTTTTTTCAAAGAAATTCAATTATTTTCGAAAAAAAACTTTAAAAAAAAATTACCTTTTTTTTTATCAAATATTTAAAAATTCCATTACATATTTTCAAAAAAGGAAATTAAAATTTTGAAAAAGTAATTCTTAAAAATTTGTTCATTAAAATTGATTAAAATTCAATTCTTTTCAATATTTTCAACTATATATTTTCGAAATTTCAAATATTTATAAAAAGTAATTGAATTTAAATTTTGTAAACAATCTAAATTTTCAGAATTATTTCTTAATTTTGGTCAAAAGAATCTTTCTCTAAATTTTTAATTACAAATCTTCGAAATATTTGTTCATTATAATTTTTTAAAATTCCATTTTTTTCAATATGTATTTTCAACAACTATATATTTTGGAAATTCAAATATTTATGAAAAGTAATTAAATTATTTTGTAAACAATCAAAATTTTCAGAATTATTATTTAATTTTGGTCAAAAAAATAGTTTTCTAAATTTTTAATTACAATTGTTCGAAAAATTGATTAGTTTTTTAAACTGTTCAAAAGTTCTTCTGAGAAGTTCAACTTTTTTCTCGAAAAATTATGTGAAAATAATTTCGAAAAATTAATTCTTAAATTTTTTTATCCTAATTTTTAAAATTCAATTATCGTTAAAGAAAAGTAAACTAAAATTTTTCAAAAATTTACATTTTTAGACTTAGGTATCATTAGAATTTTTGAGAAATAATGTATTCTTTCGTTTTTTTAATCCAAATTTTTCAAAAAACTTAATTAATTTTTTTTAAAATAATTATTCAAAAATTCTTTTAAAAAATTCAATTATTTTCGAAAAATGTTACTCTAAATTTGAATTATTTGAAAATTTTTCAATTCCTGGTACGAAATAAAAATGCTATTGTGTTTCAAAAATTATTTAAAAGTATCTTTAAAAATTAATTTTAAGAGTTTCTTTTTTATAATTTTTTAAAAATAAATTATTTTTAATATTTTCCACTGTTTGGATATTGTTTTACTGACAATTTATTTTGTATGACTTCTCATGTTAAACGTTTTTACTGTTTTGTTAAGATATTTTTATTTTTCGAAAAATATGTTTTGTAAGATATTTTTTCTTTTGGTAAAATATTTTTTTATAAGATATTTTTTCTTTTGGTAAAATATTTTTTTTTCTTTTTTGGTAAGTTATTTTTATTTTTCTATTAAAACAATTGTATTATTAATGTATATTACCTAAAAATACTACAATACCCCAAGTTTGAGTGTGATTAAAGAATTTTTTTTCCACCTTGATCACCTCAAATGGAAACGCTCAATAATGATATGTTTATTGATTCCAATCACAATTACGTGATGATATTCGAGTAGAATAGAAATATTACGAAATTCATTCATATTAAAACAAATTTAAAAAGAATTGAAAAAAGTATAAAATAATTCAAAAAAGAATTGTAAAAAATTAAAACCATAAAAAAAAAAGAATTTGAAGAAGTAAAACATAATTCTAAAAATTAAAACTAATTTTAAAACGGAATTTAAATAAAAAATAATTCAAAAAAACTAAAAATAATTATACATAAATTAAAAATTATTTTTAAAAAATAAAAACTTAATTTAAAAAGTGAAGAATAAAATTTAAAAAATTAAAATGAATGAATTTAAATTGTTTCAAATTAACAATTGTAAAGATTTCATACTTTTCCTTTTCCGAAATTTAAAAGGGAAGAAGAGTTGTAAAGACAAGAAAATCAACATATTTTCTTTCTATACCGGCGAATACGAAAAATAAAAAATTTTCCCGCTTTTTTTTGGGATCTATTCTATACTTAATTAGTTCTCTCAACCGTTAAATGAAAAAAATTACTCTAAATTTGGAAAATAATATAAAATGTATTTTAATTCTCTCATTTCTAAAGTTCTTTTTATAATGTCAACATTTTTTGTTTTTATAATAAAAGAATATATTTTCTATTCTAAAATTGTATATATCTAAATATTTAAATTTTCTGCGAAATTATTGCAAGACTTGAATCAAACATTCCATCTGGTTTTATAATCGAAAAAAAGTTTTTTGTCAAACAAAACTAGACTCATTGATATTTAAAGACAAGTCTCGGTTGCAATAAAAATTCCTTTCTTTATTTCCTTAAAAAAAAAAACTTCACTTTATATATTCTGTTATTTATTAATAAGTGAGCAATTCTTAATTAACTAATATCACATAAATGTACGAACATATATTCCTTTTATTTCCATAAGTGTCTTTTCATCAGTTCAATTTGCTTTTAAAAATGTATTTACAGTTTTTTTTTGTTTTTGTTCTTTTTTTTTGTTTTTGTTTTTGTTGCCTTAGTTCAGATGTTTCATTCCTTTTGCTTTCCAAGCAACAAGAAGATTCCAAGCAAAATAGAGAGAGAACAAATGTACTTGCGAGGCAAGTAATATAAATCCATACCATAAAACCCCATACGGTAAACCCTGGAAATATTTTCTCTTTTTTATTGTTTTCTGATGATAAAAAGCAGAGAGGATTTAATTTGAAATTGAAAAAATTTTTTGTCAACTCACCTGCCACATTTGAATACTTGTTGTATCGTCATTACTTAAATAGGTCCAAACATCTTTGGAATAATAGATCAATGCGTAGAGAATTGGACCAAAACAGACGACAATTACACTCAGCATGTAGTGTTTAATTCTTTTTATTCCATTTTCCCTTATGGCTTTTAATCCCAGATATGAAAATGGTAATCCTATGCACCATATCCACTCCCACCAGAGTGCCTGAAAAAATTGTTTTTTTAAGAATTGAAAACAAATTTAAAACTATAAAAAAATGGAGGACTAAGTAAAAAGGGGTTTTTTGGTTTTTATAAAAGAAATTCAATTTGGAAAAAGGGAATTTTTTCAATTCAAAAAAAAAATTATTAGACAGACCTCTGTTAGCTTACGCCAACAGAGGCTTGTCTAATAATTTTTGGGAATTTTTTTTGACTAATTTCAAAAAAGACAAAATGTAAAAAAAAATAAAAAAAAAAATTTAATTTTCATGACTTTTCTTCCAAGTATTGCAATAAAATAAAATAAATACTTTCTTTTGATTCAAAGTGCAAATTATTTTGATTTGAAATAGCTGTAAAAAATAACTATTAAACAAATCTTTCAAAAATTATTTTTCAATCAATTTTACAAGATAATTAATTTTTCAAAATAATTAAAATATTTAATTAAATAATTGAAATTTTGTAAAATTTAAAAAATTAACCTTTCAAAAATTTTAATTGCAAATTTTGGAAAAATAATTGAATTCTCCAAAATTTTAATGAAAAATCTTCAAATGAAAATTAGCGTCAAAAAATTGTATTAAAATATTTTTTAAAAAAGTATTTCTTAAAATTTTCTCTAAATTTAATTTTTTAGAATTATTAAAATTTATGGCAAATTCGATAATTTTCAAAATAAAAAAGATAATTCTTCACAAAATTGATTAGATTGTGAAATTGTGTGAAAAATCTTTTCTGAAATTTAATTATTTTCAAAAAATCACCATTACAATAATTTAAAGAACTAATTCTTCAAATTTTGTTATTCTAATTTTTTAAAATTCAATTTTCTTCAAAAAAAGGTAAATTAAAATTTTTTAAAATCTACTTTTTTAGATTTATCATTAAAATTTTGTAAAAATAATGTATTTTTATAATTTTAGTTAAACTTTTTCAAAAATTCTTTTAAAAAATTCAATTATTTTCGAATAATTTTACTAAAGTTGAATAATTTGGAATTTTTTTATTTTATATTTAATAAAGTCTATTATTTATCTTTCAATAATTATTTTTGAATGATTTTCGTAAGTCAATTAAATTTTTGAAATATTTAATTAAACAGATTTTACATTTAATTGAATTTCTTTTAAAGTATATTAAAAAAATAATCGACTATTTACGTGATTTATTATTTTGAAGAATTTTATTAGTAACATATCTTGAAAATAAATGAATTCTCAAAATTTTTGCCAAAAAAATTTTTTTTTAAATTCTATTAATAAAATCAATTATTTTCAAAAATTTTGTTTTGGGTTTCAACCGATTTTATTATAAATTTTGAATTTTAAGTCTGTTTTAAATATGAAAATTAAAAATTCAATTCCAAAATTTATAGGAAAATCAACTAGGACCCAAAACTAATGAATGTTTTTTGGGTTTCTTTATATTTGTTTTTAAATAATATTAAACTCTCGAAGAAATTTTCTTCTTTATTAAAAATAATTGAATTTCCACCAAAAAAATTGTATTATTTATTGAAATTAATTAAATTCCTGTGAAGAATTTTTTATTAATTGAAAATAATTGAATTTCTGCAAGATATTTTATTATTTAAGAAAAAATAGAATTTTCGCAAAGAATTTTATCCAAAATTTCTACGGTTATTGAATTGATTTACTAGAATTTTATAAATATCTTTTAAAATAATTGAATCTCTGTGAAATATTGTATTATTATTGAAATAATTGAATTTCTGCGAAGAATTTTTTTAATTTATGAAAATAATTGAATTGTTTCGAATAATTTTATTAAAATGCTTGAAAATAATTAAATTCTTTCAAAGGAATTGAATTAAATTTAAATTTAAAATTAATTGATTCTTTATAATGAAAAATTTATCAACATTTTTTTAAAAGAATTGAATTTCTTCAAGATATTTGATTATTTATTAAAAATAATTGAATTCTTGTGAAGAATTTTATCAAAATTTTTGATAATATTCGAATTTCTTCGAATAATTTCATTAAAATGCTTGAAAATAATTAAATTTTTTCGAATGAATTGAATGAAATTTAAATTTAAGTTAATCGAATTCTGGTGAAGAATTTTATCAATAACTTTGCAAATAATTAAATTATTTCGAATAATTTTATTAAAATGCTTGAAAATAATTAAATTCATTCAAAGAAATTGAATAAAATTTTAATTTAAAATTAATTGAATCTTTATAATGAAAATTATTAACACTTTTTAAAAGAATTGAATTCTTTCAAGATAATTTGATTATTTATTGAATATAATTAAATTCTTGTGAAGAATTTTATCAAAATTTTTGATAATATTTGAATTTCTTCGAATAATTTCATTAAAATCCTTGAAAATAATTAAATTTTTTCGAAGGAATTGAATGAAATTTAAATTTAAGTTAATTAATTCACCAGAAGGTGAAGAATTTTATCAATAATTTTGCAAATAATTAAATTATTTCGATTTTTACTAAAATGCTTAAAAATAATTAAATTCTTTCAAAGTAATTGAATTAAATTTAAATTAATTCAATTTTCATAATGAAATTTATCAACACTTTTTAAAAGAATTTGAATTCCTTCAAGATATTTGATTATTTATTGGATATAATTGAATTCTTGTGAAAAATTTTATCAAAATTTTTGAAAAGAATTTAAATTCTTTAGTAGAATTGTATTAACATTTTTGACAGCAATTGACATTGTTTCCAAGAATTTTATTATTTAGGAAAAAAATTTAATTCTCGCAAAGAATTTTATCAAAATTTTTTATGAAAAAAAAATGTTATTGAATTCATTAACTAGAATTTTATAAATATCTTTTAAAATAATTGAATTTCTGTAAAAAATTTTATTATTATTGGAATTTTATTAAGGAAATAATTGAATTGTTTCGAATAACTTTATTAAATTGCTTGAGAGTAATTAAATTCTGTCGAAGAAATTTAATTAAATTCATTTTAAGTTAATATAATTTGAATCTTTAGGGGAGAGGGCCCCAAGGTGGTCAGGGCCCTAAGGTGGTCACCCTAAGAAAATTTTGTTATATTAGTTAGTATCTTCAAATGTTTTTTGTTATTGTTATTATTTGAGAAGACAAAGATTTTAGTAAAGTTTTGAGGTAAATAGTCGTATGAGTCTCTTTGTAACGTGAACATCGTAAAATTTCTGTTTATAAATGATCGAGAAATTTTTTTCTCAGGGTGTTAAAATCATCGAAATTAACCATTTTAAATTAGTAAAAATCGTTATAATTATCTTTATATATCGTACAATAATATTCCAAATGAATATAATTAATATTGTGCTTTAAAAAATTTTTTCATCAACGTTTAAAAAATTGTGTCTTGGCCCTAAGGTGGACACTTTTTTGGCCACAAGGTGGTCACTTTTGATTTTTTATGAAAATGTGTTTATACGCCATATTTATCAACATTTATCACTGTGAATGTGAATTTTATCAATTTTTAAGTTTTATAATGAATAATAATGAAATAGAAGTATTTTCAAAATTTTACCTATCTAATACATACACAAAAAGTATCATTTTTGACGAAAGGACAAAGTGCAAAAAAAAATATGTAATATGTTTCTGTTAACCTGAAAAACAATTAATATTAAATAAACAACTTAGTAATACGTTTATTACATTTTTTAAAAACTTTTTTAGTGAATTTTTGTATGGTGACCACCTTGGGGCCACTTTTTTAAAAGTCGAATTTTCAACTTTTTTTAAAAAGTGCCATAACTTTTTTTTTATTAATGAAATGAAAAAAACTTTATGATAGGAAGTTAGGTAATAAGATAAAGTTTCAAACGCCGTATTATTGACCTTTATATATAATTCCATTTGAAATCTACAGTCGTTCAAAAGATGGGTGACCACCTTAGGGCCCTCTCCCCTACAATGAAATTTATCAAAATTTTTTTAAAGAATTGAATTTTTTACAGATATTTGATTATTTATTAAAAATAGTTGAATTCTTTTTTTTTATCATAATTTTTTAAAATAATTAAATTATTAAGTAGAATTCATTGTATTAACATTTTTTAAAATAATTGGAATTGTTTCAAAGAATTTTATTATTTATGAAAAAAATTGAATTATCGCAAAAAATTGTTATGATTATTGAATTCCTTTACTAGAATTTTATAAATATCTTTTAAAATAATTGAATTGTTTCAAAAAAATTTTGAATTGTTTCGAAGAAGAATTTTATTAAAATTTTTAAGATTAATTTTCGTATTTTAACTATAGTGCAAATTTAAAAAAAAAGTAGCTTTTAGTGTCACAAATTTAAAGAAGTATCCAAATAGCTATAGCTAATCGTAAAAGAGGTAGTGAATAGTATAGGTTTTAGTAGATGAGCGCGAAGCCTGTTTTAATATTAAAAAAAGAGTTTAATATATTTTAAAAAATAGTTTAATATTAATCCAATGATTAATAAAATCTATCAGGTTTATAAAAGAATAAAAAATCGAAAATTCCATAATATTTACCTGTGGTATTTGTAATTCTTCTATTTCCAAAATAAATATATCGAAAAAATCTAGAATATCTGCTGACAATTTACCCAGCATGACAAAGAATAATAGGTAATGAAAAAATATGCACCATTTCAGTCTTGACTTATTGATAACACTGAAAATAAAAAAGAAAACATTTTTTTAATACAATTCGATTTCAATTTTAAAAATCTTGACATAAAGTAACAATAAAATTTCACTTGACAAAAGAAAATTGTTACAAACAGTCATGAATAATTTTATTTCCATATTATCAACATCGATTATTCTTAACTTTTTTCACAACAATAAAAAAAAGTTGACAACTTTACCTTTTTCAATAATAAATGAAAATTAAATTAAACTGTATATATTGAAAGGAGCTTAAGAGCTTAAAATACCCGAAGTGTACTTCCATAAATATATTATCTTTTGATAAATAATTATAGTTCAATATGGAAAATGGATTTATGTATTAAAAATAAAAATACATTACAAAAAAAGAGAAAAAGAGAGACAAAAATGTAAATAAATTGTTTTTGTATTTTAAAAATAGGTTAGAAACGAACGCCAAGTTAGAAATGAAATTTAAAGTTTATAACAAACATTCTAATTGTCAAACTTTTTGAATATTTTGAAAGTTCATTATGCGTACCTTAGTTGATATTGTCCTGCAACTTTTTGTCTATGTGAAAAATCACTGCCATCAGTGCCAAATGCTTGATGAGCAGAACTTCGAACAGACATTTTTTTGTTTCTCACAATTTAACAATTTTCCTTATTATAGTTTTATTGGAAAATCAATTTTTTTTTTGCCTTTTAAATGATGAACAATTTTTTGAAGCGCAACCAAGGTAAAACATCACACTAATACCAATCGGCCCACCGACGAGTGCAACTATTTTTAAACGTGGAACAAATTACAAAATCAAAAAAGAAACTCGTGGACCCTGTTAAAGCGGATGCGCAGACATCTGTCAGCATCTTCCGGAATATGTCAACTCACTGGATAACGTTAGAATTTATTTCAATTTTTATATTTTTCCAAGGGGTGTAACTTTTAGAAAAAAAAGAATTTTTAAAATAGATAATATTTAATGGAGATAGTAACAATAAAATTGTAATTAGAGGCTTAATTTTAGGTTTTTGAGAAGAAAATAGTTTGTAAACTTCCTTATCATGGAAAAAAGGCGCGGTTTTTAAAATTTCTGACAGGCCTCGGATTGATTTTTAAGAAGCAAAATAAGTCGCTTTGGTTGATTTAAAGTACAAATAAAAATGAAAATAAATAAATAATAAATTTAAATAATTGAAATTTAAAATTAAAAATTTTTAAATAAATAATAAATTTAAATAATTGAAATTTTTAATTTCAATTATTCGTCGTTTTTTATTCAGAAACTTGGCAATAAAATTTGATTTTCCATTTTTATGACGATTTTTCCTTGATTTCCAAAAAAATTTGTATTTTCAAATATAACAACTTCTATTTTGGAATAATTTCTGATTTAAAATTTAAAAACAAAAATCACTTACTAACCTAATTAATTATTATTATATATTATTTACAAAGTTTAAAAAAATTTTCTTGGAATAATTCATTGCAAGAATTCAATTATTTTTATAAATAATAAAATTCTTCGAAAGAATTCAATTATTTAAAAAAATTTTAATAAAATTCTTCACAAGAATTCAATTATTTTTAATAAATAATCAAATATCTTGAAGAAATTCAATTCTTTTAAAAAATGTTGATAAATTTTTTATTATAAAGATTCAATTAATTTTAATTAAAATTGAATTCAATTCTTTCGAAAGAATTTAATTATTTTCAAGCATTTTAATAAAATTCTTCGAAACAATTCAACTATTTTCATAAACAAAAAAATTCTTCACAGAAATTCTTTTAAAAAATGTTGATAAATTTCATTATAAAAATTCAATTGATTTTAATTTCAATTGAATTCAATTCCTTTGAAAAAAATTAATTATTTTTTCAAGTATTTTAATAAAATTATTCGAAATAATTTAAATATTTTCAAAAATTTTAATAAAAAATTTTAATAAATCCTTCGAAACAATTCAATTATTTTTAAAACAATTTTAATTGATCATTGCAATGGGATTTTTTTTGGAAATAATTGAATTTCAGAAAAGATTTTCTTGGAAAATTTTTCACAATCTAATCAATTTTGTGAAGAATTATCTTTTTCAATTTTGAGAAAATTATTGATTTTGCCAAAAATTTTAATAATTCTAAAAAATTAAATTAAATTAAATTAAATTAAATTTTTACAAAAATTTTAAAAAATACTGTTCTGCTTTTTTGAAAAATATTTTAATTAATACAACTTTTTGAAGCTAATTTTCATTTAAAGATGTTTCATTAAAATTTTGGAGAATTGAATTTTTTCCAAAATTATTGCAATTAAAATTCTTCAAAAATTGATTTTCAAAAATAGTAATAAAATACTTGAAAAAAATCAATTATTTTCCATAAAATTTTACAAAATTTCAATTATTTAAAAACGAATTAATTATTTATCTTCAATACTTGATTATCTTGACAAAATTTATATGTAAAAATAATTTTTGAAGGATTTGAATATTATTTTTTCACAATGTAAAAGTCGAAATAAGTTTCATTTTCTACTAAAAAAGTGATATTTTTGTTTCAATGATTGTAAGAATAGTAAACAAAGGCTCAATTTTTAAAAATAGTAAACAAAAGTCCAAAAAGTCATATCTGAGGCCTGCATTTTAAAAGAAAATTTAAAAAATGTTGATACAAAAATTATCTGTGGAAAAAGTAAAAATTGTTATTAAAAATCGTTATTCCCAGAGCAAATTTTACAATATCCGGAGTAAATATTAATAAAAATTAGTAAAATATACTTTTAATTTAGTAAAATTTGTTCTGGAAAACATACAAGTTGACAAAAATTCCAAATATTTTGGATTTTACTCTGTAAATAGTAACAGTTATTTTATATTATAAAATTATGAACTTTGATTAAATTAAATTAAATTAAATTATAAAGTTTAAAATTAATAAATTAATAAAAAATTGTGAAATTAAGAACTTAGAATTGTAATATTAATAAATTTGGGTAAAATTCTTTAATTTACCCTTTTCTAAAAAAAAATCAGAAACTTTCTGCAATTAAAAGCAATGCTTTATTTTGTTTAAATAAATTAAAAATTGTGTTTATATAGACAATAAGAATTATATTGTTCAATACGAGTAACAAACAATTCATCATTCGTGCACGTAGAAGATAATTACTAAAAGTAATAAATACTTTCTGGCACATTTAAAACGAAATGCAAATATTTAAATCCAAATTTCAATTAACATATTATGCATAATAATAATAAAATAATTGAAGTTGGTACTTTGCACCACAAACTATGAAAAACATCGACATTTACAAAAAAAAAACCAACGTTTTTCATTCTTAAAAAAAAAAAATTGTGACTATAAACTTTGTAATATAAACAAAGTTTCAAATTGTACTAAATAAACACGAGAGACTTTTTGTTTTCTTTTTTCTATGAAAATAAAATATGTGATGTAAATGAATATTTAACAATCTTATAAACGTAAAGGCGATACGATTGTTTTTTTAACATAAAAAAAAACAATGTACTGCGAGAAATTGTGTAATCAGTCTTGTATCGCTCGGACTTATGTACTTGTAAAAAATTTTGACTATCACAAAAAAATGTTTTACAATCTAAATACACATTTTCACACTTTTTTCCCCCTCTTTCTATATACTTTGGTTTTCACATCTCGCATTGCATTATTAAATTAATAATAAATTCTTAGGTAGTAGTTGTTTAATGATTAAATTAATATTTTCATGTTAAAAATAAACTCTTTAATCATCTTCGATGAAAATTTTGTTCGTAAAATTCTTTCGTTATTGACATTATTTATCGCTTTATGAAAATTTCATTAGAGTACATTATAAATAAATGTATATTTATATTTTATATTTTTATTTGTCAATAATTTAATAATACTTCCTTCTTTTTTTTTAATAATATATAAAATAGCATTCCTTTTTTTTAAATAGTAAAATAGAAGAATTTAAATTGAGGATATTTTTAAAAATGTAGTGAATGCAATGCGAGTGTCGAAAATGAAAACAATCTTAAAAATAGACAAAGTAAACTTTACAAAGGTACCTGTGTATGGCGCCAGGTTTAACAGTCATTCTTTCTTAAATAATCCACTCTCATTTATGCGCACATCCAACATTGAAGAAATGAAATAATTCCTTTCTATTTTTGTTTTAGGAATCACCTTAATATTCCTCTTCATCATAGCCGTAATAATCATCCTCGTCGCCTTCCTCATTGCCTCCCAATAAAGCTTTCATTCCCATTTCTGGTTGGTCCTGCTCCTCGACTTCATCGTCAACGTAGTCGTCTGCCTCGTCGACTTTGGAAATTAATTAAAATTAGATATTTGAATGTATTGATCTTGGAAAATTGTTAATAAAAGGAAAATTAAAATTTGGAAAATAAATTATTTTAATTTATTGAAATAAATTTAAAATATATTATAAACACTAGTAAATAATACGCGAGACACGTAGACTTCAATTTATTATTATTCAAACCTTTTTGAAATTCAACAGCTTATAAAAATATTATAAAAAATGAAGAAATCGAGTACTCCAAGTCTTCGACTCGGACTACTCGATTTCTTCATTTTTTTATAATAATTGAAGATGATCGAGTGATAAAATCATAATTTTATGTTACAAGAAATATTATTATTATTGTAACTTCTTCAAAATTATTTTCATCATTTAAATTCAATTATTATTTTCCAAAATTTTCAAGTGAAATTTTAAAAATTAAAAATTTTCTTTAAATCAATTATTTTTAATAATTTTTAAAAAAAGGTCCCTAAGAATTTTTAAATTTATTTGTTAACAATTCAATTTTACGAAATTTCGATTATTAAGGAAATTCCTTAATTAAATATATATTAGAAAATAAAAAATTGAAATAATATCAAATATAAATAAATAAATTCTATTAAACTTTTTCCAAAAAAAATTAATTCTTCACAATTGTTACTTAAAAGTGCGAAAAATTAAAAATTTTCCAAAATTTTAATTGATTTATGAAAATAATTGAATTCCTAAAACGAATTTTATTATTAACGAAAATAATTGAATTTATAAAACGAATTTTTTATTTATAAAGATAATTGAAATCCTGTAGTAAATTTTATTAGTTATGAACATAATTGAATTATTACAAAGAAATTTATAAAAAAATTTGTAAATATGTAATTGAATTTCGGAGAAGAATTTTTATTATTGAAAATTTTACGAGAATTGAATTATTTAAATACAAAAATAAATAATTTGTAGAATGTGAGATTACTTTTTTTGGATTGAATTCACATAAAGACTTTTATCCACAAATTTTTAAATAATAGAATAATTGAGTTCTTTTGACGAATTTTAATAAAATTTTTAAGAAATAATTACATTTTTCAAGGAATACGATTAAATTTGTTCAAGAAAATAATTAAATTCCTGAAAAGAATTTTATTATGTATGAAAATAATTGAATTATTACCAAAAATTTTATAAAAAATTTGTAAATAATTGAATTTAGGAGAAGAATTTTATTTATTTTGAAAAATAAATGAATGAATGAATTTTACTACTTATAAAAATAATTGAATCTCTGTAAAAAAATAGGGTAGAAGCACCAGTTTTGGCCACTTTAACACCAGTTTTGGTCACTAGTTAATACTTCTCGTAATTATTTATATTATAGTTTATTTAAGTATTTTACTTAAGGAAATACTTAAAATCCTGTAGTACTATATTATTATAATAAGAAATATTAATTGTAGTAAATAATTAAATAAAAATTTTATAAAAATGGCCACAAACGGTACAGTGGCCACAAACGGTACTTCTACCCTACGACAATAATTGAATTCCTGAGAAATTGTTATTATACATAAAAACAATTATATGTTCGTGTAGAATTTTATTGAATTGTTTTTAAATAATGGAATTCTTTTGGAATTGAGGAAAAGTTTTGAAAATAATGGAAATTTTTTAAAAGATTTTATTAAAATTTTTGAAGATAATTGAATTTTGGAGAAGAATTTTATTATTTATAAAGATAATTGAAATTTTTACGAGAATTTCAAAAAATTTTTGAAAATAATTGAATTTTTGCAATCATTTGTAAATTTTTCAAAATCTAATTATTTCTAAAAATTCCGCTACAAATATTATAATTAATACTTTAAGTATTCAATTATTATCTAACATTTTAATTGTAATTCATTTTTAAATCAATTTTTTTTTGAAAATTTTACGAGAATTGAATTATTAAAATACAAAAATAAATAAATTGTAGAATAAGAGATTATTTTTAAAAATAAAATTCTCATAAAGCATTTTATCTATTGAAAAATAATTGAATAATTGAGTTCTTTCGACGAATTTTAATAAGAATTTTAAGAATAATTACATTTTTCAAGAAATACTATTAAATTTGTATTAAAAATAATTGAAATTCTTCAATTATTAGTTTTGTTTATGAAAATAATTAAATTCCTAAAAAGAATTTTATTATTTATGAAAATAATTGAATTCTTGCAAAGAAATTTATAAAAATTTCCAAATAATTGAATTCCTGTAAAATTATTATTATTATTTATGAAAATAATTAAATGTTTATGTAGAATGTTATCAATATTTTAAAAATAATTGAATTCTTTTGGAAAAATTTCATTAAAATAGTAGATAATTAAAATTATTGAATTGAAAAAAAGTTTTGAAAATAATTGAAATTTTTGCAAGAACTTTATTTAAATATTTGAAAATAACTGAATTTCGAAGAAGAATTTTATTATTTAAAAAGATTATTGAAATTTTTAATAGAATTAAAAAAATTTTTTAACACAAATTGAATTTTTGCAAAGAATTTTAGTTAAAAATTCTAGAAAATAATTTAATTTTAGAAGAATTAGAGTTGTAATTTTTAAAAATAATTAAATTTTAGAAGATTTGTAATTAAAATATAAGACATTGAAAATCTTTGAAATGAGGAAATTTTTTGAAAATAATTGAAATTTTGTCAAAAAATTTGAAAAACAATTGAATTTCTCTGAAGAATTTTATTACTTTTGAAAATAATTAAATATCTGGTATTTGTAACTTTTACATTTTTTTTGTGTTTTTAACTAAAATTCTTCTTTGAATTTATTATTTTTAATATAATTATTTAAATATAATTGTGATCGCAACTCATTTAAAATTCAATTAATTTTGAAATATTTAAGTAAAATTATTCATTAAATAATTTCTAAATAATAATTTTATGATACTTTTTCAAGAATTAAGAAAAAAAGAAATTATTATCAGAGATAGAAAAAATTGAACGTTTTGTATTAGAATTCGTGGTAATTTCATAGTTTATAAGGCAAACGAAAAAGATTTTAAAAATTCAGAATTTTCTTATGAATTCTAAAAATTTAATTCTTTCCAGTACTTTCAATGAAAATCCCTGATTTTTCCCTGATTTTTATATAATTCTAGTAAGAATTCAATTACTTTCAAAATTTGTTTTATAAAATTTTTCTCGAGAATTCAAGTATCGAGGTTTTGAATTTTCGATGTTTTGAACATTCTGAAACAACTTTTAAGGATTTAAACATTCGGGGAGTTGAACTTTTGAGTTGTTGAGTAGTCGACGTTTTGAATTTTCGAGAAGAATATCGAAAATTCTAAACGTCGAATCCTCAATATTTCTGTTAATTATAAATTTCAAAATTTAACTAGTAAAACGGGTACAACAGCTAGTAAGAAATACAAAAATAAATTTAAAAAACTTACAAATTTGTATGAAAACAAAATTATTTTACTGATATTATTAACATCTTAAATGTTTTACTTTAATGCTTATTTAATTAGTCATTGAGAAACTAAAAGACGTAATGTTAGTTTGATAGAAATGTCAAAAATTATTGTAAATTAATATAATTAGAAATTTTAATTTAAACAATTTTAGAAACATACCAATTTCCGATACATTATTCTCAGGTTCCGGGCGCTCTTCCGATGTTTCGGTGGTAGTTTCCGTATGTGAAAGTTTCCTCTTTCTCGTCACATTTTCCTTGTGTACTTGGAAATTTGGTTTCACGTCGAGATTTAATTTTAGTTTTGGTCTAAAACAAATTATTATAGTTTCGATTAATAATAATGATGATGATGTTATAAAAAATCTGCTAATATCATTTTCTTAAATTACTCACTTGGCGATTGAAGATGAAGAAGAATAATTGAATCTATCGACTTTTAATGGCGAAAGGAATGGCGACTCTGGCGGTTGATTCCGTTGATTCGCATCATTAAGTCCTACATCTAAGCTTTTTAATACTTCGTAATTAATTTTAGAAGATATACGTTTCTCTTGCAACATTTTTTCGATAGCTTCGCCTAATAAGAAAATATTAAACTTAATGATTAATAAAATTTTTCAAAATTGAATTAAAAATAATTTTACATTGAAAATTTTAATTAAAATTACAGAATTTATTCTTTGAGAAAATAAAATTTCAAATTTACAATTATAGAAATTTATATTAATAATCGTTGTATCCCGATAATCTGTTCGCAGTTTGAAGTTAGTTGTTGTTTGATTTTTTGTTACCTAACTTTTGAAATAATTTTCCTTTTTAAATGTTTTCAATTTTAAAATTAATGTACTGAAAATCATTCAATTCTTGCAAAGTATTTATCAAAAAATTTAAAAATAATTGAATTTACTGCAAGAATTTTATTCACATTTTTTTCAATAATTGAATTGTTTTAAGGAAATGTAATTAAAATTGTATTGAAAATAATAATTCTTGGCAAGATTTTTATTTAAATTCTTTAAAATAATTGAATTGTTTTGAAGAATTTATTTCAATTTTCTTGAAAATAATGGAGTTTTTTTTAAATAATTGTTACTAAAAATTATAAAAATAATTGAATTTTATCAAGAATTCAATTATTTTCGAAAATTGTAATGAAAATATTTGCAAAAAGTCAATTTATAAATAATTAAAATCTTCGTAAAAAATACAATTATTTTTATATAAATAATAAAATTCCTATCAGGATTTCACTTATTTTCAATACAATTTTAATTGATTTCTTCGAAAATTACAATTATTTTTCAAAATCTTGTAAAAATTCCCCGAGAAATTTCAATTATTTTAAATACAATTTTAATTGAATTCCAGGGAAAATTAAATTATTTTTTAAACATTTTTTTTTAATTCTTCGAAAGAATTCTAAAATAGATATCAATAAATAGTCCATTTTTCACTGGAATTCAATTATTTTAAATACAATTTTTATAAAATTCTTCTCAAAAATTCACTTATTTTTTATTGCAAAAATTTAATTATTTGTAGAAATAATAAATTTTTTCGCTGGGATTCAATTATTAAAAAAAGTTTTAATAAAATTTTATTCAAGAATTCAATTATTTCCAGAAATAATTAAATTGTCGATGTACTAAAATAATCATTGGATTCAAAACAATTCAAAACAATTCAATTATTTAAAAAATTCTTAATAAAAATCTTGTTGCTAAAATTCTTGAAATGAATTCAATTATTTTGAAATGTTTTGTAAAGTATTTATTGAAAACTTTGAAAATTAAATTCTTTTTAAGAATTTCATTAAATTACGTAAAAATAATATAATTTTTAAAAGTATTTTAATTGAAAATTTTGAAAATAATTGAAATTTACAAAGAATTTTATTAAAAAATTTTGAGAAATTTTTAGAAAAATTTTTTTACAATTTTTAAAAAATAATTTAACCTGTTAGAGAATTTTTAATAAAATTTAATTGAAAATAAGTGGGGATTTTCAGAAGAATTTTATTATTTACAAAAATAATTGAATTTTTGACAAGAATTTTACAGTTTATAAATTTTTTTTTCAGAATTGTTAAAAATAATTGAATTTTTATTAAAACTCTTGAAAATAATTGAATTTTAATATTTTTAACAATAATTGTATTCTTTCGAAAAATATTATTAAAATTGTATTGAAAATAATTGAATTCCTTCGAAACATTTTATTATTTATGACAAAAATTGAATTCCTTTCAAGAATTTTATTATTTATGAAAATATTTTCATTCCTGCGATGAATTTTTTTATTTATGAAAATAATTGAATTCTTCCGCAGGATTTTACAATTTATATAAATAATTGAATTGTTTCAAAAAATATTATCTGATTTTTTTGAAAATAATAATTTTTTTAAAAGTTCATTAAAATTGTTGAAAATAATTGAATTTATATTAAAATTCTTGAAAATAAGGCCATTTAATTAATATTTTTAAAAATAATTGTATTTTTTCGAGAAATTTTATTAAAATTGTATTGAAATTAATTGAATTGCTCTAAAGAATTTTATTATTTATGAGAATAATGAAATTCTTGCGAAAAATTGTATTAAAATTTAAATACTAAACAAGAATATTTCATATTCTGTACTCAATAAGTGAATTCTTTAAATTTTGAATCTGTAATCATTTAAAAATTGAAGTTTATTCTTGAAAATATAAAATTTATTAATTTACAAAATAATAATAAATGGCGCGCGTATCATTTGCTAGTAAATAAAAATAAATTGTAAAGAAAATTATAGAAAAATTAAACAATATTACCTGCACTGTTGGCCGGAGTTTGATTATTCTTTTTTCTACCAGCCGTTCTTCTTCTCTTCTTCTCTGGTTTCCCTTCTTCTTTTTCCTTTTTTCGCTTCTCTTCTTTCTCTAAAGAATAAAAAAGTTGTTATTTCCTCCTTATAAGACAATTTTATTTTTATATTTAAAAAATAAAAGTCTATACCTTTTTGGGCTTCTAAATATTTGGCGTTAACGTCGTTCCACAGACTATTTTTACCTTGAGCTTCTTTTTCGGACATTATGTAAGAATCGATTTCGTCGTCATCCAAACCAGTTATGTCCAATTCTCCAGATATCTGGATTTAAAAAATATTTCAAAATTAAAAATTATTATTTCAGTAAATGGTAGTTTTTATTATTACTCAAAGACTGAAAATTATTTACGTTTTCAAATGGCATCGTACGTTTCTCTTTAACCGCATTTTCATTTCCATATAAACTTGTAGAGAGATTCATGGATGCAATATCTGGACCTGTACGATTGAAAAAGAAAATTAGATATTTTATTCAACGTGTTACGTTTTAATGCTTTCATTTCTTTTTCCTTCAACGAACCTAATCCAGTTATTTCTTCTTGCTCTTCAATTACCGAAGTCTCAGCATCATCCGAAAGACAATCTCGTATTACGTTGATATTACTCTCTCGGATAAATTTATCTGCATCGGTTTCTTCAGCAACGACTAGAAATTATTTTTGTTATAATTAATATAAAGTAATAATTTAATTTTAATTATTTATTGAAATTAATTTACAACATTAACAAAATTAATTAATTACAATTCTTAAAATTTAACTTTTGTCTGGGCTCTCAAAATTAATTTTTCCCAGGTAATTTAACTTTTGGTTTGTTTTTTTGTTTAATTTTTTTTCAAAAAACAAAAAAATTGAGAAAATAAAAAATAAAATTATTTGTAAAAATATTTCTATCTGTTAAAATGTCTGTGAAATTTTGTTCGCGCATCGTGTTAAAACGTCTAGACCGATTGAAATGAAACTTGGCAGTCTTTTAGGTATTAGTCTCTGACTTAAAATATTAGCCATAGCGAATTATACTTTCTGTACTTCACTTTTTGTGAGCGATAAATTATCTTTCAAGAGTAGAATTTAAAGCATCTCTGACAAATTTAAAGTCGACGGGTAAGAAATGAGAAAATAAAATTTCAAATTTATGATTATAAAAATAAATTGTAATTTTAATCGATTGCTTTTCAACTTTGTAGACAAGTTATTTATTAATGGTTTCTATTAGAAAAAAAAAAAACTCATTATGTAATTAATTGTACTTAAAATAAATATTTAATTATTATTATTTTTACGTAGAAATTAAAATTATTCAAAACATTCAAAATCAAATCTTTTCGAAATTTAACAATTTATACAATTATTACATATAAAACATGAAGATATCGATAACTCCCAGTCGTCGACTCGGAGTCATCGACTTCTTCATGTTTTATATGTAATAATTAAAAATGACCCAGTGACAAAATCATTAATTTATATTATACAAGAATATTGTTACTGTAACTTCTTCAAAATTATTTTCATCATTTCAATTCAATTATTACTTTCTAGAATTTTTAACTAAATTTCTTCTCAAATTCAATTATTTTTAATAAATTTCAAAAAAATTCTTTTTGAGAATTTTCGAATTCATTTCTTTACAATACAATTTTACGTGAAATTCCGGTTATTCGGAAGTTCTCCAATAAAATATATTTTGTAGAAAATAAGAAATTCAAATAATTTAAAAAAAAAATTTAATTAAACTTTTTCAAAAATTTTAATTTGCAAACCTTTTCAAAATTCAATTATTGCTAACAAAATTCAAGCTATAATGCTTTTTTAATATTGTGAAGAATTTTATGAAAATCTTAAAAAATAACTAAATTCCAGTTAAAAATATTGATTTTTTTTAAAAGAATTGAATTTTTGTGAAGAATTCTGTTACTTTCAATTTCAATTTAAATTCAATTCTTTCCAAGAACTTTATTTGAAATATTTTAAAATAATTGAATTTTTGCGAAGAATTTGATATTTTTTTTAAATAATTGAATTCCTGATAAAAATTTTGTTATTTTTGAAAATAATTTAATTTCTGCGAAGAATTTTATGAAATTTTTGAAAATAATTGAATTCCTGATAAAAATTTTGTTATTTTTGAAAATAATTGAATTTCTACGAAGAATTTTGATATTTTTAATGATAATTGAATTCTGGACAAGAATTGTATTACAATTTTTTAAAAATAATTGAATTTCTTCGAATTTTGTAAAAATTTTTTTAAATAATTGAACACCTACTAAGAATTTTGTTCTTTATGAAAATAATTGAATTCTTACGACGAATTTTGTTATTTATAAAGATAATTGAATTCTTGTCAAGAACTTTATTAAAAAGTTTTGAAAATAATAGAATTTTTGCGAAGAATTTGATAATTTTTTAAAATTATAGAATTCCTGATAAAAATTTTGTTATTTTTGAAAATAATTGAATTTCTGCGAAGAATTTTAATACTTATAATGATAATTGAATTCATGACAAGAATTTTACGAAATTCTTTAATTAAATATATATTAGAAAATAAAAACTTTAAATAATAACAAAAATTTAAATAAACGTTTCCAAAAAAAAGTAATTCTACAAAATTTTTAGTTAAAAGTATGAAAATTCAGATTTTTTAAAATTTTAATTTGAAACATTTTCAAAATTTAATTATTTCTAAAAATTACAAATGCTATTTTATAGGTTTCCTTTAAAGTTTTTGAGATGAAAAGAAAAATTCAAAAACAATTCAAGATTTTCAATATTTTCGAATGAAAATAATTGAATTATTGCGAAGAAATTTATAAAAAAAATTGTAAATAATTGAATTTCTACGAAATTCTTATTATTTGTGAAAATAATTAAATTGCGTTGAATTTTATTTAAATATTTTTTCTAAATAATTGAATTATTTTGGAAAATTTTATTAAAATAGTAGATATTGAAAATCATTGAATTGAGGAAAATTTTTGAAAATAATTGAATTCCGGTGAAGAATTTTATTATTTGAAAAGATAATTGAAATTTTAACAAAAATTTTAAAAAATTTTTGAACATAATTGAATTTTTGCGAAGAATTTTATTACTTGTGGAAATAATTGAATTTCTGCAATCATTTGTAACTTCTCAAAAATTCAATTTTTTAATTGTTTTTAACAAAAATTCTTCTATATAAATCAATTATTTTTAATAATTAACTAAATATATAATAAAAATTTAACGAAGTTTAGAAGAATTTGAATTATTAAAATTTTTCAGAAAGCCAAGTCCTTTAAAATTTTTAATTACATTCTTTCAAAATTGAAATTTTATAAAATTTCAAATTAAAACCTTTTGAAGTTCACATATTTATGAAAATTGTGTTTTTTTTTTGTTATTAAATTAAGAAAATTACTGATGCATTGAATAATTAAAAAACAAAAAGAAAAAATTTAATTTAATTTAGAAATTCTAAAAAAATTACATTTCTGAAATGAATTATTAAAATAAATTTTGTACTTAGAAGAAATTTATTACAATTTTTAAAAATAGTCTTGTCTTTGAAAAAAAATATTTAAAAACTGTAAAGCTCTTTTTGAAATTTATGAAAAAAATTTAATTGTTTTAATAATATATATATTTCTTGTTAAAAATACGTCGGATAAAGTTTTCCTTTTGAGAAAACATCAATGATTATTAATAATGTAAAAAATACAAAAAAGGGAAATTTAAAACAAAAATCGAGTCGAGCTCTTTTCGAAATTTACGATTCAATAGTAAAAAATATTTTTCTCTAAATACTTACATTTACAGTTATGTTTTACACTTTTAGTCGTTCTTTTGTCCAATTGTTGCAAAATTGCCTTTTGCAGTTCGTCCAGTTCTTGCTCAAAATTATCCAACTGTAATAAAATAAGAAATAAATACGATTCTTATTAAAATTTTACTATTCGTAAAAAAACAATTCTCTACTTAGAAAAAAATATTTGTTTTCCATTATACATTTTTTTTTACCTTCTGTAATCGTTCCTTATCTCTTTTTCGTGCCATTTTAAAAGAAGGTGGATCCTGCTCCTCTTCCAAATCGACATTCATGAACTCATCTAAAGTTAAAGCACTGGATGGAGTTTCGCCAAATTCTATTAATCTGCAAATAAATAATAAAAGACATTAAAAAAACAATGCGGCAGAATTATTTAATTTCTCCTCTTCTTTTAATTTTTTAAAAAGGACAATAAAGTACCTCTTGCGTAAAGTAGATTCGTGTACTTTTACGATTCTCACAATATCTGCCGGTGATCTATTAAACTCGTGCAATCTCGCTGCTATTAAAAGAGCTGCGAAATAAAATACAAATTAAAAATTGTAATAAAATTTTTACATTTCTTTTTAAATTGTCATTTTTTTTATGTTTTACAAACCTGCACCACATACTCCAGAAGGTCTTCGGCCACTGTGAATACTGTCCTTCTTCATTCTCTGAAGCAATCTACTGGCAGTCATTTGAACGTCATGGGTTTTATCTCCAAATTCCAATTTGTTTGCAAATCTCAATACGTATAAAATTGGATCTGTAAACAATAAAAAAAAAAGATCGAGTCAATTAAAATAGAATAAAATTCACACGCTACATGAACTTGCAGCAATATTTCCAATCAATTTAATTGGATCGTTTTAATATTGCAGAAAAATTTAATTAATATTAGATTCCCTACAAAAGGAAAAGTTATTAATAATATTATTCCATTAATTATAAAAGTGATAAAGATTTTCATTAAAAGTCTCGCGAAGTACGCTTTTATCGATTTTATTCAATTATTTTCTAAAAGTGAGACTTTTTCCGACTTATTTTGGAAAAATGCTACTTTTTCGACTTTTTCTACTGGGATTGCAAAAAATGCCACTTTTTTGGTCTAAAATGATAATTTCTCGTCTTTTCTTACGAATATTGCAAAAAAAAAAATACTTTTTTTAGTGTTAAATGCAACTTATTTCAATGTTCACAGTAAAAAAAATTTGTTTTATCATTTTTATGAATTTCGACAATAACAAAGTTGTCACTAAGAAAATTTCTAATTACATCTAAACAAATTTGTGAAAACGATACAAAACTTCTGTTTTTTTAGTGCCTTTTGGAAATATTGAAAATCTTAGAACTTATTCTTGAATTTTCTTTTTTACCTTGAACACTTTTTTTCAAAAACCAAGAAAAGTTACTGTTTGTCATTTTTGTAAAAAAAATAATTTTTCTATTTAAATAACAGAATTCATGAAGAACTTTTTGAAAATTTGAAAACCAATTAATTTAGAGCACAAATTTAGTTGAAAATACTAGACAGTAAAAAAAAGCAATGAAATTTCAAAAAGGTTTCAAATTAAAGATTTAAATTCTAAATAATTTTAATTAATTTTAATTAAAAATTCTTTTTTAAAAAAATGAATATTTGAAAATGTATTTAAATGGAAAACTTTATATTTAAATAGTCGTATAATTGAAATTAAAACAATTGCTTTTTTGGCAAATTTTGAGTGCGTTTTAATTTCTTTTAATAATTAAATTATCGAAGAACTTTCTCAAGAATTATTAAAAATAATTGAAGTAGAAAAAAATTTTCATTGGAAATTCAATAAAATAATTAACTTTTGCAGAAATTCTGGAAAAATTAAACTTTTAAAAAATTTAACAACAAAATTTTGAAGAACTTACTTTTGAAAAAAATTGTTGTAATTCAGATTTTTTTGATATTATTTAAATTATAAACATACATAGTTTATGAAAAAATTTCAGAATGATCTATAATTTCGTAAAAATAAATTGAAAACAATTGAAGATGTATTTAAATTCTGAATAACTAAAGTCAAAAATTCTGAAAAAGTTAGGTTTTCGAATAATTCCAATTAAAATTCTTTGAAGAAAATTAAATTCCACAAAATAATTGAATGAAATATTTTTCAAAATTTCTTTTAAAAAATTCAATTATTTTCATAAAATTGTACTAAATTTCAATTATTTGGAAATTGTTCAATTCAATACAAATTTAAAATATTTAAAAATTGAAATTCTTTAAAAACGCGATTATTTTGTAATATTTTTTTGTAAACTTTCTTTCAAAAAATTCAATTATATTCAAAAAATTGTTGTACATTTTAATCGTTTGGAAATTTTTCAATTCTTTACAATTTTGTCATTAATATTCTTTAAAAACGCGATTAATTTGTAATTTTTTGAGCAAAATTCTTTCAGAAAATTCAATTATTTTCAAAAAAACTGTCCTAACTTTAATTATTTGGTATTTTCTAACTTCTATATAATTATTTGTCTTTAAATTCGTCAAAAATCCAAACTATTTTATAATATTTTCCAAAATTTCTTTTAGAAAATTCAATTATTTTCAAAAAGTTGTGCTAAATTTTAATTATGTATTTAGAAATTTTTCAATTCTGTTCAATTTTTCTTTAAAATTCTTCAAAAACGGGATTTTGTAATTTTTTTTGAAAAACTTCTTTCGGAAAATTCATTTATTTTGCAAAAATTTTTCAATTCTATACAATTTGTTTTTAAAATTCTTCAAAAACTCGATTATTTTGTAATATTTTCCAAAATTTCCTTTAGAAAATTAAATTATTTACAAAGAAGTGTACTAAATTTCAATTATTTGGAAATTTTTCAATTCTATACAATTTGTCTTTAAAATATTCTTAAAAAACTCGATTATTTTGTAATTTTTGTTTCAAAAATTTCTTTCAGAAAATTCAATTATTTTCAAAAATTTGTTCTAAATTTCAATTGATTGGAAATTTTTCAATTCTATATATAATTTTTCTTTAAAATTCTTCAAAAACGCGATTATTTTGTAATTCTTTTTTTTCAAAATTTCATTCGGAAAATTCAAATATTTTCCTAAAATTGTACTAAATTTCAATTATTTGGAAATTTTTCATTTCTATTTAATATGTTTTTAAAAATCCTCCAAAAACGCGATGATTATTTTTGAATTTTTTTCACAAAATTCAATTATTTTCCAAAAAATTTTCAATTGTATACAATTGGTCTTTAAAATTCTTTAAAAACAACTCGATTATTTATTAATTTTTTTGGAAAAATTTATTTTAGAAAATTCAATTATTTTCAAAAAATTGTACTAAATTTCAATTATTTGGAAATTTTTCAATTCTGTACAATTTGTCTTTAAAATTCTTTAAAAACTCGATTATTTTGTAATTTTTTCCAAAATTTCCTTTAGAAAAATGATTATTAAAAAATTGTACTCAATTTCAATTATTCGGAAATATTTCAATTCTGTACAATTTGTCTTTAAAATTCTTCAAAAACTCGATTATTTTGTAATATTTTCCAAAATTTCCTTTAGAAAATTCAATTATTTTCAAAAAATTGTACTAAATTTCAATTATTTGGTAATTTTTCAATTCTGTACAATTTGTCTTTAAAATTCTTCAAAAAGTCGATTATTTTGTAATATTTTCCAAAACTTTTATTTTGAAAATGTAATTATTTTTAAAAAATTGTACTAAACTTCAATTATTTGAACATTTTTCAATTCCAGATATTTCGTAAACTAAGGAGGTAAAAAAATACTGTTTTATAAATTGAAAAACTATTTTTTTCAATTCCAGACATTTTGTAAAGTAAGCAAGTAAAAAATACTGTTTCATAAATTAAAAAACTAATTTTTTCTTCTTCAAGGGCAAAATTTTTTTTTTCATTTTTCCTCCTATTTTTTGATGAAAAAAAAACCTAATCACGCGAAAGTGAAAGCAAAAAGTCTCACTAAAAAAAAAAGAAATAAAAAAAATTGAAAGAGAAAAATTGTCAAATAGACAAAAGAAGAAGATGTATATTCAAAAGATGATACTATACAGCAGCCGGGATACATCATCTATAGCAACTATTCCAGATAAATTGGCAAGTATCTTTTGGACACGCGCTCTCTGCATTATTTCCTTACTATCGACCGATGTGCTCGTTGCCAGCACTCGTTTTCAAAATGGAGTTCGTGTAGTTTGTGTTTTCTTTCAAATTCTTTTCCGCTAAATTCAAAAAAGAAAAGAAAAACAAAGAGGAAGAGTAAAAATAAACAAGTGTCCATTTTAAGACGCTTGGCCATGTCGAATCTTTACTCGAAAATTAGTACTAAACCAGTGAAACGTTTTCAAGACAATATCGCCGTGACTCAAACAAATGCCTGGGTGAATGGTGAGAATGACAAATAAATTAACTGCAATTTTAACCCCCTTTAGAATTTCCTCCTTTTAAATCAAACTAATTATTCCTCTAAATAAAAAAAAATAAATAATTTTTTTTTTCATTCGAATTTTGAACGCTAATTAGAATTCTAATTTAAATACGATAAACATTTCACCGTTTTTGCAAATTTGGCAAATTTTTTTTTTACATTTCGATAAATTGTTTCCTACAGGAAAAATTGTGGAAATATTTTCGAAATGAAAAATCGAATAATATTCGAGACAATTCGAGAAAAAAAAATTGCCAGCCATTGTAGAAAATTTGTATTTTTGTTAACAAATTTTGTTTTTATTTTTAAATTTTAATTCTTCGGGAGGATTTATTTGAAACTCCCCTTTTTCGATACACCGGAAAAGGAATAAATTGTGATTTCCAAGTATATGTATGAATCACACGTTTGTGTGCTGTCTGTGGTGGTTGGTGAGTTTGGAAGTAGAAAAAAAGGTGACGCGCAAGCGTAAAATGCAGAAGATTATACAGTGCGATAAAAGCGTCTTGTTTGCGTAATGCTCTCTTCAAAAATACTTTGAAAAAAAAATATTAAAAAAATGTTCTTTTTCTCGTTGAAAAAAAAATAGTTTTACAAAATAAAATTCTAAAGCATGTTACGATAATAGTGAATTAAAGTGATTCGCAAAAGCGACCCAACATGTCCATGTTTACTGACGGTAAAACCAAACACAATATTTTCGAATAAATAATCTCAACTCCTTGTTTTTAGTTTCTCTCTTATAGACAAAAATTATAACTCGAATTTCTATTTTTCCATTTTCTTTTTCACTCGAAGACAAACGGGGGGTGAAAAGTGGTATTTAGTTTATTTCAGAATTCAAGAAAATAAGATAAACACGAATTCAGGTCATTGGACGTTTGACAATGTACATAACCTCCTTAAAATTCATTTTGACCCTTTTTTTCTCTCCATATTTTCTTCTTTTTCCGTTACTAACCGATTTGTACTAAAAATAAATTTCGACTACTTTTTTTTATTATCAAAGTTGCCACAGATCAGGAATTTTAATTAAATCAGTGATTTTTGTTAAAACTGGAAAAATTTAAATTGTAATTCATAAGAAAATCATGAATTTTGGAGTAATTTTTGTTGTTGGCCTCATAAATTAGGAAATTACCACGAATTCTAATGAGAAACTTTCAATTTTTTCAATTTCTGACAAAAATTTATTTTAAATAACTCAATTCTTGAAGAACTGTCATGAAAATTATTACTTATAAATTATTTAACAAATAATTTTACTCGAATACTTTGAAATTAATAGAATTCTAAAAGAGTTGCGTTTACAATATTATTTCATAAATAGATGAACTTCAAAAGATTTTAATTCGAAATTTTGGAAAAATTTCTTCTTTGAATGAATTTCATTAGAAATTTTACACTAAGATTTTTAAAAAATTTAAATAAATCAAATTCTTCTGAAATTAGTTAAATTCTTGAATAAATATTGAATTAATTATTAAAAATAATTAAAGAATTTTAGTTAAAAACACGAAAAAAAAGTGAATTTTGGAGAAGATGCAAATTATTGCAGAAATTCAATTATTTTCAAAAGTAATAAAATTCTTCAGAAAAATTCAATTATGTTCAAAATTTTTTTTAAATTCTGGTCAAAATTTCAATTATCTTTGAAAATAATAAAATTCTTCTCCGATACAAAACGTTCGATTTTTTTCTATTTCTGAGATTTCTGACAATAATTTCATTTTAAATAACTTACTTCTTGAAAAAGTAAAAATAAAATAAAAATTATTGCTTATAAATTATTTAATGAATAATTTTACTCAAATATTTCAAAATTAATTGAATTTCAATTTTTAATGAATTTTATAAGGAATTTTAAAGAACTTTGATTTTTGAAAAATTTTCCTGAATTCAATGATTTTTCAATATCTACTGTTTTAATAAAATTTTCCAAAAGAATTCAATTATTTAAAAAATTTTTTTACTAAAATTCACCGCAAACATTTAATTATTTTCACAAATAATAAAAATTTCATAGGAATTCAAATATTTAAATATTTTTTTAAATTTCTTCGCAATAACTCAATTATGTTTTTGAATTTTTCTTTTCATTTCTAAAACTTTAAAGAAAACCTAAAAAATAAAATTTTTAATTTTTAGAAATAATTTAATTTCAGAAGGTTTCAACATAAAATTTTTCGAAAATTTCATTTTTAACGAACTTGAATTACATTTAAATATAATTAAAAACCAAAATTTTTCAAATTTTGAATAACTGAATTTAGAAGATTAAAATAAATAGTTTTTCGAATAATTTTAATTACAATTTTTTGGAGATAATTGAATTCCCAAAAATAATAAATTGAAACATTTTCAAAATTTTCCAGAAATTCTTTTCAAAAATACAATTCTTTTCGAAAAACGACATTACATTAGTATTTTTAAAAAACTAACTTTTAGAATTTTTAAAAATATATTTTTTAAAATACAATTTTCCTCTAGAAAAAGGTAAAATTCAATTCAATTCAAGTAGAATTCAATTATTTCCACAAATAACAAAATTCATCACAAGAATTCAATTATTTTTAAAACTAATAAAATTCTTCTCCGAAATTTAATTATTTACAAATTTTTTTTATAAATTCGCAATAATTCAATTATATAAATAACAAAATTTATTGCAGGATTTCAATTATTTTTATAAATAATAAAATTCGTTTTAGAAATTCAATTATTTTCATAATTAATAAAACTCATCCAGAATTTCAATTATTTTTAGTACCATTTTAATCGAATACAATTTTAATTCCTGCAAAAATTTACAGAAATTCAATTATTTTCGTAAATAATAAAATTCTTTTCAGAAATTTCATTATTTTCCTAATTAATGGGACACATCCAGAATTTCAATTATTTTTAATACAATAATTTTAATCGAGTGTAATTTTAATTCCTCGAAAAATGTATATATTCATAAAGATTTCATTAAAATTCGTCGATAAAATTCTATTCAATTATTTAAAAATTTGTTGACTAAATTCTTTGTGAGTATTCAATTCTACGAGACATTTAATTATTTAATAAATTATTTATTTTTGTATTTAAATAATTCAAGTCTCGTAGAATTTTCCAATAAAAATTGAATTAAAAATTAATTTTAATTATTTACAAATTGTTTATAAATTTCTTCGCAATAATTGAATTATTTTCATGAATAATAAAATTCTTTTTAGGAATTCAATAATTTTCATAAATAATAAAACTCATCGGAGAATTTCAATTATTTTTAATAAAATTCTAATGAAATTACTCGAAAAATGTAATTATTCTTAAAATTTTCATTATAATTCGTCAAAAGAATTCAATTATTTAAAAATTTGTTGGTAAAATTCGTCAAAAGAATTCAATTATTTAAAAATTTGTTGGTAAAATTCGTCAAAAGAATTCAATTATTTGAAAATTTGTTGATAAAATACTTTATGATAATTCAATTTTAAGAAACATTTAATTATTTATTTTTATATTTCAATAATTCAATTCTCGTAGAATTTTCTAATAAAATTTGATTTAAGAATGAATTTTAGTTAAAATTTTAGATAATAATTGAATATTACCTTTTTAGCTTGAATTTTTAGAAATAATTGAATTTTAAAAAGGTTTTTAAATTAAAATTTTTGGAAATTTGTATTTTTCATACTTTTAACTAAAAACTTCGGTAGAATTAATTTTTTCAAAAAATTTAATTGTTTTTTTTTTAATTATTTGAAGTTTTTCTTTTCTAATTGAAAATCTTAATTCTTCTGGAAAAATAATAGTGAATCAAAATAAATAGAATATTTATTTTGATGACGTTTTGTTATTTTTTAGCAATGATGTTTTCGAATAATTTTCCAATTAAAGAAATTCTTTAAAGTATTCCAACATTTTTTTGAGTATTTAATATTTTTTGAGAGTGAATCGCTTATTCTTTACAGTCAAGAAAAAAGTTAAAATTCAGTCTGAAAATCAGGGAAAAACAAAATTATTTTTTTTTGGCAACTTTGATGATTCTAAAATTACTTTTCAAACAAATTTGAAGAACTTTTAGAACGCTTTTCGAAGAGAAACTTTTTGTACCAGAAACTAAAAAATCAAAACTAAACAGCAACAACTAAATTTCTTTTTTAGTATTTTTAAAACAATTCAAAATAAAATTCGTATCAAAGAAGGAGCTAAGGGAGTGTTAATTTTCTCTTCTAGTTAAGAAATAAGAATATAAAAAATTTTTCGGGGGTAAAAAATTTTTTTTTTTTTTGGGTAAAAAAAATGTGTTTTCTTTGTATGTATAATTTAGCGGAATCGCCTAGCAATGTTTCTGGATCGCCGCCATCAGTAAGTCCTATCTCATCGTCTATCGTACTGCAAAGAGAGGGTGCGATAAATCAACCACTGAGTACACCTGCATCGCCATTATCATCGCTATGCTCACCATTAGCACAATTGAATCTATTGTCAACGGAAGATTGTACACAAGATCCTAATTGGCAAGCGACAAAACCCACCGTTCGTGAACGAAATGCTGCCATGTTCAATAATCATCTCATGGCTGACATTCAATTTATTGTCGGCAATCCAGGTAATAAGATGACGAAAATGAAAATTCACTCCACCCACAAAAACATCGATTTAAGGAGAGAGAGGCTGGTGATACTAATTTAATAATCACCTCATAAACGAAACGATGATTATGTAAAAATTTCGAACTCTTAAAAATTAGAGTCTAAATTTCTCCCATTTTCTCAAAATCCAAAGAAGCAGAATTTCTCTTATTTTTCCATGATCTCCAGGGGATGAGTGATACAAGTTTCATGAAACATAAAAACTGAATATAATAATTAAATAAATTAAATAAATTAAATAAATAATTAAAAATAATAACTAATTAGAAATACTTCCTCTATGAGGAACAATTATTCAACTATTTTGTAACAATGCGATTTTTGTCCCTAAAGTGAAAGAAAAATTCCAAATATTAATTTTTGAAGTTCAATTAGCGTCACCGCCACTCCTTAAAAATTACAATTTTAACAGGCCTCAGATATTGACTTTTTCGACTTTTTTTTTTTTACTAATTTTCAAAAAAGGCAACTTTTTTCGACTTATTTTCAAAAATTTGCCGACTTTTCAACTTTTCTTCCAAATATTGCAACAAAATACCAAATTCTTAGTATGAATTGCAAATTATTTCGATTTTTCTACTGTGAAAAATAACAATAGACAAATCTTTCGAAAATTATTTTTGAATAATTTTTGTAATTAAATTTTTGAAATATACAATTGGAAAGATTTTGAATAATTGAAATTTTGTAAAATTTAATTGAAAATAAATCATTTTTTCCAGGTATTTTATTACAATTTTTGAAAATTAACTTTTGAGAAAAATTAACTTTTTAGTTGCAAATTTTGAAAATAATTGAATTCTCAAAGATTTTAATGAAAAATTAAAATTAAAATCTTCTAGTGTAAATTTTAAAATGAAAATCAATGAAGATTTTCTTCTAAAAATTATATTAAAATATTTTAGACAAAAGAAATTCTTAGCATTTTTCCATTGTAATTTTTTCAAATTTTAAATATTTCCATATTTTTACTTACATATTTCAAAAAAATTCAAATATACACAAAAAATAATAAGATTAAAATTTTTTAAGAATTATTTTTAACATTTTGGAAAACACAATTATGTTTAAAATTTTTAATTAAAATTCTTCAAAAAAAATTGATTAGTTTTTGTATAACTTACAGAAATTCTTTTAAGAAATTCAATTATTTTTTTTTTATAACTTTTACTGAAAAAAAACTTTGAATAAAATTCAAGAATTCAATTATTTTCATAAATAATGAAATTTTCGCTGGACTTCAATTATGTTTAATACAATTTTAATTGAATTCCAAGGGAAAATTAAATTATTTTTAAATTCTTCGAGAAAGTTTAATAACATCAATAAATAGTAAATTTAATAGTAAATTTTTCACAGGAATTCAATTAAAAAATACAATTTTAATAATATTCTTCTCAAAAATTCACTTATTTTTTTAAATTTTTGCAAAAATTCAATTATTTGTAGAAATAATAAATTTTTTCGCAGGAATTAAATTATTTAAAAAAGTTTTAATAAAATTCTATTCAAGAATTCAATTATTTCCAGAAATAATTAAATTGTCAATGTACTGAAATAATCATATTATATTCTTGTAAAGTATTTATAAAAAAATAATAAATAAATAAATAATAAATAATAATAATAACAATAAATAATTGAATTCATTTCAAGTATATTATCAACATTTTTGTCAAAAATTTAATTCTTTCAAGAAAATGTAATTAAAATTGTATTGAAAATAATTTAATCCTTGGAAAGATTTTTATTTAAATTCTTTAAAATAATTGAATTGTTTTGAACAATTTATTTCAATATTCTTGAAAATAATGAAGTTTTTTTCAATAATTTTTAGTAAAGATTTTAAAAATAATTAAATTTTATGAAGAATTTCTTTTAAGTTTTTAAAATACTCGTGTTTATTATTAATTGTAATTAACAATTTTCCTATATTAAATTACATTGCAAATTATTCATAGAAAATTTAAAAAATAATGTAATTTTTTCGCAGTACCTAATTTTAATTGAAAATTTTGAAAATAATTCAAATTTACAAAGAATTTTATTTAAAAACTTTTGAGAACAATTGAATTGGTTAGAAAAATTTTATTACAATTTTTAGAAATAATTGAACCTGTTGGAGAAATTTTATTAAAATTATCTTGAATATAATTGAATTTTTTTCTATAGAAATTTGATTAAAATTGAATTGAAATTTCAAAATAATTGAATTTAAATAATATTTTTTAAATAATTGTATTCATTCGAAATATTTTATTAAAATTGTATTGAAAATGATTGAATTCCTCCGAAACATTTTATTATTTATGAAAATAATTGAATTGTTTTCATGAATTTTTGAAAATAATTGCATTTTTTGAAGGAATTTTATAACAAATTTTGAAAATAATGATTTTTTTAATAATATTTTTTTTTTTTTTACAATTTTTCTGACAACACTAAATTTAAAAAATTACTTTTTCGACTTTTTTCTATTTTTAATCGAGTAAAGCGATTTTTTTTTGCGCCTTAAAGTCGATTCGAGGCCTGAATTTTGATTTAATTAATTGATATTAATTTAATTACGTAATTAACGAAATTAATCTTCGCAGGTCACACGCAATCAATTCCCGCTCATAAATACGTGCTAGCAACCGGAAGTTCTGTATTTTACGCCATGTTTTACGGTGGCTTAGCAGAAAATAAAAGGGATATCGAAGTGCCAGACGTTGAACCTGCTGCATTTTTGGCCCTTCTCAGGTGACTAGAATAAATTCCCTATTAATTAGCGAACAATTTTCTGAAAGTGGAAAATTTCTCTAATAATTGTTTAAATTTTCTTTTTTTTAAAGGTACATGTACTGTGATGAGGTTCAACTAGAGGCGGACACTGTTTTAGCGACACTTTACGTCGCTAAAAAATACATTGTTCCGCATTTAGCGCGAGCGTGCGTTAATTACTTAGAAACTAGTTTAACAGCAAAAAATGCTTGCTTACTACTAAGTCAGTCACGACTTTTCGAAGAGCCAGACTTAATGCAGAGATGCTGGGAAGTTATCGACGCTCAAGTAAGTTTGAATCTCAAACCACTTTTACTAACAATGAACGATAACAAAGAAGAGAATTCAAATTCGAATTCAAATTCAAAAATGAAATTTATTTCTCCAAGTAAATTATTGTCACTCGATTATACATTTCCATTTAATTATCACATTAAAACAAAAACAATTGATAAAAACACCATTTTTAATTTAAATCCATTGAATTCATCATTCATCAACAAAAGTTGCTTTCTATTCGATATCAAATGGAATAATAATAACTGTCAGAAATATTCCGATAGAAATAAAATTCAATTTCTCGATGAAGTGCAAAATATATTTTTTCGTGATAATTACGCTGTATTGTATAAGAATAATGAAAATAATGGCTTTGAAGGGATCTGTGATAATGATGTATTGGAATGTTAAATTTATTATTCTTCGTCTATTTAACGAGAAAGTTTCAACTTTTTCGCTTCAAACAAAAATTAACTGTATTGAAAGAGTTTAATATTTGTTAAACGTATCAAACATCGTAAGAGTTTAAATAACTGAATCTCCAATTTAAAAATTATTGTTGGAACCAAATTCAAAAAGTATTTAGTCTGAATGACAAAAAACTTCAAAAAAAAAAGATGTCTATATATACAGTTGAAAATTAGTCTACTTTATGTAAATTAATAATTAAATTAACTAATTTATTAAATGATTATTTAATTTAATTAATAATAGTTGTATAAAAAGGAAATTATAGAAAAAAGGTTGTTAATCGCACAATTTATCGTGACAAAAAAAAAAGAATAGAATCTCAATTTCTTTCTATAGAAAAATAAAATCGTTGTATTTATTAATTGTTATTGTAAATAAAGAAAGTAAAACGATTTAACGGTCTTTTAAATAAATTTTAATTTTCTTTATGTCGAAATTTCTTTCTTTATTATTTCAAAAAAAAATCGTTATTTTTTCTTGGCAAATTTAATATTATTATTTCTGCGACAAAATTCGCGAAATTACTTTTTAGTTCTAAATATATTGAATATTTATTTTATTATTGACAAAGAATTGCAAAGAATATTTAGAATTATAATTTTTTAATTAAAAAATTATAATTACAATTTTATTAAATTATATTTACAATTACAATTTCGTAATTATTTGCAGGCCTCGGATATTGACTTTTTCGACTTTTTTTTACTATTTTCAAAATAGGCGAATTTTTTCGACTTATTTTCAAAAATTAAGACTTTTCGACTTTTCTTCCAAATTTTGCGACAAAATAACAGATTTTTTAGTATAAAATGCAACTTATTTCGATTTTTATAGTGTAAAAAAGTATAACTATAGACTAATCTTTCAAAAATTATTTTCAAATGATTTTTCCAATTAAATTTTTGAAATATACAATTAAAAAATTTTTCAATAACTTTTTTGTGAATTTTAACTGAAAATAATTTATTTTTTCAAGTATTTTATTAAAATTTTTAAAAATTAAATTTTGAGGAGTTTTAATTGAAAATTTTGGAAATAATTGAATTCTCAAAAATTTTAATGAATAATCTTCAAGTGCAAATTTAATAAAAATGAAAATTAATGAAAATTAGATTCTAAAAATTATATATTAAAATATTTTTGAAAAAAACTTATAGTATTTTTTCCTTGTAATTTTTTTAAAAATTCAATTATTTTCAATAATTTCAATAACATATTTCCGAAAATTCAAATAAGTGGAAAAAATAATAACATTACAATTTTTTAGAATTATTTTTAACACTTTGGAGAAAAAAATCATGTTTAACATTTTTTATTCAAATTCAACAAAAAATTACTTTCTTTTAAATTAAAAATATTTTGAATAATTGAAATTTTGTAAAATTTAATTGAAAATTAATCATTTTTTTAAAGTATTTTATTACAATTTTTAAAAATTTACATTTAAAGAAATTTAATTAAAAATTTTGGAAATAATTCAGTTCTCAAAAATATTAAAATTAAAATCTTCAAGTGTAAATTTAATAAAATGAAAATTAATGAAAATTAGATTCTAAAAATAATATTAAAATAGTTTTGAAAAAAGTAATACTTATAGAATTTTTTCCTTGTAATTTTTTTAAAATTTAATTATTTTCAATAATTTCAATTACTTATTTCCGAAGATTCAAATACATTTAAAAAATAATAACATTTTAGAATTATTTTTAACATAATTTTAGAGTGAAAAATCATGTTCAAAATTTTTAATTAAAATTCTTCAAAAAATTAATTAGTTTTTTTTAAATTATACAAAAATTCTTCAATTATTTTCGAAAAATTACATTTACAATATTAAAAAAAAACTAATTCTTCGAATTATTTTATCATAATTTTTTAAGATTCAAATTTAGCTAAAGATTTAAAATTCAAATACAAAGTAAATTAAAATTTTTTAAAATTTACTTTTTTAGAACTTTATTAAAATTTCCTAGAAATCATTTTTAATTCAAATTCTTCGAAAATTTGATTATTTTTTTTTTTAATATTTTTTAAAAACTCAATTATTTTGTAAAGATTTTATCAAATTTGAATTATTTTTCAAAGATTTTACCAAAAAATTATTTTTTAAAAGGTTTTACCAAAAATTTCAATGTTTTGGACATTTTTTAATTGTATGTAATTGTAAAAATATTGTCTTTCAAAAATTATTTAGAAATATTTAAAATAAATTAATTTTAAGAATTTTTTTTATTAACATTTTTCAAAATATTCTACTTTAATATATTTAATAATAAAAAAATGGTCAGTTTCAATTATTATAAAAAATTGAATTTTTATAATTCAATTTTTTTCGAAAAATTTTACTGAATCTGAATTATTTGGAAATTTTATATTTAACTATAGAATTAAAAACTTTATTATCTTTCAAAAAATTATTTACCATAATTTTTTATAATTTTTCTGCAATTTTTTCAAAATCTACTATTTTTTATATTTTTCGTTACATATTTTGAATAATTTACTTTAATAAAATAAAAAAATTGTGATTAATTACAGTTAAAATTGTTATAAAAAATTAAATTTTTTTATTAAAATAGTTTAATTCTCGAAAACTTTTAGAAGATTATTAAAAATGAAATTTTTAAGAATAAGTTTATTAAAAAATTCTATAAAAATAATTAAATTTCGGAAGACTTTCATCTGTAATTTTTGGAAATAATTAAATTTAAGTAGATTCGAAATTGAAATTTAAAAAATTATTAACAATTGTGGAAAATAATTGAATTTTGTAAGGGTTATAGTTTTAATTTTTGGAAATTAATAAATTTCAGAAGTTGACATTTTAAAAATTTATTTCCAGTGAAAAAAGAAATAAGAAGTAATTAAAAATTTATTTAGCATAAAATTATTCGAGTTTTGATTAATTGAATTTAGAAATCAGTGAAGATTCAGGAAAATACAAAATAGAATTTTTTGTTCCAACACTGAATTAAATAAACGACTTTTTCGACTTTTTTTCAATTTTTAATCGACTAAACCGACTTTTTTTTTGTTTTTGTTAAAGTCGATCCAAGGTCTGTATTTCTAATAATTGTAAAATTCAAATTTCTAATTATAATTTTCTAATTGAAATTTATCAATGAAAAGATAACGAGAACTACAATGAATTGAAGAAGAAGAAGAAGAAAGGCTGTCGAATAATAAAAGATTGATTTTCAACAGGCGGAAATGGCGCTAAGGTCAGAGGGTTTTGTGGAAATTGACATACACACACTCGAGTCTGTATTGTCGCGTGAAACTTTAAATTGCAAAGAAATACATTTATGGAATGCAGCGTTAAGATGGGCGGCCGCCGAATGTATACGACAAGATCTCGAGCCAATTCCAAGTAATCAAAGGCGACTTTTAGGTAAGAATTATTATTTACCATAAAATGATGAAATAATCATGAATTTAACGTCATAAATTTAAATTAGCACCTCTCTCACTATGTTCTTCCAGGCTCTGCCTTAAATTTAATTAGGCTACCGGCAATGAGCCTCGAGGAATACGCGAATAATGCCGCGCAAACGGGAATTCTCACGCAACAAGAAACAATTGATATTTTTCTTCATTTCATTGCCAGCACAAAACCCCAACTTTGTTATCCAATCAAACCAAGACAGGGTCTAAAAACACAGGTATGGAAAAATTTAAGAAAAATAGAAATTTTAATCCTATTCATCGGGAAATAATTAATAATTATTAGTAATTAATTAATTAGTAATTAATAATCACTAGAAATGAATAATTATTCAATAATAATGAATGATTACTAGTATTTGATAATTATTTATTTTCTAATAATAAATACAATAATTATTATAAAATTAATATTTATAAATAATAGTTAGTAATTCGGATCTCGGACAAAAAAGTCTTTTTTGATTTTATCAACTATTTACAAAAAAAGGCCACCTTTGGAATTATTTTCAAAAAAATTCAAATTTTTCCCCTTCCTTCAAATATTAGCCAACAAAATATCACTTTTTTGGTATTAAATGCAACTTTTAGTATTAAAAATAATTATAGTTAAAATTTCAAAAATTATTTTTCAATTTCAAGATAATTAATTTCTCGAAATTTATAATTAAAAAGTTTTCAAAAAATTGATATTTTGTAAAAATTTTTTTGTTGAAAATAATTGATTTTTTAAAAGTATTTTATTAAAAATTAAAGAAAAGGAAAATTTTTTTTATTAAAAGCTTTTGAAAATCAAATTACAAAGAGTTTTAACAGCAAATTGTGAAAATAATATTGAATTCTCTAAAATTATAATAAAAAAAGCTTCAATAAATATTAGCTTCAAGAAAATAAGAAAAAATAAGAAAAATATGTTTTTAAAAAAGTAATTCTTGGATTTTTTTATTATAACTTTTCAAAATTCAATATTATTTTCAGTATTTTAATGAAATATTTCTGAAAATTAAAATATTCTCAAGAAATAATTACATTACAAATTTTTTGAAACATCTACTTTTTAGAATATTGTTATTAATATTTTAGCAAAATCAAACATTTTCAAAACTTTTAATTAACATTCTTCAAGAAAATTGAAAAATTTTAAAAATTTGAGAATTTTTGAATAAATTTAGTTTGAAATTCTGAGAAATGATTGGATTTTAAAATAATTATAGTTTGTAATTTTTAGAAATAATTAACTTTCAGAAAATTTCTATTTAAAATATTTTGAAAATTTCAAATTATAAAAAAACTTAATTAAATTTAAAAAGAATTGAAAACAAAATTATTCAAATTTTGAATAATTGAATTTAGAAATTGTCAAAAAATTAAGATTTTGAATAATTTTAATTAAAATTCATTGAAGAAAATTAAATTTTCGAAAATTATTAAATAAAAATTTGTTTAAATATTCCAGAAATTCTTTAAAGAAATTCAATTATTTCCGAAAATCATTAAAAAACAAATTTTTTATTAATATTTTTTAAAAACCAATTTTTTTCAAACAAAGTGAATTAAATTTTTTTGAAAACTCTACTTTTTTTTAGATTTTTTATTTAAATATTTGAGAAAGAATGTTTTTTTCATATTTTTAATGAAAATGTTTAAAAATTTGATTATTATTTAATATTTTCCGCAAAAAATTCAATTTTTTTCGAATAATTTTTATTAAAATTCTTTGAAGATAATTGAATTCTCGGAAATTATTAAATGAAATTTTTTTTAAAGAGTCCAGAAATTCTTTAATGAAAATCCATTATTTTCGAAAATATTTTATAATAAATATTTTTATTAATATTTTTTAAAAACCAATTTATTTCTCTAAAAAAAAGTAATTTAAAATTCTTTTCAAACTTGATTATTATTTAATATTTTCAGCAAAAACTCATAAAAACGTCAATTTTTTTTGGAAAAATTTTACTGAATTTCAATTATTTGGAAATTTTTTAATTAACTATAGAATTAAAAACTCTATTATCTTTCAAAAAGTTAGTTAAAATAATTTTTGTACCTAATTTTTCTCCAATTTTTTCAAAATCTACCATTTTTAATATTTTTCGTTACATATTTTGAATATTTCACTTTCATAACTTAAAAAAAAAACTGTGATTATTTACGGTTACAATTATTATTATAATTGATTGAATTTTTGTATTAAAATAATTTAATTCTCGAAGAACTTTCGTAAAATTATTCAAAAAAAATTTATTTTGAGAAGAAGTTTACTTAAAAAGACGACAAAAATAATTAAATTTTAGAAAAGTTGCATTTGTAATTTTCGAAAATAATTAAAGTTCCGAAGATTTGAAAATTGAAATTTAAATAATTTTAATTTTCGTAGAAAAATAAAATAAAAAAAAATAATAATAATAATAATAATAGGTATTTAAATTTTTGTATAACAAAATAATCCAAGTTTTGAATAATTGAATTTAAAATTCAGTGAATTGTCAAGAAAATAAAAAATTAGATTTTTTGGTCAGAACACTGAAAAAAGAACAATTTTTTTTATCTTTAATCGACTAAAGCGACTTTTTTAATTTTAAGGTCAATCCGAGGTCTGGTAATTAATAATTAATAGTTATTAGTAATTAATAATTAGTAATTTTACTAGTTAATAGTTAGTAATTTTACTAATTAACAATTAATAATTAATAGTTATTAGTAATTAATAAATAGTAGTTTTACTAATTAACATTTAATAATTAATAATTAGTAATTTTACTAATTAATAATTAAGTTTACCTATTAAATAATCAATTTTACTTATTAATAATTAATTTTTCATACTAATAATTAATTTTACTTGTTAATAATTAATTTTTCATACTAATAATTAATTTTACTTGTTAATAATTAATTTTTCATACTAATAATTAATTTTACTTATCAATTATTAATTTCACTTATTAATAATTAATTTTACTTCTAAATAATTTCTGATTTCAATAATTAATATTAATTAATAATTATTAATTATTATTTCCGACTTTACTGACACAAATTTCTTTTCCAGGTGTGCCATAGATTTCAATCGTGTGCGTACAGATCAAACCAATGGCGCTATCGAGGAAGATGCGATTCAATACAATTTAGCGTCGACAAACGTATATTTGTCGTTGGTTTTGGCCTCTATGGAAGTTCCTCAGGTGCAGCCGATTACAATGTACGAATAGAATTAAAAAGATTTGGACGTGTATTATCAGAGAATAATACGAAATTCTTTTCCGACGGTTCGAGTAACACATTTCATGTTTATTTCGAGAATCCAATTCAAATAGAACCCGAATGTTATTATACAGCAAGTGCAATATTAGATGGCGGTGAGTTAAGTTATTTTGGTCAGGAAGGCATGTCAGAGGCGACAGTTGGCAGTGTGAATTTTCAATTTCAATGCAGTTCCGAAAGTACAAATGGAACTGGCGTCCAGGGTGGACAAATTCCTGAATTAATTTTCTATGGACCGCCAACGGAAGATTGACGTAATTTCTCCTTGGAAATTATGGTTTGAAAAAGAAAAACTGTTATAAATTCATAATATTGTTTGTAAAGAAAAGTGTGCGTTTTTCTTCTTGTAATCTGTATTTGAGAGAAAAAAAGAAAGCTTTTTAAAGTTTGAATGTAGAGAATTCTTTTTTCTGTTGGAAAAGTCAAAAAGAGAAAGTAGTGATAGTTTAAAGACTGTTAGTTTCCTCGATTTGAGTAGAGAAGAGAAAAAAAAAGTTGTAAATTAGAATGAAACGCTTCGAGAAGTCTTTTTTTTTAAGAGAGAGAAAAACTAGAATACGGCCAACGAAAAGTATTATCGGCGATAAGATATTTAAGGGCTTCTGCATTTCTTGAGCGAATGAAATTTTGAAAACAAATACATATTTTTAATTTGGTATCGAACGAGAAAAATTTCTTCGCAGATCATTGCCTTTTGTCAAGTAGTTTAAAGAGCATATTTATAGATTTAATCTAGAAAAAAATAGTGCAATAAAGTGTATTATTCCTGTTATTAAAAAAAAAACAAAAACGTATTTGAAAGAACGTTTGGGCAATAGTTGAATAAAATGAAAAATTTTAGTGTCGAGACGATTAGAAATTTAGAAAACTATTTTTACTTGTGCGGGAGAAAAAAAAATAAATGAGGCAGAATGTCCAAAATAGGAAACACGATTTCTGTGCCAAAAAAAAGGAAAAGAAATGCGCAAAAAGTCGTCGACCTTCTTTGAAATCTTTCAATCTACTTGCGTAATTTACTACGCAAACTATATTGTACGAATAATAATTCTATTTTTCTGCACACAAATTCATTACTGACTTAAAAAACTCTGTAACTAATATAATTAAAGATTAATTGTCTTCATTGCTCAGCGAATTTCATTGTGACTTAATTTAAAAAAAAATCATACTTCATTTTTAGTAAACGTATTTCATTTTCGTATCATCTTATTTTTTAAGTGCTCTCCTTTTTATATTGTCAATTTTGAAAGACACATTTTTCGAATCTCTGAATTTTTATTATTTTATACTTGAGTTATTGAAATTATAATTCTAGTTTATAATTTATTCGAGTGCATTCTTTATCCCATTTTTCATTTCCTTCTATCCGAATATTTTTAAATTTTCAATTTTCCATCGACATTGAAAATAAATCAATATTGAGAAAACAGAAAATAGGGAAAATATATTTTAAAATAATTAGAACTCGAAAGAAATGCTAAAACTGACAAATGTGAAAATTTTGATTACAGCAGGGCTCGAACCAGTGAAAGTATTTAAAAATACGGACTTTATGGACCAAAAATGAAAATTTCGGACAATTTACGTTACTGACAAAAATAAAACCGGTCCAAGTCAAATAAGAGATCATTTTACTTAAAACTATAAATTAAATTTTTCATAATTCTATAAAACATAAAGATATCGATAACTAAAAAAAATTCTTCTTTAAATCGATTATCTATATTAATTTTTAATAATTTTCGAAAAAGCTCTTTGACAATTTTCAAATCTATTTCTTTACAATATAATAAAAAAATTCAATTAAACTTTTTCAAAAAAATTAATTTAAAAATTCAATTATTTCTAAAAATTCACGCTACATTGCTTTTAATATTCAATTATTATCTAAAATTTTAACGGAAATTAATTTTGTAATCAATTTTTATTAGAAAATTCTACTGAAATTCAATTATTTACATATAGGTACAAAAAAAACAATTTATTCGATAATTGAATGTTTCTTAAAATTCAATTCTTATAAAGAATTTTATCATCAAATTTTTAAATAATTGAATTCGACGAATTTTAATAAAACTTTTTAGAATTTTATCCATTTTTTGAGGAATTCGATTAAAATTGTATTAAAAATAATTGAAATTTTACGATGAATTTTATTACTCACGAAAATAATTTAATTCCAGTTAAATTTTTATTATTTATGAAAATAATTAAATGTTTGCGTAGAATTTTATTAACATTTTTTTTAAATAATTGAATTCTTCTGAAAAATCATTGAATTGAGGAAAATTTTTTGAATATAATTAGAATTTTGTCTAGAAATTTAAAAAAAATTTTGAATATAATTGGAATTTCATCTAGAAATTTATTAAAATTTTTGAAAATAATTGAATTTCAGAGAAGAATTTTATTATTTATAAAAATAATTAAAATTTTGACGAGAATTTTATTATTTATAAAGATAATTGAAATATTGACGAGAATTTAAACAAATTTTTGAAAATAATTTAATTTTTGCAAACATTTGAAACTTTTTTAAAATTCAATTATTTCTAAACATTCACGCTACAATACTTTTAATATTCAAATATATTATCTAAAATTTTAACTGAAATCAATTTTTAAATCAAATTTTATAAGAAAATACTTACGAGAATTCAATTATTTGAAAACAAAATTAAATAATTTATTGGATAATTGAATTTTTCTTAAAATTGAATCCTCATAAAGAATTTTATCAACAAATTTTTAAATAATTCAATTCTTTCGACGAATTTTAATAAAATTTTCAAAAATAATTACATTAAAATTGTTTTTAAAAACAATTGAAATTCTGCAATGAGTTTTAGTATTTATGAAAATAATTGAATTCCTAAAAAGAATTTTATTATTTACGAAAATAATTGAATCCATGTAAAAATTGTATTATTCATGAAAATAATTGAATAATAATTCATAAAAATAATTTGTAAATAATTGAATTCTTGTGAAATTTTTATTATTTTAGGAAAATAATATTAAAGGTTTGCGTAGAATTTTATTAAATTTTTTTTAAATAATTGAATTCTTTTGGACAATTTTTTAAAAATAATAAATATTGAAAATCATTGATTGAGGAAATTATTTGAAAATAATTGAAATTTTCCCAAGAATTTTATTAAAATTTATGAAAATAATTGAATTTCGGAGAAAAATTTAATTATTTTTAAGAATAATTGAAATTTTGACGAGAATTAAAAAAAATTTTTGAACAATATTTAATTATTGCGAAGAATATTATTACTATTGAAAATAATTCAATTTCTGCAATAATTTGTAACTTTTCCAAAATTAAAATTTGTTTTCGTGTTTTTAACTAAACTTCTTTTTTAAATCGATTATTTTTAATAATTTTTGAAGGAGTTCTTTAACAATTTTCAAATCCATTTCTTTCAAATATTCAATTTTACAAAATTTCAATTATTCGGAAATTCTGCATTTAAATATTTATTAAAAAATAAAAACTTGAAATACTTTTAATAAAAATCCTATTAAACTTTTAAAAAGAATTAATTCTACAGAATTGTTTGTCATAAATATGAAAAATTTAGATTTTTAAAGATTTTAATTTGAAAGCTTTTCAAAATTCAATTATTTCTAAAAATTCACACTCTAATGCTTTTAATATTCAATTATTATCTCAAATTTGAACTCAAATGTATTTTAAAATCAATTTTATTAGAAAATTCTACTAGAATTAAATTATTTAAATAAAAAAAACAATTTATTAAATAATTGCATGTTACTTTAAATTGAATTCTCACAAAGAATTTTATCAATATATTTAAATAATTGAATTCTTTTGACGAAATTTAAGAAAATCTTTAAGTATAATTACATTTTTTGAGGAATTCGATTAAAATTGTATTAAATATAATTAAAATTCTGCAATGAATTTTATTATTTATGAAAACAATTGAATTTCTAAAAAGAATTTTATTATTTACGAAAATAATTGAATCCGTGTAACAATTTTATTATTTATGAAAATTGAATGATTGCGAAGAAATTTATAAGAAAAATGTTAAATAATTGAATTCCTGTGAAATTTTTATTATTTTATGAAAATAATTAAAGGTTTGTGTAGAATTTTATTAATTTTTTTTAAATAATTGAATTGTTTTGGACAATTTTTTTAAAATAGTAAATATTGAAAATCATTGATTGAGGGAAGTTTTGGAAAATAATTGAATTTCCGAGAAAAATTTAATTGTTTCTAAAGATAATTGAAATTTTGACGAGAATTTAAAAAAATTGTTGAACATAATTGAATTTTTGCGAATAATTTTATTACTTTTGAAAATATAATTGAATTTCTGCAATCATTTGTAATTTCCGTAATTACTCTAAAATTCTAAAAATTTTGTCGTACAATTTACGAACTTTTCTTTTTTTTTCTCAAATCAAATTACGGACTTTACGGGCTTTTTTTAAAAAAAAAACTGACTTTTACGGACTTGAAGCGGGATTTACGAATCTAGTTCGAGCCATATGTGTGTTACATGATAAAATTTTGAATTAAAATAAAAATTAAATATACTTCACAATCTGAATAAATTTTCATTTCTAAAATGCAAAGCATATTTTTTTATACGTAACGGAAAATTTCTACAGTTTAGCATTTTTCGATTTCTACTTTTATGTTTTTAATTAAAAAATTGACTTACCCACTGCCGGCATTTGAATACAGAGGGCATGAGCAAATTTCAGGTAAGTTCTACCCAGTTCGTGAACACAGATTTGTAGAATGTCACTAATATCGATCAGCAGATCTGTAAAAATAATTTTCAAGCATAAAAATGTCGTCTTTTCTTATTTTATTTTTTCTGCTTATACAGTCGAACACGAATAAGAGAAATTTTAAATGAATAATTTTTTATGTCTAAATTTTGGTGTCTATCAAAAATTGACAACGATTTTTGTAACTTCAATAGGTAAAGAAGATTTTTTTTATTCATATTGTATAATAATTTCTTTCATCACTAGAAAAAAACTTACGTGGGGTTCCATTGGTTCTGCAGGTCATATAAACGCAGGCAGCATGATTGAGTTGTTGCTTTCTTCCTCGAGTTAAATTACGAGCAAGAGCCATTTTATAAAAATTCATTGATGTCTCAATATGAAGATGAGCTAATCTAAAAATTTTAGTTCAATTATTAGTATTACATTCCATTTAATTATTTATTTACTTTAATTATTATTACTGTTATCCCATAGTTTCTCTCAATTTTAAATTAATTATAATTTACTTAGAAATAATTTCATTATCAGGGTGCCTAGCAAGGATTAAGAAAAAAATTTCCTGACTTATTATTATTGTGGTCAAGTAATTATAATTTTCCTATAATTAAAGAATGGTCACAAGTTTCAGTTTATTAATTCTTTGACAATTTATTGACATTAAAATTATTTTCCTTGAAAAAATTCTTTTTACATAAAAATATGAAAGTTTAAAGAAAATAATCATTTTTTTAATCATTTTCTAAAATGTTCAACTAAACTTCATCTCTAAATCAATTATTTAAAATAATTTTCCGAAAGTTCTTCTAGAATTCAATTATTTATATACAAAAACTCAATTTTTTATTAAGGTACCTATAATATTTTCTAAAAATTATAATAAAGAAATTTTTACAATTAATTTTTTTAAAATATTTTTGAATAATTTTTGAAAGACAATAATTGTTTAATTATATATGAGGTGTAAGTTTTCAAAACCTGATAAATCCAAATTTTGTCATTTCGAGAAATTTAAACAAATAACGATTCTCACATAACCATTAAAATTAACTTTAATACAGAAAAATTGTAATAAATTATTCATTTTTTAATATTTTTTCTATTTACAATGCTCTGTTTGTAATTAAAGTTTATTGTAATAAGGAAATTCAAAGGTTTTGGTAATTTTTTCTAATAAAAAAAATTTAAATTAAAAATCATCAAGATTAGGCCAAAATACTTTTTAAATTCAAAATTCTTTAGTAATAAATTTTTTTTAAATTGAACAGTGATAAATCGATTTTTAAGGATTTTAATATTTTAAATATGTGTTTATCTCAATTTTTTAGAAAAATGGATTTATCAACTTTATACAATTGAAAAATGTTCAAACAATTGAAATTTGGTAAAATCTTTAAAAACAATTGAATTTAAAAAAAAAATAAAATTTGTAAAGAATTCTAATTATTATAATAAATTAGAACATGATTTCTCCGAAATTTTAATAAATCTAAAAAACTAAATTTTGGATGTAATTTTTTGAAAATAATTTAATTTCTTAAAAGAATTCTTGTATAATTTAAAAAAACTAATTAATTTTTTGATGAATTTTAATTAAAAATTTTGATCATGATTTTTTTCTCCAAAATGTTAAAAATAATTCTAAAATGTTATTATTTTTTGTATGTATTTAAATCTTCGGAAATATGATATTGAAAATATTGAAAATATTGAATTTGAAAAGATTAGAAGCTAATTTTCGTTAATTTGTATTTTTTTACATTTAAAGATTTTTCATTAAAATTTTTGATAATTCAATTATTTTCAAAATTTGCAAGTAAAATTCTTCAAAAGTTGGTTTTCAAAAATTTGTAATATAATAATACTTAAAGAAACAATTATTTTCAATTAAATTTTGCAAAATTTCAATTATTTAAAAAGATTTTTATTGTAGATGTATTTGGAAAATTTAATTATCTTAAAAAATGATTCAAAAATAATTTTTGAAAGATTTATTTATAGTTATTTTTCGCACTATAAAAATCGAAATGAGTTGCACTTTTTTCATTAAAAATTATGGTATTTTCTTGCAATTTTTGAAAAAGATTCGAAAAAAGTCTCAATTAATTTCCTGAACAATAATTTTTTTCCCTTACATTTCTCTGACTTTACTAACATGCGGCCACCCTGCTAATAATTAGTTAATTATAATTCACCTTAAATATTCTACTTAATCGTAATATTTATTAATTTCTTTAAAATTAGTTTACTATGGTTACTATATTATTTAATACGTGGGTGAAGTTCACAACATTTACGATCAACGATTGTAAGAAAAAAAATATTTTTTACACAGAAAACGAATTTTACAGATTTTTATTTTTTGAATTATTGTTGAAGAAATATTGTTACAAAAAAATTTCTAGCTAAAAGTTTGCATAAAAATTCTATCTTCTATTAAATCTATTAAATATATAATAAACCAATAAAAATCGTTGATTATAAACGTTGTGAACTTCACACGAACGTTATTTAAAAAAAATAAAACTTACGATAATTGATTACACAAATGAGTGATTCCTCGCTTTGCGTTCTGAATGGTGATTTCTCTAGATTCCTTGCCACTCATAGGAAATGCTTGAAAAAATTTTTTTATTTATAGAAAATTAAAATTTGAATAATTTTTATATGAACATTTTTTTATCGATTTTTTTTTTATTTTTTCGTTAATTATTTGAATTTTTTACCTCCACCAAAATGGTAAGGACCACCGGTGCTGTCGCTTGCGACAAACTGTCCCAGAAGAGTCATGTTCCCTGATGGTGATTCTTCGAAGGCAGTTTCGTTGACGATCAACTGATCTTCCAAAACAACACCACATTGTGTACATACTGCGTCTCCTCTCGCTGGATCTGTTTCGATCTCAGTGGATCCACAGGCACGACACTTTGATTCCGACATCTGTTGAATAAACAATTTTCGTTAGAATTATTTTACAACAATAAATAATTTCATTATAAAATAATAATAAGAAAAAGAATATAATTTCTTACTGTAGAATATAATAAAAATAAAAAATGAATTATAATAATAATTAGAATCATTACTTTGTAAAAAGAAGTATTTTTATTGCCAAAATATCATCACTACAACCTCGACTACAACTATTCTATTCTGTTAAAAAATTCTAATTGTTTTTGTTTACTATTTTATCTAATTGTTTATCGTTTAATTGTTACGAAGGGTCATCAGATTTTCTGATAATGACATTTATAAAAATTCTATTCAACTAAAGATAAAATAGTTTTATTTAGAAATGAGCATTGTTTCTTTTTTATCCACAATATCTCAGGACTAGAGCTATTATCTTTCTTTAATTTAATTTGTTCTTTACTTAGAAAAAAAATTGAATATTTAAATATTCTAAATATTAAATAGTAAAAATAAAAATGTAATAAATTAAAAAACAGTAAAATAAATATTTTAGAACAATAGTTTAAGCAAAAGCAATAAAAAGTAATTAAAATTAAAAATTGTGAAAAGGAAAAATCGTAAAATAAATGTAGCAAAAATAATAAATAGTAAAATAAAAAATTCTAATTATTATGCATTAATAATCTTTGTATTTTGTCAATAATCTGTTCGCAGTAATGTTTGATGTTAGTATTATTTTCGTTTGCTTTTTGTTTTCTAATTTAATTTTGATAATTTTTCTTTTTTAATGTTCTGAATTTTAAAATTAATGAAACTTTAATTTTAATGCTTTAAAGATTAAAAAACACCAAAAATTAATAAAACCAAATTATTATCATTCAGAAATAATTTTTTTCATTTTGAATCTGAAATAATTGAATTCTTATAAAGATAAGTTTATCCAAATTTTTAAAAATAATTTAATTTCTGCGAAGAATGTTAAAATTAACATTGTTTTTAATTATTCCTTCCAGAAATGTTATTTTAATTTTTATAAATAATTCAATTCCTTAGAGAAATTTTATTAATTATGAAAAAAAAATTTAAATCTTAATAAGAATTTTAATCAAAATTTTCAAAATAATTGAATTTCTCCGAAGAATTTTATTATTTAGGAAAAGAATTAAATTTTTTTGTTATAAAGAATTTTATTGACATTTTTCAAAATAACAAAATTTTTGCGGCGAATTTTATTGAAATCCTTTAAAATAATTCAATTCCTGAGAAGAATTCGATTAATTATACAAATAATTTAATTCTCATCATGAATTTTATTTAGGAAAAAACTGAATTTTTTCAAAATATTTAGATAATGAATTTTTTTTTCATTATAAAGAATTTCGTTGAAATTTTTCAAAATAATAAAATTTTTGCAACGAATTTTATTAAAATTCTTTAAAATAATTGAATTTCTGAGAAAAATTTTATGAAAATAAATTATTCTTTGCTAAGAATTTAATTCAATTTTTCGAAAATAATTTAATTTCTTCTGGAATTTAATTAAAAATTTTTTGAAAATGTAACAATTCTCCTAAAGAATTTAATTAAAAATTTTTAAAAATAATTGAATTTTAGCGAAAAATTTTATCCAATTTTTAAAAATAATTGAATTCTTTTGAAATTGCATTGAAAATAATTGAATTCCTGCGAAGAATTTTATAAATTATGAAAATAATTGAAAGTTTGCTAAGGAATTAATTAAAATTTTCAAAAATAATTAAATTTTTGCGAAGAATTGTATTATTTACAAAAATAATTGAATTCCTCCAAAGAATGTTATTATTTGTAAAAATAATTGAATTCAAACTAAAAATGTTATTATTTATCAGAATAATTGAATTGTTTCGAAGAATTTTATCAGAATTTTTGAAAATAATTGAATTTTTTTTTGAGAAATTTTATTAAAAATGGAATAAAAATAATTGAAATCAATCTAAAAATGTTTATTAAATCATTAAAAAATAGTAAATAATTGAATTTTATTAATATTTTAAAAAATAATTGTATTTTTTCGAGAAATTTTGTAAAAATTTTAATAATTTTAATTAGAAAATTTATAAATTATGAAAATAAGTAAATTTTTTCTAAGAATTTAATTAAAATTTTCGGAAAAGAATTGAATTTTTTCCAGGAATTCAATTAATATTCTATTAAAAATATTTCAATTCTCATAAAGAATTGAATAAAAATTTTTGAGAACAATTTTATTAATTTTTTAAAAATAATTGAATTTTTTTGAGAATTTTTTTTGAAATTGCATTCATAATAATTAAATTCCTGCGAAGAATTTTATAAATTATGAAAATAATTGAAAGTTTGCTAAGGATTTAATTAAAATTTTCAAAAATAATTGAATTTCTGTACAGAATTTTATTATTTACGAAAATAATTGAATTCCACCGAGGAATTTTACTATTAATAAAAATAATTCAATTCTTCTAAAGACAGTTATTATTTATGAGAATAATTGAATTGTTTCGAAGAATTTTATCAGAATTTTTGAAAATAATTGAATTTTTTTTGTGAAATTTTATTAAAAGTGGAATGAAAAAAAATTGAAATCAATCTAAAAATTTTTGTTAAAACATTAAAAAATAATAAATAATTGAATTTTATTAATATTTAAAAAAATAATTGTATTTTTTTGAGAAATTTTGTTAAAATTTTAATAAAAAAATTTATGAATTATGAAAATAAGTAAAATTTTGCTAATATTTGAAAATAGAATTTGTTTTTAATTTACACAATAATAACTAAAATAATAAATATTAAAATAAAAATAGAAAATTTGCAAATTGTAGAATATAAAAGAACAATAATAATAAATAGTAAAATTTGTAAAAAAAAATTATATAATAATAAATTAACAGATGCAATCAAATTACTTATTGAATTACTAGTGAATAAATAATTAAATTGCAATTTTAAATTAAAAATTTCAAATTTATTAAAAATTTATTCAATATTAATTCAATAAGTAATTTAATTGCAATTTAATATCAAAAATATAAATTTCACAGCCACAAATAAAAAAAAATTGCAATAAAAATTAAAACACATTTTCCTCTAATTTATAGAAACGTTTGAGTGAAATTTAAACTTTATATTACATTAGCTCAATGGTTATGTCTCCTGACTTGTATTTCAGTGAGGATATCTAGGTTCAATCCCAGATGCCTCGAGATTTTTTTACCGAGAAACTATATAAATCGCACAAAAAGCACGTGCTCACGTTTAAATGTCAGTTTTCTTTACAAAATGTAAAATCCACGTTAAAATTTTCTTACAAAAAAGTAGAATTAAAAAAGATGATACTGATGCGATATTTGGTTTAAATAGCCAGCAGGACTGATGCAATTACATTCAGAGGAGAATAAATGTAATTTTTCTCTTTCCAATTAAATTGAAAATCATTTCACTAATAAGATATTCAGATAGATTATTTTCAAGATTAATTAAAATATGAGAATATTCTTTAATTCATTGACATTATGTAAAATATATAATAGAAACTCTAACCTCAATGATAATTTAGAAACACGTTTTCTAGAAAGCAATATAGAAACAAATTTTGTGCTCATACCGTGAATGATGTTCAGTTATTTTTATTTCAGACAGAAAAAAATCTGCTGATGAACGATTTTAATTGGAAATCTGGTGGAAATTAATTTTCTTGTACTTGTATATAGTTGAATCGTTTTTAAAACAAAAAAATTCTCTCCACAATTCTCCACGTTATGGATCTGCAAGCAATGGCAAGGAAGACACACTTCTACACTTTTAACTCCATTTCATTTTACACAAGCTTGTCGGTGGCTTTTAGTTATAAAACATCTCGCGAGTGGCGTGACAGTCGCATTTATTTTACTTGAAGTTGTGAACGTGAACATGTGTTTCTCGGTTAGTAAATTCATGCATCAGGCTGCGTCTACAACAGAAAAAATAATGTGTAGAAAATTGTGTAATATATAGTGTTATTGACCCTGACAGTTGTCAATGCCAAAAACAATACACATTACACTACAAATTACACATTATTTTTTTCTATTGTAGACGCAGCCTCAAGAATTCCGGTAAAAACACACTTGTTTTCATGTGTTTTGCAAGTAATTTTCAAAGTGGAAAATAAAATAATGGACGAGGTTCGATTTATCATTTGTATTTAAAGAATTGTCTCAATATTATTGCTTATTTACTGTGGTACTTAGAAAATTAAAAAAAAGGAACTTTTTAAGTTTATTTACTTTTATAAGCGAATACCTAGCGCGAAACGCGAAACGTTTGTTTGTTTTTTAAATATTTATCAATTTCAACTGTTTTAAAATTAATTTTCATCTGTCATTAATTTATATCTGTCATTATATTATTTTATATTTTCGTATAAATAGATGGCATGTTTTAATTTAATATTGTTTAATAAACTTAATTTTCATTTAATTTTAATTTATTTGGTGTGAATTTTCTCATTACATTTCATATTTAAATAAACTTCTACTGTTCAAATTCTTTAAAATAAAAAAATTTACTTAAATAAAAATTGACGAAATTTCCAAATGTTTAAAATTTTTTCAATTATTTTCAGGAATTCAATTATTATACAAAATTTCAATAATTATGTCAAATAAAATATTTAAATGCGTAGATAATTAATTATTTTTCCACAAAAAATAAATTAAAATATTTGAATTTGAAATTTTCAAAAAAAAAAAATTATAATTGGAAACTTTCTGAAATTAAAATGTAACTTCTCCAAAATTAAATTATTTTATAATTCGTACCTAAAATTCTTCCTTAATAAAATTAAAAATAAAATATGTTAAATAAAATATTTAAATGCAAATATTATTTATTTTTCCACAAGAAATTAAATTAAAATATTTGAATTTGAAAACAAATTATAATAATATTCAAAACTTTCAGAAATTAAAATATTTCTGAAAATTGATACCACAACTTCTTGAAAATTCAATTATTTTATAATTCGTACACAAAATCAGAGAGACAAAATTTTTCTCTAATTAAATTCTTTTTTAAAAATTTTTCACAAATTTTTTTAAAAAATTCATTATTAAGTATTAAAAAAAAATGTAATAAATTTCACTAAAAAGAGTAATATTCAATTGTTTTCAATTCAATTTCACGAAATTTCGATTATTTGAAGATTTTTTAAAATTAATTTTGTATTCAAAAATTAAATTAATTTCAAACTAATTTAAATCCAAATTTAAAAAAAATCCTTTAAAATTTTTAAATAAAATTATCCTAATTTACAAAAAAAATTTGAATTTGTAACCTTCTGTAATTTTTAATTATTTATTAATATTTTAACTATATAACTCTTCTAATATTTAATTATTTTTACAATTTTGAACTAAAATTCACCTTTTAATTAATTATTATAATTATTTATAATAATTTTGAGAAAGTTCTTTGAGAGTTTAATTATTCAAAAAAGAAAATGAAGTTCTCTTAAAATTTGTCTAAAATTCAATTGTTCTTACAATTTCGAATTAACAAATCTTTTTCGATTATTTTTAATTTTCAATTTGTTCTTACAATTTCTAATTACCAAATCTTTTTGGATTTATTTTTAATTTTCAATTTGTTCTTCCATTTTCAATTTTACAAAAATTTAACCTGACTGTATTATTTACTAAAATTATTTTCTCAATCAATTCTTTAATAATTTTCATATACAAGAATTTTCGTTAAAGACACTACAAAAAAAATTTGAATTTTGGAGAAGTTACAAATAAATGCAGAAATTAAATTATTTTCAAAAATAATAAAATTCTTCACAGAAATTCAATTATGTTCAAAAATTTTTTTAAATTCTCGTCAAAATTTCAATTATATTTATAAATAATGAAATTTTTATCCGAAATTCAATTATTTCCAAAAATTTCAATAAAACTCTTGGCAAAATTTAAATTATTTTCAAAAATTTCCCTCAATTGAATGACTTTTTTTTAAAGGGATTCAATTATTTTCATAAATAATAAAATTCTTTATAGGAATTCAATTATTTTCCTAAACAATAAAATTCATTGCAGAAGTATTTGTAATAAAATTTTAATTGAATTCTTCGAAAAAATTCAATTCTTTAAAAATTTGTTGCGATAAAATTATTTATGAGAATTCAATAATTGAATTCTCAAAAATTTTAATAAAAAATCTTCAAGTGTAAATTTTATAAAAATGAAAATTAATTGAAATTGTCATTTTTTAAAAACATTTTATAAAATAATTGAAATTCTTCCAGAAATTTTTTTATTTATGAAAATAATTCAATTTTTGTGAAGAATTTTTTTATTTTTGAAAATAATTGAATTTTTGTGAAGAATTTTATCAAAAATGTTGAAAATAATTCCGATTTTATAGCGAAAAAGTAAAAACGTGGCTTTTTCACATGTTTCATTATTTATTTTGGACGTTTTTATTTATTTTTGATTTTTTGACTTTGGACATTTTTTATTTTAGATTTTTTGTACTTTGGACTTTTTTCCTTGGTCTTTCCGATCTGGATTTATGGAATTGGATTTTTTGTCCTGTAATCCTTTGAATTGTTTTATCATAATTTTTTAAGATTCAATTACCTTCAAAAGAAAATAAATTAAATTTTTTTTTAAATTTACTATTTTTTTTAGAAATTATTAAAATTTTGGAGAAATCATTTTTAATTAAATTTCTTCAAAAATTTGATTATTTTTTAATATTTTTTAAAAACTCAATTATTTTTCAAAGATTTAATCAAATTTCAATATTATTTTAAAAAAATTTTACCGAAAATTTCAATTTTTTGGACATATTTTAATTGTATGTAATTGTAAAAATATTTTCTTTCAATATTGTCAAAATTGTAAAAAAAAATCACATTTCTCGACAACAGATACATATTAATATCAAACAATCCGATATAAAATTTTAAAAAATTAAATAAAATTCATAGCAAAATTTTAGTTAGTTAATTTTAACATTTTTTTTTTTAAATTCTCTTTAAAATGGCAATTATTTTTATAAATAATGAAAATCTTCTCCGAAATTCAATTATTTAAAAAAAAATTTAATAAAATTCTTGTCAAACTTTCAATTATCTTTATAAATAATAAAATTCTTCTTTGAAATTCAATTATTTTCAAAAGTATTAAAATTCTTCGCAAAAATTCAATTATTTTCACAAAATTTGAAATAAAATTCTTCTTACGAATTCAATTATTTTCAAATATTAATAAAAATATTTGCAATAATTCAATTATTTTTAAAACGTTTAATAAAATTTTACGCAGAAATTCAATTATCTGCCAAAATTAATAAAATTATTCGCAGGAATTCAATTATTTTTTAAAATTAATAAAATTCTTTACAAGAATTCAATTATTTTTAAAGAAGTTTAAAATTCTTGGCTTTAAAATTCTCAGAAATTAAATTATTTGCCAAAATTAATAAAATTCATCCTAGAAATTCAATTATTTTCAAAAGTAATAAAATTCTTCTGCAAAATTCAATTACTTCCTAATGTTTTATAAATTTCTTCCCAATAATTCAATTATTTGCATAAAAAATAATTAAAAAAATTTTTTTTTTATAAAGTCATATAATAATAATTAATTAATGATTTTATCACTCGGTTATCTTTAATTATTATTAAACATGAAGACATCGATTGCTCTGAGTCGAAGACTCGGAGTGATCGATTTCTTCATGTTTTATATAACAATTTTTTATAAGTTGTTTAATTTCAAAAAGTTTTGAATTAGAATCTTTTGAAGAATTTTAATTCCTATGGAAAAATTATAATTAAATATTTATTTAAAAAAGAAGTTATTGATGTTTTAGAAAAATTTGAAAGAAATTTGTAAATAAATGTAACAGAACATTTCTTTGACTCAAACTTTTTACTTTAAATTTTTTCACAAAAAAGTCGAAAAAGTCGCACAATCCGAGCCCTGAAAATTTAAAAATAGTCTTTTTTTTTTTTTTTTTTTTTAATAATTTAACTCCCCTTGAAGTTTTTGTTTTTTTTTGTAATAACAATCGGGGAAAAAATTAAAGTTCCAATAAGAGCTGAATAAGAATCAACTGACAGTTTCTATTTTCAATTGAAAATTTGAAAATTTACACGAATCCTTCGCCACCTACAGTGATGTACAGAGTACTAGCTTTCATACTTCCGAGTTCCGACAAATCGCAGCAAATACTTTTTACTTTTTAAAGTGAATTGAGTGAAGTACATGCATGGAGAGAGCATTAGTCTCCTGCTGGTCTATTTTCCATGAGTTCACCAGGCACAGATGGTTCTGTGTCTGCATTCGACAGACGAAAAAAATAATGGCTGGGGGCGTACAATTATAATGTGCATGCAATATTTACTAGTTTCGTTCAACTTTTACACTTGTAGTGTTTCGTGATGATGTGCTTTCAAGTAATATTAGAAACGTCATCAATTAATGATATACAGAATTTACTTGTTTTCAAACTTAATAAATTCATTTGAAAGAGTATTAAAAAAAAAAAAAAAAGAGTGTTTTATATATGACCCTCAACAGGAACTACTGCGTGCATCCAACTACATCAACAATGTCCAATTATCGTTAATAAAATATATTCATAAACGAGTGTCATTTATACTATCAAATAAAAGTCATGGAAGCTGTCAATGGAGAACTTGAGACAAAGTACCAGAAAATTGCCACAGAATATTCCAAGGTAAATTTTTTATTTCTTTATTTTCATTTCTTTATTGTAAAAATAAATTTATTATTTTTACAATAAAATAAATTACTTGTAATTAATAAATTTGCGATTTCTATTAATTATACAAGTTTTAAAATCATATGCATCGTAGGCGCAGAAAATTAACGAAATTAACCCGTTTGAAAACATAACCTCTAATTATCGTGAATCAACATTTTTTTTTTATTGTTCCTGAAAATTGTTTCTTTATATAACAGATTTTATGATTCATTTTTTCAAATATTCTCCTCAAGATTAAGAAATATTTTCTAAATATTCTTTCTGATTTCTGATCCTTCTATAATGTACAGGGTTGTCATAAAAATTTAATTTTGTTTTTCCCTGATTTTCCAGACAAAATTCTGACTTTTTTTCTGAATCTAAAAAATATTCTGCGATTCACTCGAAAAATTATTAGATACCCAAAAAATGTTCTATTGGTTTATTTACGAATTTCCTTAATTGTAAAATTAATCAAAAACACCAATAACTTAATTTTCAAATAAATTTGTAACTATTTTTTCATGGGAACTATGATTTTCAAAATTTCTAATTCGTAGGTACCTTTTAAAATTCAATAACTTATAATAATTTAAAGGTGACCAAGTGATAACATCCTTAATTTATATTATGAAATAACAAGATTGTTACTGTAACTTTTTCAAAATTATGTTCATCATTTCAATTCAATTATTATTTCCTACAATTTATAAATAAAATTCTTCTTTAAATCAATATTAATAATTTTTTGAAAACGATCTTTGTGAATGTTCAAATCCATTTAATTCAATTCTTTCTAAAAATAGCAATTATTAGTAACTTAATCTAAAAATCAATTATTATCTAAAACTATAACTGAAATTAATTTTTAAATCAATTTTTATTAAAAAATTCTTCGAGAATTCAATTATTTAACTATAAAAATAAATAATATTTATTGAATAATTGAATGTTTTTTAAAATTAAAATCTTATACATAATTTTATTAACAAATTTTTAAATAATTGTATTCCTTCGATGAATTTTAATAATATTTTTATTAATAATTACATTCCTCATCGAATTCGATTAAAAGTTTATTAAAAATAATTAAAATTCTGCGATGGGTTTTACTGTTTATGAAAACAATTGAATTCCTATAAAGAATTTTATTTATTAAAATAATTGAATTATTGCAAAGAAATTTATTTATATTTTTTTTAAATAATTGAATTGTTTTGAAAAATTTTATTAAAATAGTATAGATATTGAAAATCATTGAATTGAGAAACATTTTTTAAAAAATAATTCAAATTTAGCTAAGAGTTTTATTAAAATTTTTGAAAATAATTGAATTTTGGAGAAGAATGTTATTATTTATAAAAATAATTGGAATGTTGACGAGAATTTTAAAAAACATTTGTAAATAATTTAATTTTTGCAAACATTTGTCCCCATTTCAAATTTCAATTATTTCTAAAAATTTACGCTACAATGCTTTTAATATTCAATAATTATAAAATAAAATTTTAACTGAAATTCATTTTTAAATCAATTTTTCAAAGAAAATGCTTCGAGAATTCAATTATTTAAATACAAAAATAAACAATTTATTGAATAATTGAATGTTTCTTAAATTTTAATTCGCATAAAGAATTTTATTAACAAATTTTTAAATAATTAAATTTTTTCAACGAATTTTAATAAAATTTTTAAGAATAATTAAATCCCTGAAAAGAATTAAAAATTTTTTATAAACAATTGAATTACTGCGAAGAATTTAATGCCAAATTTTTAAATATTTGAATTTTTCTAAAAAAAAAATTATGCAAATTCTATTTTAAATAATTGAATTCCAATGAAATTTTTATTTGTTAGGAAAATTGTTGAATTAAGAAAATTTTTTGAAAATAATTGAAATTTTGCCATGAATTTTATTAAAATGTGATTGAAAAATAATTGTATTTTATTACTGTTAAAAATAATTGAATTTTGCAATGAATTTTATTAAACTTCCTGAAAATAATTGAATTTTGTCGAAAAATTTTGCTATTCATTTATAAAGATAATTGAAATGTTGACATTTTTTTTTAGATTTTTGTAAAATAATTGAATTTCTGCAAAGAATTTTATTAATTTTGAATTAATTAAATTCTTGTGATGAATATTGTTATTCATGAAAATAATTGAATTTCGAGGATGAATTTTATTATTTATGAAAATAATTAAATTCCTCCGAGGAATTTTACTATTCATAAAAATAATTGAATTCTTCCAAAGAATTTTATTAATTTTGAGAATAATTGAATCGTTTCGAAGAATTTTATCAGAATTTTTGAAAATATTTTAATGTTTGCGTAGAATTTAATTAAAATTGTATTTCAATAATTGATTTAATTGATTTCTTTTAGAAAATCTTATTAAAATCGTAAATATTGAAAATTAATTTGAATTGAGGAAAATTTTTGCGAATAATATTGAAATTTTGCCAAGAATTTTATTTTAATTTTTGAAAATAATTGGATTTTTGAGAAAAATTGTATTATTTATAAAAATAATTGAATTTTTTACGAGAATTTAAAAACATTTTTCAAATTACTTGAATTTTTGTAAACTTTTTTTTTCAACTTTTTCAATTATTTCTAACAAATTTCGCTGCAATGCTTTTAATATGCAATTATTATCTAACATTTTAACTAAAATTCATTTTTAAATCAATTTTTATTAGAAAATTCTACTGGAATTCAATTATTTAAATACAAAAATAAATAATTTATTGAATAATTAAATGTTTCTTAAAATTCAATTCCCATAGAGAATTTTATCAACAAATTTTGTAAAGAATAATTGAATTCTTTCGACGAATTTTAATAAAATTTTTGTTACATTTTTCGAGGAATTCAATTAAAATTGTATTGAAAATAATTAAACTTCTGCAATGAGTTTTATTGTTTAAAAATTTTTTTTTTTTAAATAATTCAATTCTTTTCGAAAATTTTATTAAAATAATATTTATTAAAAATCATTGAATAAATTAATTTTTTCGATTTTTGGAAGACGTATATAAAAGGTAAAAGAAAAACACTCTTTTACTTTTTTATAAAATAGACGACGTTTCGGTGGTCAGGTTCGCCACCATCATCAGGTCACTAGTTAAAGTCAATAAATAAACATCACGTCAATAAATTAAAAACATAAATAAACGCAATACAACAAAAAAATAAAATATTTAAATTTACAAATCACAAACACACAAAATCACTCGTTTTAATATGTTTGTGATTTGTAAATTTAAATATTTTATTTTTTTGTTGTATTGCGTTTATTTATGTTTTTAATTTATTGACGTGATGTTTATTTATTGACTTTAACTAGTGACCTGATGATGGTGGCGAACCTGACCACCGAAACGTCGTCTATTTTATAAAAAAGTAAAAGAGTGTTTTTCTTTTACCTTTTATATACGTCTTCCAAAAATCGAAAAAATTAATTTATTAAATAACTGTGGAAGAATTTACTAAATATTTAAAAATCATTGAATTGAGGAATATTTTTGAAAATAATTGAAATTTTGTCTAGAATTTTATTAAAATTTTTCAAAATAATTGAATTTCAGAGAAGAATTTTATTATTTTTTAAATATAATTGAACTGTTGACGAGAATTTAAAAAAAATTTTGAAAACAATTTAATTTTTGCAAATATTTGTAACTTTTTCAAAATTCAATTATTTCTAAAAATTTATGCTATAGGTAATACTTTTAATATTCAATTATTATCTAAAATTATAACTAAAATTCATTTTTAAATTAATTTTTCTTAGAAAATTCTTCGAGAATTGAATTATTTAAATACAAAAATAAATAATTTAGTGAATAATTGAATGTTTGTTAAAATTGAATTCTCATAAAGAATTTTATTGCAACAAATTTTTAAAGAATTGAATTTTTTCGAGGAATTCAATTAAAATTGTATTAAAAATAATTAAACTTCTGCTATGAGTTCTATTGTTTTTAAAAATAATTGAATTCCTATAAAGAATTTTATTTTATTTATTAAAATAATTGAATTATTGCGAAGAAATTTGTAAACAAAATTTTAAATAATTGAATTTCTGTGAAATTGTTTTTTTTTAAATAATTCAATTCTTTTGGAAAATTTTATTAAAATAGTATATATTGAAAATCATTGAATTGAGGGAAATTTTTAAAAATAATTGAAATCTTACCAAAAATTTTATTAAAATTGTTGAAAATAATTGAATTTTGGAGAAGAATTTTAATATATTTATTAAGATAATTGAATTCTTTCAAAGAATTGCGTTAAAATTTTTTAAATTGAAACTAAATTAAAAATTAATTAAATTTAATTAAATTAATTAATTAACTTAATTAAACTAAACTATAAAATTTTAACTGAATTGAAATTAAAATTTTTCAAAAAAGTTACTTTGGTAAATGATTTATTAGTTATAACTTTATAGCAGTTCTTCAAAAGAATTAAGTTATTTAAAATAAATTATTGTCAAAAATAGAAAAAATGTAAGGTTTTTTTTAGAATTCGTGATAAATTGATAATTTATGAGTCAAACAAAAAGACACAAAAATTCTGAATTTTATCATAAATTTTAAAAATTTAATTTTTGTAAAATTAACAAATTTAAAAAATTTAATTTCTGTAAAAATAACAAATTTTAAAAATTTAATTTTTATAAAATTAACAAATTAATGTTTATTTTTCACTATCTTTACAGATTCGTGCGCAAGCAAAAATTTTAAAGACAGCCGTGATTGAGGAGCAAACACGTAATGCAGACATTCGTGAACAACTGAAAGAAAAAGAAGTGGAACTTCGTCGTGCCGAACAAGAATTGGACAGTCTTTCATTTCGTAATCAACAGCTCACTAAACGAATTACCGTATTACAAGAGGAATTAGATAAACTCCAAACGAAACCAAAACAAAAACGCAATAAATCATCAACAGAGAATAAGACTCAGCAGCCTCATTCGCAAAATCATATTCTCGATGAGGAATTTCAAAAGAAAATTATCGAAAATGCTCAATTATTATCGCTAATTGCCGATAAGGATAATGAAATAGATGCATTGAGAGAGGAGATTAAATTCTTTGAAAATAAATTAACACACTGCGAAAAAACGAAATTAACATTGGAGGCGCATTATCGTGAAATTATTGATAAATTTGAACGTGAACGCGATGATTTACAGAGGAAATTGAGCGAGAAACAAAAGCAAGAGGAAACAGTTTCATGGTCAAGTGGCGAGGGTAAACGTGAGGGTTGTGATTATGATTTGAGAATAGGAATAATAAATCATCGTCAGAATGATCATTCGCCACTATCGTCGCCATCGGCATCGCGAAGATCATCGAAATCAACGCTAGAAATGGGCCCGAGAAAACAATGGCTACCAACGCAGGAGGACAATAGCGATGATTATGATTTCACTAAACCACTGGAACTTGAAAAAGAATTGAATCACTGGAAAGCGCAATATAATATTTTAAAACTCAAATACGATGAGATTGTGGTTAAGGAAAGTTTAGAAACACACATGGCCGATAATGATTCTCTGCAGCCTATTGAGATTAATAATATGGTAATTTTTTATTAATAATACAAATTTTATTTATTTTTCTTCACATGGAATGAAAGGAATAAAAATTCTCATCATTCCTTTCATCGAATAATTGAATTTACAAAGTGGAAAATATAAAAAAAGCTCAGAAATATTGAAAGCAATTCGTTAGCTTAATTATTTGCTTTTTTTATTTTTAACAAACAAAAAATTCAATCCTTTGAAATTTTTTTTAATGTTCCTAAGTTTAAATTACTTAAAGGATCATAGATTTATAAATTTTTACCCTTTTGACTCTAAAAATGATTCAATTCATCAAAGTTTGAATTTATCAACATTTTTCATCGATTTAAAATTTACTTGGTCCAAATTTCCAATTAATCTAAATTTAAATGACTTGAAACTTCTTAATTAAAATTTTAATCGATAGAAATTTAAATTCATTCTAATTCTAATTAATCTTCACTTCAATTAATTCAAAATTCAATTTCTTCAAATTTTTATCTATTCAAAATTCAATTTATCCAAATTTTTATCTTCTCAAAATACAATTTCAGGGGTGCCACAAATATTTAATTTTATTTTTCCCTTATTTCCAGACAAAATTTTCACTTTTTCCCTGACCATAAAGAATATTCTGATTCACTCTAAAAATTATTAGATACTCAAAAAAAAAATTCTATTACATTTACTTACGAATTTCTTAAATTGTAAAATTATTCGCAAACATCAATAACTAAATTTTTAAATAAGTATTTAATTATTATTTTTCCATGGGAATTAAAATTCAAACATTTTTAAAATTAAACATCTTATAAGAATATCTTCATGTTTTATAAAAACTTTAATTTCCTTAAAATTTTTCAAAAAAAAAAAATTAAATTATTTACAAAAATTTTAATAAAATTCTAAGCAAGAATTCAATTATTTTAATAAATAATAAAATTCTCCACATGGTTTCAATTATTTTTAATGCAATTTCAGATAAATTTCTCGAAAAATAAAATTATCTTCAAAAATTTTTTGCAAGAATTAAATTAGGTACATTTCACAAATAATGAAATTCTTCGCTGAAATTCAAAAAATTTCAAAATTTACATTTTTAATACAAGTTTTCAAAAGAATATTCTAATTATTTAAATAAAATGTAATAAAATTCGTTGCATAAATTCAATTATTTTTACAAGTAATAAAATTTTTCACATGAATTCAATTATTTAAAAAAAAATTGATAAAATTCGTTGTAAGAATTTCATTATTTTCATAAATTATAAAATTTTTCTGAGGATTTCAATTATTTATAGTACAATTGAAAGGAAATTTCTAGAAAAATGGAATTATTCTCTTAATTTTTTTGTAAGAATTTAATTACATTTCACTAATATAATGAAATTCTTGGTTGAAATTGAAATATTTTCAGAATCTACTTTTTTAATAAAAGTTTTCAAAAAAATTCAATTATTTAAAAAAATGTAATAAAATTCGATGTAGAAATTCAATTATTTTCATAAATAATAAGATTCTTTACATTATTTCAATTATTTAAGAAAAAATTTGAAAAAATTCATTGCAAGAATTCAATTACTTTCATAAATTAATAAAATTCTTCATAGGATTTCAATTATTTTTAATACAATTTTAAGTAAATTCTTCGAAAAATGAACTATTTTCAAAAATTTTGTTAAAATTCTTCGAAAGAATTCAATTATGTATTTTATCAATTATGTATTTTTAAAAATTCATGCTACAATGCTTTTAATATTCAATTATTATCTAAAATTTTAACTAATATTAATTTTTAAATCAATTTTCATTGGAAAATTCTACGAGAATTCAATTATTTAAATACAAAAATAAATAATTTAATAAAAATAAATAAATGTTTTTCGAAACTAAATTATCATAAAGAATTTTATCAACAAATTTTGAATTTTTTCGAGAAATTTTAATAAAATTTTCAAGAATAATTAAATTTTTCGAGGAATTCAATTAAAATTGTATTAAAAATAATTGAAATTCTATGATGAATTTCATTATGCATGAAAATAATTGAATTTTTGTAAAAAAAAAAATGTTATTGTTTTTGAAAATACATAATTGAATTATTGCAAAGTTTGCTTAGAATTTTATCAAGAATTTTTTTTTTTTAATAATTTAATTCTTTTGAAAAATTTTATTAAAACTGTAGATATTGTAAAATCATTGAATTGAAAAAATTTTTGGAAAATAATTGAAATTTTGCAAAGAATTTTATTAAATTTTTTGGAAAATAATTGAAATTTGGAGAAGAATTTTATTATTTTTGAAAGATAATTGAATTTTGACGAGAATTTTTTTTTTAATTTTTAACATATTTGAATTTTTGCGAAGAATTTTATCACTTTAGAAAAATTAATTGAATTTCTGCAATTATTTGTGGAAAATTTGACTCATTTTAATTTTTAATAATCATTAATTCAATGCATTGAAGCTTAAAATTGTAATTGCTCGAAATTTAAATTAATTATAATGCTAATTATTCTTTACTTTAATTAATCCGAAATTCCATTCGTCCAAATTTCAAATCTATTTAAAATATAAACCTAAAAATTTAATTTAAATTATTTTGATAATTTGTTACTTTTTTCATCTTTTTCATGATTTAATTAGTTTTTGAATGTAATATTGTTTCTTTCTTGTAAAATTAAAATTTATTAATATAAAATGCAAATAAAAGTTCAGAAATGTAGAAAAAGAATTAGTGGATGAAGAAGAAATTTTTTTTACTATTTCTGAGCTTGAATTAATTGAAAAAAAATCAAAATTTAAAAATTTTCGAATTTTGTTTTCATAAAACATTCAATTAATTCAAGCTTCAATTTACTAAAATTTTTCGTCGATTTAAATTTACTTGTTCCATATTTCCAATGAATCTAAATTTAAATTACTTGAAGTATTTCTTGCCTGAAATTATAATCAATCGAAATTTAAATACATTCTGATTCTAATTTATCTTTACTTCAAGTAATTAAAAATTTTATACATCCAAAGTATAGCTAATTTCAAAAATTATTATTTATTAAATTATTTATTAATATTCACTTTAATCAAATTTTACAAGATTCTAATATTAAAATCGATAAAAATTTCAATTTTATTAAAATTTTAATTCGATTTTCAAGTGATTCAATTTGATTTTGAGCGAAAAAATTAATGAATCAACTTACCAACTAGGTAGAAAGATGTTTATTTGTAATTTCTAAAATATTATTTTCTAAATTTGGAAACAAACAAATTTTCAGATTGGGAGATTAACAACACCATTTGCTGTCCCTGAAGAAATCGAGGCGAGGGAAGCAAAAATTAGAGAATACTTTTTACGAGAAATAGATAAACTAGTAACTGAAAAACACCTTTGTCACGTCAAAAATCTGGCAATTGCTACCAATGTAAGTGAAAATTTACTTAAACAAAATTACCTTTTTATTTTTTATGAGAGTGTGAAAAATTACCAGCAACAATTTCAATACAAAATAAAATATAAAAACTTCGGAAAAAATATTTCAAAATGAAAAAATTTTCCATTTTCTTTTCAGAACGAAGTAACGAACGTTCATTTAGATACAAGCGAGGCAAGAAGAGAAAAATGCGAAACAGAATTAAAAGAAACGCTCTCAAGTTGGAATAGATTACAAGAAGATAAGGAAGCTCAAGAAGGAAATTATAAATTACAATTGAGCACTATGAGCGAGCATCTTGCCAATATGAACGAAAAATTAATTCAACAAACCGAGGAGATTCAACAACTCAAATTTGAGCTTTCGAACAAAGTAATTCGACATTAAATATTTTTTCATTCTTTTTAATCAATTAATTTCCTAATATTTACAACCACATTTTTTTCTTCTTTAATTTAATTATTATTTATTATTATTATTTATTAAAAACGAATTTTTAAAATTTTTCACTTTTCCAGAACACTAAAAGGGGAAAATAAAGACTAACACAAGTGTCGATTTAATCGGCAATCTGACACATTCCGTGATAAAAAAAAGAAGAAAAAAATTCTTGCTAACCAAGTTTTTATGTACATACTAAAAAAAAATTACAGATGACTAGCAATGAATTCGATTTCTGCCGATCTTTACACTTGTAGTTATCTTTTGAATTCGATGTTTTTATTTATAAAATATTAAATAAATCTCTAAATGTTTATTTGTCTATTTCTCTTTTTTTAATCTCATCACTCTTTACTTTGGAAATTAAAAAAGAAATTTCACGAATATTGGAAAGAGATCCAAAAAGTAGGAGGAAAATATTACTACTATATTGGGACGTAATTTACAAAATTATATATTATAAATTATAATCTTCTAATAATTTCTTACCCTCTTCTTCCCGTAACAAAAACTTATTCATACAATTTAATAAAAATTTTAACACGAAACAATAAATTCTATACAAAATAGAATTGAATAAATTTGAAATATCAAATTTCAAATATATTCTTTATATAAATGTGTGTGTATTTAAAATATGCATCTTATTTTTAAAATAGTTTCAAATAATCACTTTCTTTCTTGGGACGACGTAGAAGACTAAAAAAAAATAATAATTTCGTCGAAAATTAATCTAATTTAACAGCAAAACTAACGCCACAGCTGCAACCTTGTTCAGCTAGAGGATTATTCGTTATTCTAAAAGCCGAACGAATTAATTCTTTGTGATATTCGACAGTTGCGCCTTTCACATATTCTAATGATGTTGAATCTATCACTATTTTTGCTCCATCTTTTTGGAAAATTCTGTAAATTCAAAATTTTAATGAATTTCAATGTTCAATAACAAAAGGATATAAAAATAATCGCACAGAATTGCTACGGTTGGAGAAGAAGGAAAATTTATTTCTTTCATTTTCAAACTATTCTAAAACAAGATCTTCTCAATTTTGACAAGAATGTAAAAATTGATTTTTTTTTGTCAATTAAAATTACAATATTAACTAAGCAAATAAAACAACGTAGTACTCCAACTCTTATTATTGTGCGAACTACAAAATTTTTTAATTTTGAATATCAACTTCGATTCTTGAATATTTGATTATTATTATTTATTATTTTCAAAAATGTTAATAAAATTCTTAGCTAATAACCAAATAATTTTATAAATAATAAAACTCTAAATAATAAAATTCTTAGGAGAAATTAAATTATTGTTAATAAAATTTATTTTAATAAAATTTTTCGATCAATTAAATTTTAATAAAACTTCTCAAAAAGTTCAATTATTTTTAAAAAATAAAATTCTTCACAGAAATTCAAATTTTTTTTCAAAAATATTAAAATAAAATTCTTTACAAAAAATTCAATTAATTTCCACAAATTTCCATAAAAATCAATGTAAAAATCAACTTGTTTTAAAAAAATAATAAAATTCTTCGCACGAATTCAATTATTTTTTAAAATTTTCATAAACTTCAAGATTTACATTAAAATTCTTGAAAACAACTAAATTCTCACAAGGAATGCAATTAAAATTACATAAAAAAAAATTACGTAATTCTTATAAAGAATAAAATCAAATTTTTTTTTAAATAATTTACTTTCTGTAAAAAATTTTTTTATTAATAGAGAAAATTGAATTTTTGTCTAGAATTTGATTTAGAATTTTAGATTATTGAAAATAATTGAATTTTTGTGAAAAATTTTATTAAACTTATTAAAAATAATTTAATTTTTTCAAGAAATTTATTATTTATTGAAAATAATTTTAATTCTTGCAAAAAATTATACTTAAATTTTAAAAAATAATTGAGTTCGTGTCAAGATTTTATTAAAATTTTTGAATATAATTGAATTTCTGCAATGAATTTTGTTATTAAATTCTGGTCAAGAATTTAGCTAAAAATTTTTAAAATAATAGATTTTCTGCGAAGAATTATATTATTTATTAAAATAATTGAATTCTTACCAAAAATGTTATTAAAATTTTTTATAACAATTTAATTGTTTCGAAGAAATTTATTAAAATTTTTTAAAATAATTGAATTCTTGAAAAGAATTTTATTAAAATTATTGGAAATAATTGAATTGAATTTAAAACATTTAACTTATTTAGAATAATTGAATTCCTACGAATGATTTTATTATTTATGAAAATAATTCAATTTTTGCTCAAAATTGTATTATGTGTAAAAATAATTGAATTCTTGCATAAAATTTCATTAATATTTTTGATACTAATTGAATTTCAGCGACAAATTTTATGTTTTGAGAAAACAATAGAAATATGATGAAGAATTTTAAGAAATTTTTGGAAAATAATTTAATTGTTTCGAAAATTTTTATTTTTTATGAAAAAATTTTAATTTTTGCTAAGAATATTTTAATTTTTGAATATAATTAAATTGTCGTAAAGAATTTTATTAAAATTTTTGATAACAATTTAATTGTTTCGAAGAAATTAATTAAAATTTTTGAAAATAATTGAATTCTTGCGAAGAATTTGATTAAAATTTTTGGAAATAATTGAATTTTAGAGACGAATTTTATTTATCTATAAAAATAATTGAATTCCTCCGAGAAACTTCTCTTTAAAAATGTTTTGAAAGTAATTGAATTTCTGCTAAGAATTTTATAGAAATTTATGAAAATAATTGAATTCTTTAGAAAAATTTTGATAAAATTTCTAGAAAGAAATCAATTATATTCAATGCAATTTGAATTCAATTCATCGAAACTGTATTTAATTATTTTCAATACAATTTTAATAAAAATCCTCGAAAAAATTCAATTATTTTCAATAAATAATAAAATTCTTCGCAGACTTTCAATTAATTTTTAAATATTTTAAAAATATTCTTTTTAAATTTGGTTATGATTTCAATTTTAAATAAAAATTTTCAATCACATTCAATTAATTTAAAAAAATATTGAAATTTTTATTAATTGAATTTTTAATGTTTCCACTTCAAGCTCTAACTTTTGATAAATAATATTTTTTTAATAGCGTAAATATTTTATAATTAACTTTTCGATTGATTTTAACTTTAATTGTTTAAAAATTCTTAAAGTAGAATAAAATTTAAGTTTCTAATATTTAAAATTCAAATAAAATGAATTTGAGACCAATTTTGAAAAACAAATCGATTAAAATTTCCATTAATCGAATTAAGAATAATTTGTAAAATAAATCAAACATTTAATAAATTGAAAATTCATAGATTTCTCAATTTCAATCAACTATTGAATTTACATTTTGATTAAAATTACAACGAATTAATATTTTTGTAAATTTAATTTAACAAGTTTATTCAGATTTGAATGAATAAAATTAAAAATCGATAAAAATTTAATTATAAAAATATAGTTAAAATAAAAAAATAAAATAATATTAAATAAAAAAAGTTTTATTCAAACAGTTTTTTTAAATTGAGGAAAAATTTGACGGACAGTCATAAATCATTTATTATTGACAAAAAATTATAATTTTTATTCAAATATAACTTTAAATTGTTCAAAATCTAGAAAATTAAATGCCTTACGCTTCTACCAAAAGGAATTTAATATTTAATTTGTCTTTTTCTTTTAAAATATGAAATTATAACATTGGATTAAATTTCGTTCCGATTATTTGTCAGATTCAAAATTTGTATCAATCTAAATTGGAAAAAATTTATTTTGGAATTAATATTGAAATTTTAATCGTTTTAATAATTCAATTAATAATAAATATTCATCAAAATTTTATTTATCTCCAAATATAATAATATTTGGACATGAATAAAATTTTTAAATAAGAGGAAAAAAATTATACCTAAATTTTCGATTTTCTTAACAACTGAAAAATAATTTCCAAAATTTCTAATTTTTTGTTTTAGTGTTTTTAACACCGTAGCATCTCTGTGTCGATAAATTGCTACATTGATTGTTGATATTTACTTATCGTCGTCTTGAATATTGGAATCCAAGTCAAATTTATATTGAAATCCGGAACAACCTCCACCTTCAACGGTCACTCGTAAACAAGCTCCATTTTCCGAAATTTCTTTTAAACGTCTAACACAACTATCGCTAATTAGAAGTGCATCCTCAGATGTATTAACAGCAGTTTTGGCTGATGAATTTCGTTGAATTGAAACAGGAATATTTATTCTCGATGGCCTTAAAAAAGAAAATTTATAAATTTCAATAAACCTATGCAAAACGAAATTTATAATTTATTTAAAAAGTAAATTTATTTATTAAACTTTTATTTAAAAAATCGTTATTTTATTTACAACCAAATTATTTTAGAAAACATTTAACCCAAAACAAAAAAAAAAAAAAAAACATTTAAATCCAATAATTCGATAAGTAAATAATACCATTAAATTAAATTGATTTTTATTCAAAATATCAAAACTTTTTGTTTAAATATTAAATTAAATTTGAATTGTATTTAAAATTATTTTATTATTTTTTAATAATTAATTGACATTCCGAAAAATAAGAATTAGAAAATTTTGTAGGTTATGAAAATAATTTTGAATGAAAAATTATCTCTTGCTGTTAAATATACATATAAGTACAAATTAAAAATAGTGGAAACTAATATATTATAAATCGTCATTCGAACGTGAGAAGAGAAATAGAATTTAAAGAATTTCGCTTATTTTTCAATGAAGGAGATTTTGTCAAGTTACTAAAGTGTTGTAAATAAAATAACAGAGAATACAGAAATAAAATTGAATTGTTTACTAACGTCAATAATCTTGAAAAGTATTGATTTGATGCGAAATTTGATGAAAGTCCCCAAACCGCTTTTGTCAGTTTCGCCATATTTATTTTTATTTCACAACAATAATTTCTGTATGTAGTTGTTGTATATAGTTGTTAAAATATATCGACTTGTTCATTTAACAACGTAATGAAACGCAAATTGTCGTAAATGTACTTAAATTGGAAGCACTGACAGTACGTAAATTCTCAAAGTTTGATTCGTTACCACCTTTCGCGCGTTATTTAAAATGAATTCAAATTTTTGAAAACGAATATTTTTTTGAAATTATATTGTTAACAACAATTCTTGTTAATCAATCGTTAAGTTTAAAAAAAATATAGTTACAAAACTATTTTCGAAATTGAAATTAATTAGCCAAAACTGCTTTTTTGTTTCCTAACTTTTTCAATACATTTTCTTTTTAAATATTTTCAATTTTAAAATTAATGTATTGAAAATCATTGAATTCTCGCAAAGAATTTTATCAAAAAATTTGATGTGTAATAGAATTCCTTCGAAGAATTTTATTATTTAGGAAAATAATTTAATTCTCGTGAGGAATTATGTTAAAATTTTCGAAAATTCTAATTAAATTCTTTTTGAAGAATTTCTTTGAATTTTTTAAAAATCATAATGGAGTTTTTATTTTTGTAAATTTTAATTAAAATTTTTTAAAATAATTGAATTTTATAAACAATTTCTTTTAAGTTTTTAAAATATTCGTGTTTTTTTTAAATTGAAATTGAACATTTAATTATTGAATTTTATTAAAATTTTAGAAAACAAATGAATTCTTTTAAAAAGTTTTAAAAAAAAATAGAATTCTTTTGTGAAATTTTTTTGTGTAATTGAATTTTTGCAATGAATTTTACTATTTATAAATAATAATTAAATTAATTCGAAAAATTTATTAAAATTTTTAAAATAATTGAATATTTACGAAAAATTTATTAAAAATTTTTAAAATAATTGAATTTTTACGAAAAATTTATTAAAAATTTTAAAAAAGAAATTGATTTTTTTCATAAAAATGTTTTGTATTAAAAATAATTGAATTTCTGTTAAGAATTTTGTATTTATAAATATAATTGAATTTTCTTTCGTGATATTGTTTTGAAAATAATTGAAATTTTGCAAAGAATTTTACTGTTTTAAATAAAATTGATTTTTTTCGAAGAATTTATTAAAATTTTAGAAAATAATTGAATTTTTTCAAAAAAAAAATTATAAATGTAAACAAAAAAATGAATTCTTTCATGAAATGTTATTAAAATTGTATTCAAAATAATTTTAATTGAATTTTTGGAAAGAGTTTTACTATTTATAAATATAATTGAATTTTTTCGAAGAATATATTAAAATTTTTGGAAAATAATTGAATTCTATTGAAATTTTTATACCAAATTAAGAAAAAAAAATGGAATTCTTTCGAAAAATTTTTTTTGAAAATAATTCAAATTTTGCAGTGAATTTTACTATTTATAAATAAAATTGAATTCTTTCGAAGGATTTATTAAAGTTTTTTAAAATAATTGAATTTTTATGAAAAATATGAAAAATTAAAGAAAATTGAATTACTTTCATGAAATGTTATTAAAATTGTATTAACAATAATTGAATTTTTTTTTAAGTTTGAATCTGAAATTATTCAAAAATTTATATTTGAAAATAAAAAATAAATTTTATATATTTCGACAATATTAAATTATTTTAATATTTGCCTTTTATTAAAACTGCTTTTGTAATTTCTTATTCAATTAATTATTCCTATCGTTAACTTTCAACGAATTTATTTAAAATTTTATTTAAGAAAATTTTTTCTTAGATTAAAAATTAGAAACTGGATATAAAAATATTAAAAAACTTTTTTTTTATGAAAATTCTCATATACAGATGGAAATTTATTTTTAAAAAATATATTGCAATTTTTTTTAAATTTAGAAAACGATTTAAAATTCAATTAATATTTTTTAAAATTTTAATTAATTTTTCAATTAATCATATGAGATTTTTTTACTTAATATAAAAATCTAAAATATCAATATCTGAATTCTGAAAAAAGTTAAAAAAAATAGTAAAATAAAAGTCACTGAAAATTTATAATTAGAAAAGAAGTAAATAAAATTATAAAATTTACCTTAGTTGGAAATGGAAAAAAGCAAGATTGGAATCTTTCCAAACTTCATTCAGCACTTTGCACACAAACACACGAAAATAAAATACTTGATTTAAATTAATTTAACAAAATTTTTAAAATATATAATATTAAAAATTATAAATTTAATTAAAAAGAAGACAAATTTAAAATTAATTTTTAACTTTTCAAACAAATTACTGACTTTCTTGAAGTTTTTATATAACAATATATTTAAATTAGCTGTTTTAAATTCGCGAAATTTATTTTCAAAAAAACTGAAAACGCGCACTGAATTTAAACTTTTTTTTTCATTTGTCTACATTGGTTTAAAAAATTCACAATTTGAAATTTTTATTCCCTTTTCCTGCATTTTTTTTGCTTTTTTGCTTCTCATTTTCCACAGATGACGCTGAAAAATAAAACAAACATTTTTATTAATTAATTTCGTTTATTTGATAGGTATAAATGAGAAATAATCGTTTAAAAATCATTTTCAATCATGAATTCACAAATTAGAAAAAATTAACGTAACTATCAGCAAAATATTTTTTCATACCTCAGGCACAAAATAGACGCTTTTATTTGCAAATGATTTGTTAAAAAATAAAAAAAAATTTCAGAAGATAATTTTCCGAAAAGAAATATGTGCAACAAAATAACAATTTTTTTGATTATGGCAAAAATATTTAATAATTTGCTATAAATGAACATTTTTATTTAAAGAGAAATTTTTCATTGGTTGCTATTTTGTATTTACAATAATGACGTCGAGCGTCGAAAATTTGACAATAATTTTATACAATAAAATTTGTATAGTAAAAAATTTTCATAGAAAAAGCTTTCTTTTATACTAATTATCATGAAATTTCAAGAAATTTAAGAAAAAATTCAAGGATTTTAGCGATTTCATCGGATTTTTATGTAACAATGTTTCGCGGCCATATTTTTTCGCAACAATATTGACAAAGACGAAAAGTCAACAATCACGACTATCGAAATATTTGGAAAATAGTGAAAATTTTAAAATAATGCAATTTTCGTTGAAAAGTCTATTGATTTCCGAAGATTTGCACAATTTCCGAAGAAAATTGCAAGATTTAAAAAAAAATTTTCCCGATATCGACGTAGCAATCGAGGATTTTTGTCAGTGCAAAGTATATGACCTTGACAAAAATCAATTTTACTTATTTATACAAAAATGTTACGTCCATTCTTACCAAACATTTTTCAAATAATAATAATAATGTTTCGTCACTATTGTGACATGGATATTTAACAGGATTGAAGAAAAATCTTGTTAAAACTGATAAAACATTCAGGAGATACTTACAACAAAGAGACACTGCACAGCAGGCTGCAGGAGGCCGAAGGAAACAAGTGAACTATATGCCGCGATGTAATTGGCTGTTTGGAAAATTTCTAAAATGGCCGACTTGAATGTAACGAGCTCTCTGATTGGCTGACAAGAGCTACCTGCCGCCCTCTGGTCCTCTTTTCACGAAGCTGTCAAGTTGTCACAATAATACGTTAAATCCGTTAAACAATAAACAAATTATTTCAATTTATACAAATAAATAATGTCTGATTTGTTTTAATAGTAGTGCACGCAAGAGGAAATTTGAAAAAAATGCGTTCTGAATATTTCAAGTTTTTGTTTTATACGCAAATTGTATGTTTGAAACGATTGAAACTGTTATTATGAAATTGGTACAGGAGCGGAAGAAAGAGGAAAAACGTTATTTTCTTTATTTACACTTTTGAGTTTTATTTTACACATTTACATCAAATATTTGTAAGTAGAATTTTTCCGTTTTTATAATTTACTGTTTATTCTTTGAAAATACTAAATTTGTGTATTTATCGTGATTTACATCGACTGAATTTTATAGAGGTTATGTTTTTATTTTTCAAAATCCTTCCTTGTTTGTAAGTATATATATATATAAATATTTCACAAGGATAAATATTTTTTTATTTATTTAAATTAAAAATTATAATATTGTGTTAATTTATTAATATTTGTGTGATATTTAATTAACGTTGACATAACGAGGTTACAATAAAATTTGTTTGTTTACATTCGATATACTTTTATTTTTACTATAAAAATTTCTACTTTATAAATAAATAAAATAAATGTTTATTTGAATTTAAACTTTAAATACTTGTTTCATATTTATAAGTATTTATTTATAATACAAAGTTATTTTATTTAAAAAATAACACAAAAGTTTTTATCGTTTTTATTCATTTTTATTTTTTCTGTTTTTAATACTGGAAAACATTAAATTTAATAATTCAAATTCTTTTGAAATTATAGTTAATTATTAAAAATAATGTATTTAAATTGAAGAATTTTAGACAAAAACACTAAAAAAGAATTAAATTTTGAAAAATTTACAAATTATTGCAAAAATTCAATTATTTTCAAAAGAAATAAAGTTCTTTCTTAAAAATTCAATTACATATGATCAAAAATTTAAAAAAAATTCTGGTCAAAATTTCAATTTTCTTTATAAATAATAAAATTCTTTTCCAAAATTCAATTATTTTCAAAAATTTGAATAAAATTCTTGTTAAAATTTTAACTATATTCAAAATTTTTCAAACGAATTCAATTGTCTAAAAAAATTTTAATAAATAAAATTCTACGATAACATAATTATTTTCAGAGATAATAAAAATTTTACAGAAATTCAATTATTTACAAATTTTTTATAAATTTCTTCGCAACAATTCCATTACTTTCGTAAATAATAAAAATTTAACAGGAATTCCATTATTTTCCAAAATAATAAAACTTATCTCAGAATTTCAATTATATATTTTTTAATACAATTTTAATCTAATTCCTTGAAAAGTGTAATTATTCTTAAAAATTTTTATTAAAATTCGTACAAAGAATTCAATTATTTTCACAAGAATAACAATATTCATCACAAGAATTCCATTATTTGCAAAAGTAATAAAATTCTATTATTTTCAAAAATTTTAATAAAATTCTTCGCAAACATTTTGATAAAATTCTTTATGAGAATTAAATTTTAAGAAACATTCAATTATTCAATAAATTATTTATTTTTGTATTAAAACAAATTGAATTCTCGTAGAATTTTCTAATAAAAAATTGATTTAAAAATTAATTTCAGTTAAAAATTTTAGATAATAATTGAATATTAAATGCATTATAGCTTTAATTTTGGAAATATTTCAGACTAAAATCTTTAAAAATTTGAATTTTTCATACTTTTAACTAATAATTCTGTTAGAATTAATTTCTTTGAAAAAGTTTAATTGATTTATTTTTTGAAATTATTTGAAGTTTTTATTTTCTAATATTTAAAAATAATTGATTTGAAGAAGAATTTTAGTTAAAAATTGTAGAAAATAATAATTGAATTAAAATGATGAAAATAATTTTGAAGAAGTTAGAATAACAATATTTTTATATTATAAAATAATGAATTTATCATTTGGCCATTTTTATTTATTATAAAACATGAAGAAATCAATTACTCCTAGTCGAAGACTCTGAGTGATCGATATCTTCATGTTTTGTAATAATATTCTAAAAAGTTGTTAAATTTCGAAAAAGTTTGAATTTGAAAAGTTTGAAAAAAAATTGAAAAATTGAAATTTTTTGTTGAAAATTTTTTTTATTAGAACTTTTTTTTGAGTATTTATAATCATTTTTAGAGTGAATCAAAATATTCTTTCGGGTCAGAGAAAAACTCAAAATTTAGTCTGGAAATCAGGAAAAAGTCAGGGAAGAGCAAAATTAAATTTTTCTGGCAACCCTTTTTTCTGGATAAAAAAATTTTCTTTAATTATAAATTTTAATTTTATTTTTGTTTAATAAGTAGAATACTGTTTGATATTTTTTTAACGTTTACAATTTGTCTTTTACGATGTTCGGAACATTTATAATCGATATTATTGTGTTAATTAATTAATTAACAATTGTTAATTAGTTTTGTCATTTTAACAAATTTTATTTATAGCAATATTAGTATTTTTCTCCAAGAATTTATTAAGAAGAAAAATATTGCCAATAAAACACTCTCTCTCTCTCTCTCAAATCTATATTTTTAATTCTATTATTTTTAAAATTGATATTTTATATGTTTCTAGGAAAATTGCGAAACTTGAAATTTCCTCCTGTTGGTGGTCCAGGATGACGAACATAAAATACAAAAATTCTAGGTATTTCGATATTATATTTAAAAAAGGGAATTTCACCAGAACGGTTTTACGCTTATTTACGAATATCTACGTCTTCTCTTCTCACAATTTTTTGGAGGGGGAGTATTATTATAAATGTTTTTCATCGTGACATTTGCTCACCGGCCCATAGAGGTGCCCATAGGATAAATTGTCTAACTACGGAGATGCTCGATCAACTCCGAAATGAAAGCCGAAGTCAAGAGGGATTCATCCTTGTAGTACGTATGCGCGGAGTTGCCTCTTGTGTGTCGCGAGACCGATGAGCAGCGACCAATTGAACGATTTTTGTTTTAAGAGAGAGAAAAGGAACATTTACAAGAATAAGAAGAAAAAAGAAAAATACGAGAGAGAGAATATACAATATTCGTGAATAACGGAATACGGTCACACACACACATCGGGAAGGAACAAAAAATTTATTATTTAACGACACACAATTTATTTTGAATCAATAAAAAATATGAATGGCTATTAAAAAAATAGAAAATCAAATATAAAATACCCCGCAAAGAAAAAGAAATTCGTGAGTGCATTTTGGATTGAAGCGGAGACCTATGGCTGTCAGGACAGCTCGACGTCAAATTAACTTGAGTTTAGAAGAAATAATTTCAAGTATTAAGAAAGTTGTTTCTCTCTCGATAAATTCGTCCTTTTCATCGTTTCATATTATTGTGAGAGGAAATTCGTCTTTGACGAGGAGCCACTATTCTTGCTCTCGTTCTCGCCAACTCGGTTATGTGTAAACGTGAGGTGCAAGTGGAGGTGTTTATAACTACGTACTTGGTGACAAGTGGCGGTGAAGGAAAACGACGTTCGCCAAAGTCACCAGGAAACCTCGGAGACTGATGATTACAAACAAAAATTCATATATAAATTCACATTTTTGAATATTTAAGAATTTGAAAAAAAGAAATATAAATATTTTATCGATATTTCAAATATTCCAGGACACACGACATCTCATTTAATTCTCAATACAGTAGTGTTTTGTTTTCGTTTTTTTGTAAATAAAATATTTGGATTTACAAAGAAAAAAAAAAAAAAAATGTTCACCGGAACGATAAAAGTGGAGATTTGCCAGGCCTCAGGTCTCAGGGCAACTGATAAGCAAAGAAAATTCTGGCAGGACGAATCGCCAATTCTCGACCCCTATGTTTCAATGGATGTCGATGAAAATCCATTGGATCGCTCTTCCACAAAGCCAAAAACATTTGATCCAGTTTGGAATGAAAGTTTCACCCATGAAATTCAGGATGCAATGATGTTGAATCTCACCGTCTTCCACAATGCTGCCCTGCCTCCCGATGATTTTGTGGCTAACTGTTGCATCCCCTTCGAGGAACTCCTTCAAAGGGATGATTCAGCTGCTGACTTTTGGGTGTGTTTTATTTCAACTATTTTTTAATTTCTCTCCTTTTTTTTCCAATTTTATTTTTTTCCTTCCTTTATTGTGTTTCTAAAACAGGAAATTTTTTATCAAATACAGGAAGTTTTCTATGACACATTAGATATATATGAGAAAAATTCTGATAGAGAAAAAATCTAATTGAAAATCAAATTGAAAAATTTAACTAAATTACAAGCCTCGGATATTATGACTTTTTCTATTTTTTCCGACTATGTATTTTAAAAAATAATGTGACTTTTATCGACTTATTCATTAAAAAATTGCAACTTTTACGACTTTTTTTTACTCATTTTGCGACAAAATACACCAAATTTTCAATATAAACTGTAACTTATATTTCAATTTTTATTTGAGTGAAAAAAGTACAAGACAATTTTTAGAAAAGTTAGTTTTGATAAAATTTTCCTAATTAAATTTTCGAATTAAACAATTAAAAAACTTTTGCAATAACACAAAAGTTTTTATTCATTTTTTATATTTTTACTTTGACTGTTTTTACTACTGAATAAAAAGGTAATTTAATAATTCAAATTCTTTTGAAATTAGTTCAATTTTTTAATACCTATATATTTAATTAATTATTAAAAATTAATTAAGGGTTCAAATAAAATATCTAAATATCTATGTCATTATTAAAAATAATGTATTTATTGAAAAATTTTCGAGAAGTTACAAATTATTGCAGAAATTCAATTATTTTCAAAAGAAATAAAGTTCTTACGTAAAAATTCAATTATGTCAAAAAATTTAGAAAAATTCTCGTCAATATATATTTCAATTATCTTTATAAATAATAAAATTCTTCTCCGAAATTCAATTTTTTTTGAAAATTTTTTTTTTGAGAAATAATATTTTTACAGGAATTCAATTATTTAAAATTTTTTTTATAAATTTCTTCGCAATAATTCCATATTTTTCGTAAATAATAAATTTTTTTTTAAAAGATTCAATTATTATTTTCAAAAAATATTCGAAATTCATTTATTTTCATAAAATTTCGCAAAATTCAATTATTTAAAGAAAAAAATTGATAAAATTCATCCAAAATTCAATTTTGATAAAATTCTAAACAAGAATTCAATTATTTTCATAAATAACTGTAAAACTCATCCAAGAATTTCAATTATTTTTAATACTATTTTAAAATAATTAATCAAAAAATTTAATTATTTAAAATATAATTTTCATATTTATTATATTTCGAAAAAATGGTTATAAAATTCCTATGAAGAATTATTCAATTATTTTCAAAAATAACAAAATTTAACACAAAAATGCAATTCTTTTTTAAACATTTTAATCAAACTTTCCGCATTAATTCAATTATTTTTACAAATAATAAAATTCTTCTTAAGAATTCAATTCTTTATTCATATAACAAACAAAACTCATCGCAGACTTTCAATTATTTTTAATACAATTGAAATTAAATTATTCAAAAGAATTTATATTATTCTTTAAAATTTTCGTCAAATGATTGAAATGTATTAAATTATTTCGAAAAATGTTAATAAAGCCCTTCACAACTCAATTATTTTTATAAATAATAAAATGATTCAAAGGAATACAATTTTTAAAGAAATTAATAAAAATCGTTGCAAGAATTAAATTATTTTCATAAATAATAAAAATCTTCACAGGTTTTCAATTAATTTTAATACAATCTTAAATTGAATTCCTCGAAAAATGTAATTATTTTCAAAAGTTTTATTAAAATTCTTCGAAAGAATAAAATTTTAAAAAACATTCAATTCAATAAATTATTAATTTTATATGCAAATAATTGAATTCTCGTAGAATTTTCTAATAAAAATTGATTTAAAAATAAATTTCAGTTAAAATTTTAGATAATAATTGAATTAATATACAAATGGATTTGAAAATTCTTAAAGAACTTTTTCAAAAATAATTGATTTAATGAAGAATTCGATCGATATTTTCATGTTTTATAATAATATTCTTAAAAGTTGTAGAATTTAAAAAAGGTTTGAGTTTGAAATTTTTGAAAATTTTAATTCCTATGGAAAAATAAAAATAATAAAATTTAGTAAAAGAATTCAATTATTAAAAAAAATTGATGATAAAATTAACCCAAAATTCAATTTTAATAAAATTTTTCGCAATTAAATTCAATTATTTTCATAAATAATCAAATTCATCTCAGGAATTGAATTATTTTTGAAAATTTTAATAAAACTCTTTGCAACTATTCAATTATTTTCATAAATAATAAAATTCATCGCAGGATTTCAATTATTTTTAATACAATTTCACAGGAATTTCTCAAAAAATGTAATAATTCTTAAATATTTAATTTCAATTCCTCGAAAAAATAAATTATTTAAAAATATGTTTTTTTAAATTCTTTGGAAGAATTCAATTATTTTCAAATATTTTAATAAAATTGTTCGAAAGAATTTAATTATTAAAGATAAATAACAAAATTATTCCGGAAAATTCAATTATTTTGAGGCACTTTAATAAAATTCTTTGCAAAATTCAGTTATTTTCATAAATGACAATATTCATCACAAAAATTTAATTATTTTTAAAAGTAATAAATTTCTTCTTGGAAATTCAATTATTTTAAAAAATTCTTATAAAATCGTTCGCAAGAATTCAATTATTGTCAAAAATTTGAATTGAATTCTTTGTAAAATTTAATTATTTTTAAAAACTTTTCGCAATTCAATGATTTTCAATATCTACTATTTTCATAAAATTTCCAAACAGAATTCAATTATTTAAAAATTTTCTGTAAAGATCTTCTTAAAAATTCAATTCTTTTCATGGATAAGAAAAATTTGCCAGTAATTTAATTATTTAAATTATAATTTGCATAAAATTAGTCGAAAGGAATCAATTATTTAAAAACTTTCATAAAATTCTTCGCAAGAATTAAATTATTTTTATAAATATTTTAATTCTTTCGCATGAATGATAAAATTCATTTTTGTCAGTTTTGTGAAGTGTCTAAAACGAGTTTTTTTATCGTCAAGTTGCATTTTTTGATAGCTACTTTTTTATTACTACTTTTTTTTAGTTTAAAAGCTACTTTTTTAAAATTAATAAACGGTTGCGAAGTCTGCTTTTGAATAATTGAAATTTTTTTTATTTATTTAAAATTTGGACGGACAAAAAGTCCTTAACAAGAGAAATCTTATAATCTAAAGAAAATTACAAAAGCAATGAATCGTAATACTTTTACTTTTACGAAATTTTGTAAAATTTATTTGAAAATAATTTATTTTTTCCAAGTATTTCATATTATAAATTTTGAAAATCAACTTTTGAAGAAATTCAATTATTTGCAAAATTTTGAAAATAATTTAATTCTCAAAAATTTTAATGAAAAATCTTCAAGTGTAATAAATTTAATGAAAATGAAAATTAGTTTCTAAAAATTATATTGAAATATTTTTGAAAAAAAGTAATTCTCAGAATTTGTTCACTCTAATTTTTAAAATTCAAGTATTTTAAATTATATTCGATTAAATATTTCCGAAAATCCAAGTACATACAAAAAATAACAACATTAAAATTTTTTAAAATTATTTTTAACATTTTAGAGAAAATAATTATATTCAAAACTTTTAATTAAAATTCTTCAAAAAATTAATTAGTTTTTTTTTGAAATTATGCAAAAACTCGTTTTTATAAATTCAATTATTTTTGAAAATATTACATTAAAATCAGTGAAGAATCAGGGAAATACAAAATAAAATGTTAGTAACAAGACTGAATTAAATAAACGACTTTTTCGACTTTTTTTCTATTTTTAATCGACTAAAGAGACTTTTTTTGCTCGTTAAAGTCGATCCGAGGCCTGAAATTATAAAAATTTATTATATAAAATAAAATATTTTATTTTTTTTCGTGAAAAATTCAAAAATAAAATATTAAATTTAATACATTTTTTGTTTGCTTTCAGGATCGTTACTGTTCTTCTATTTTTTTCCCTAAAGGGATATATTTTTATTTTGCAAAAAATTTAGAGCAGAAAAATCGAAACACAAAAAGAAGAATTTTACGAAAAGTAAATGTAGAAAAAAAAATTAAAAGAAAACAATTTTTAAATTTGATATTCACGGGAAACATTACAAGTATGATTAGATTGAATATCACCATTATTATTTTCTGATGATATTCAATATTTAAAAACATTTCTCTGAGAAATTTTTTATTTAATTCACGATTTAAAAAAGAATAGAATAGAAAAAATTTAGTGAAATAATGTAATTTTTTCATTAAATAGAATTGATTTCAGTGAGTTTAATATAAATATCAAATAGGCAAAATTTCAAAATAATTCGAAATTTACAAAATAAATTTGGAACTTATGAAATTAAAATTAAAATAAAAAAAATATAATTATAACAAAATTAATAAATTAGAATATTAAAACAAAAAAAAAAAAAACATTAAAATTGAAACAAAATCGAAACATTAAATGATTAAAATTAACAATTCGATTTTGATTCAGTTTTAATTTTTTGGTTTTAATTTTAATTTGTTAATTTCGTTATTAATTTGTATTGTTCTTTCTATTTGATTTTAAGTTGGTAATTTTTAATTTTTCAAAAATATTTAATGAATTAATTAACAAACTTTGCTATTAATTGAGTAAAATTTTTTTCGAAAATTAAAAATTACTGAAAATTTAGTTTGTCTAAAGATTATTAAAATCAAATTATTATCATTATTAATAATAATTATAATGAACGTACATTATTATTATTAACATCATTATTATTATTATTTTTGATAGGTGGACACTTTTTTTAAAAAATATTTTCTTATTCTTTTTGTTTGAAAAATGTCGATTTCTAATGAAATGTGTCTTCTAAAAAAATTTTTTCTAGTATGTTTTGAATTCTAAAAAAAAGTTTTTCTAAAAAGTTGTTTTCTTTCTTGAAATTTGTGAAATTTCATAATTTTGATAAAAGTTAGAAAATTGTTTTAAAAAATTTAGATTAGGAAATAGAAACTGTTTTGTATATTTTTTGCCTCTCCATCACAATTGTATTCACAAAATTATGAGTTTATTTTTGAAAAAAAAAGAAAAATTGTATGAAATTCCTATTTCTTATCACAATTTTTTAACAAAATTCTATTCTTCTTTGAAAAAAAAGAAATAATTTTCATCATTTTTATACGAAAATTTCAAAAATTAATATATTTATAAAACATTTTTTTAAGAAAATTTTAAATATCTTTAGGAAAAAATCCCTATAATTTTTATTTGTTAATTACGATTTTTAACTAGATTATTTAAAAACTTTCTTAAAAAATTTGCATAATTTATATTTTTTTTTACAATTTCTTAATTAACAAACTCTGAAGTATTTTTTTTAAAGAATTAAAAAATTTTCATAAATTTTATTTTTAAATCATATTATACTTATTGATCGTCAGTACAAAAATGGACTTTTTCGTCCATCCAAACTTAAATAAATAAATATTATTAGAAAAAAAATTTAAAAATTACCTTCATTAGAAAAAGGTTTTTTAAAAATTCACCTTTTGTTAGAAAAAAAGTTTTCGAAAATAGAAAATTAGAAAACATTCTTTTTCTAATGAAGGTAATTTTCTAAAATTTTTATTTTCAAATAATATTCAATACAAAGTGAATTTTCAGGAACTAGAATACAAGAATTTTAAAAAATCCAAAAATATTTTACATCTATTACTAATATTCAATTTTTAGTTTTTCGTTTTTCTTATGAAGATGAATTTCTACTGAATGTATTTATTAATTCAATTTAATTATTCAAGTATGCGGATAATTAATGTAATTTTAAATGATTTAATTTGAAATTGCAGAAATCGTTTCTTGTTATTTGCAAACAACTTCGAAGAAGTCTGATCAGTCATTTTGTATGATTTCAAAATTATTATCGTGTTAAAGTCAAACACTTTTCTTTTTTTAAATTTCAAGTTTATAAATTCACAGTAAAAAAAATGCTAATGGGGCTTTATTATTAGTTTTTTATTTTTAATAACTCAATTTAAAATAATTATTCTTCTAGAAAAATTATAGAATCTTCATAAATTTCAGAAAAGAAAGATTTCAGAAATAAAATATTATCAGAAGCTGTAAAATAATTTTTACAAATAAAAACTTAATAGAAAATTTTGTTTACAGATCATAAATAGTTAGGAATACTTTTTTTTAGAAAACTGATTTCATTAGAAATCACTTTTTTCTCCGAAAAAGAGAAATAGAAAATACTCTTTTAAAAAAAGTTACCACCTACCTTTTATTACAATAATATTATTTATTTTTTATTTGACTCGAAAAAAATTACCTTTCTTTCTATATAATTATTTATTTTTATTTTACATATTATAAAAATTATTAATTTATAAATTAATTAATTAAATTTTGATTTAAAATTGACATAAAATAAAATCGAAAATAGAATATAATTTAATATTTAAAAATGATAAATAAAATGCTTCTAGAGTCGATAATAAAATTATAATTTAATCGAGCAAAAGTAAAAAATTGATAATAAGATACAAGAATTAAGTAAATTATAAATTAATAATTAATTACATGGACTGAATTATAATTTCAATTAGATGAATTATTCAACTTGATTTCCATGTTTTGATTATAATCTTTAATTTTCATTTCGATGTAATGAAATCGAAAATTCCTTTTTTTATTTTCTATAATTTTCACCTATTTCGAAATTATAAATATTATAATTATAAATAAAAGAAAATAATTTGACGATTTAGTGAAAAATTATTCTTTTTTTCATTAAAATAAAACAAATAAGAAAAAAATGTATTTTTAATTATAATTTTTTTTGTATTTCTTATTTTGAAGAAAAAGTCTATGAAATACCTATAATATTTTATTTTCCAAATATCATTTATTTCGAAATAAGTATATTTAAAATAATTTGACATAATTAAAATTTTATTAAAAATTTTGAAAAGAATTACATTCTATTTAAGAATTTTATTAAAATTTTTTTTTAAGAATTAAATTCTTTCGAAGAATTTTATTAAAATAGCATTGAAAACAAATTGTATTCTTATAAAGAATTTTATCCAAATTTAAAGAAATAATTGAATTCCTGCAAATTTAATATAATTATTTATGTAAATAATTGAATTCTTGCGAAGAATTTAATTGCAATTTTTGAAAATAATTGAAATTTTTTAGAGAATTGAATTTAAATTGTGTTGAAAATAATAGAATTTATTTGAATACTTTAATTAAAATGTTATTGAAAATAATTGAATTCTTTTGATGAATCTTTAATTTAATTTTTTTCTACAAATTTTACTAAAATTGTATTAAAAATAATTTAATTCCTGCAAAGAAATTTATTACCTATTTATGTAAATAATTGAATTCTTGCGAAGAATTTAATTTAAATTTTTGAAAATATAATTAAAATTTTCTAGAGAATTGAATTCAAATTATGTTGAAAATATTAAAATTTATTTAAATAATTTAATTAAAATTTTATTGAAAATAATACAATTCTTTTGATTAATTTTATCGAAATTAAAAAATAATTGAATTTTTCATTATATAAATTTTATTAAAATTGTATTGAAAATAATTGAATTCCTGCAAAGGAATTTAATATTTGTATAAATAATTGAATTCTTGCGAAGAATTTTATTTCGATTTTTGAAAATAATTGAAATTTTTTAGAGAATTGACTTCAAATTGTGTTGAAAATAATAGATTTTATTTGAATAATTTAATTAAAATATTATTGAAAATAACTCAATTCGTTTGATGAATTTTATCAAAATTAAAAAAAATAATTGAATTTTTTCCACAAAGTTTACTAAAATATTGAAAATAATAATTGAATTCCTGCAAAGAAATTTATTATTTATGTAAATAATTGAATTCTTGTGAGAGAAATTTATTATTTATGTAAATAATTGAATTCTTTGGAAGAATTTAATTTTAATTTTTGAAAATAATTAAAATTTTTTAGGGAATTGAATTCAAATTGTGTTGAAAATAATAAAATTTATTTGAATAATTTAATTTTAATTTTTGAAAATAATAAAATTTTTTTAGAGAATTGAATTTAAATTGTGTTGAAAATAATAAAATTTATTTGAATAATTTAATTAAAGTGTTATTATAGTTTTATTAGTATTTTTTATTTTGAAGAAAAAATCTACGAAATCAAATTTTTTATTTTTCAATTTTCATTTATTTCGAAATTAGGATATTTGAAATAATTTGACAATTTAATTCAAAATTATTCTTTCTTTTAAAATAAATTAAATAAATAAGGAAAAAACGTATTTAAAATTAATTCTTTTTAATTAGTTCTCTTAGTATTTTTTATTTTTTTTTTTAAAGAAAAAAAAAGATCTATCAAAATTGATTTAGAGTACTCTTAATTATTTTTGCATCAAAGTAAAACAATTTTTCTTACAGTCCCATCCCTGTACTGAAATAAGTGGCTTTGTACTAAAATTAGATTCAACTCACGTGTAAGATTACTTCAGCATCATAATAATTTTAGTTGAGATGATTATTTTCCTATATAGTTGTTGTTTCATTTTCTTATAATTTTGTGTTGAAACACACTTGAAAAGTACTTGCCATCCTTCTAAAGTCAATAATGAGCACCCATTGAGGCTTAATTAGTGTATTTTTTTCATTATTTATTATTTATTATTTAAAATTCAAATGAAACATTCATGTCTATCGTATGGCCTTCTTCTTCTTCTTCTTCTTTTGTCAATTTTTTTTCTTTCCTTCTTTTTCGGTTAATTGTTTCCAGTCCCCTGAATATATAATAACAAAAAAAACAATCATCAATTGCTTATATAGTAATATAATTATTTTTATACTTGTTAATTACACATGTCGTGAGAATTAAACAATGTATAATTGTTTTACACAATCACTTTTGAAAAACATTCATTTTTATTGATTCACACTTGCGTTTGAATTAAAAAGAATTCTTTTATTGTTGTTCAATTATTTTTTGTATTAGAAAATAATTAGAAAATAATTTCTGTCAATTCTCAATTGTTTCTGGATTTAAAAAATTTGTATTTAAATAAAATTCCTTTTTATTTTTTTCGTTAGTTCTAGAATTAAAAAAAAATTTTTGTCGATTCTCAGTTGCTTCTGAATTTAAAATATTTGAATTAAAAAGAATTCTTATTGTTTTCCACTTTTTTTTTTTAATAAAAAAAATTTTGTCAATTCTCATTTTTTCAGAATTTAAAAAATTTGAATTAAAAAGAATTCTTTTATTGTTTTTTAATTGTTTTTTAAATTAGATAAAAATTTCTGTCAATTTTTACTTGTTTCTAAATTTAAAAAAATTGATTTAAATAGAATCACTTTTTATTTTTTTCGTTAGTTTTTGAATTAGAACAAAATTTATGTTGATTCTCATTTGTTTCTGAATTTAAAAAATTTGTATTAAAAATAATTCTTTTTGTGTTTTTCACTTATTTTTGAATTAGAAAAAATTTTTTGTAGATTCTCACTTGTTTCTAAATTTAAAAAATTTGAATTTAACAGACTTATTGTTATTTTTTTATTAGTTATTGAATCAAAAAAAATTTTTGTCGATTATTATTTGTTTCTAAATGTTCTGAATTTAAAAAAAAATTGAATTAAAAAGATATCTTTTTATTCTTTTTCACTTATTTTTCAATAAGAAAAAAAAATTTCTATCAATTCTCATTTTTCTGAATTTAAAAAATTTGAATTAAAAAGAATTCTTTTTTACTTTTTTTTGAATTAGAAAAAAAATTCTGTCGATTCCCTTTTTTTCTGAATTTAAAATTTGAATTGAAAAATTCTTTTATTGTTTTTCAATTATTATTTGAATTAGATAAAAATTTCTTTCAATTTTCACTTGTTTCTGAATTTAAAAAATTTGTATTAAACAAAATTCTTTTCATTGTTTTTCCCTTGTTTCTGAATTTAAAAACTTGGTATTAAAAATACTTATTTTTATTATAGTTTTTCACTTGTTTTTGAATTAGAAAAAAATTTCTGTCGATTCAAATTTTTTCTGAATTTAAAAAATTTGAATTAAAATGAATTTTTATTGTTTTTCACTTGTTTTTGAATTAGAAAAAAATTTTGTCGATTCTTTTATGTTTCTGAATTGAATTAATTTGAATTAGAAAATAATTTCTGTCGATTTTAATTATTTCTGAATTTAAAATTTGAATTAAAAAAAATTCTTTTAATTGTTTTTTATTTATTTTTAAATTATTGTATTTCAATTGCATTTTTCAATTTCAATTAAGTAGAAAAAATTTTTTGTAAATTTTCACTTGTTTCTGAATTTAAAAAATTTGTATTAAAAATATTTCTTTTTATTATTATTATTTTTCACTTGTTTTTGAATTAGAAAAAAAAATTTTGTCGATTCTTTCATGTTTCTGAATTGAATTAATTTGAATTAAAAATAATTATTTTGATTGGCTTTCACTTGTTTTTGAATTAGAAAAAAAAATTTCTATCGATTTTAATTATTTCTATATTTAAAAAACTTGAATTAAAGAAAAATTATTTTCATTGTTTTTCATTTGTTTTTGAATTATTGTTTTTTAATTGCTTTTTTAAGTAGAAAAAAATTTCGGTTAATTTTTACTTGTTTCTGAATTTAAAACATTTGTATTAAAAATATATTTTTTTATTCTTATTTTTCACTTGTTTTTGAATTAGAAAAAATTTTTGTCGTACTTGTTTCTGAATTGAATTAATTTGATTTAAAAAATAATTATTTTGGTTTTTTGTCACTTGTTTTTGAATTAGAAGAAAAAATTTCTATGGATTCTTATTTGTTTCTGAATTTAAAAAATTTGAATTAAAAAGAATTATTTCGATTCTTTTTTAATTTTTTTTTTTGAATTAGAAAAAAATTTCTCTCGATTTTCATTTATTTCTGAATTCAAAAAAATTCTTTTTCTTCCTCAGTTGAGTTTGAAAAAATATTTCTTAGTTCTCAACTTTTTACGTGAATATCAAACTCAAGAGACTAATTTTTAATTACACTTACCAGATGTAATTTCCATTTCTTACTGATAACAAAAATTTCTTTTTTCCTTCTTCTTTATTTACTTCTATTTGCAAAAAAAAATAAAATAATTTTTTGGTAAAAAAGCGAAAAAAAACCAATTCACCGGTTTTTGCAGAACTGTGTAATAATAATTTTTGAAGACACGCAGTTCTTTGACGACACTTTTAACTAGAGATAAGATTATGAAAACAAACTGAAGAAAAAAAAACCCATTCTCGAGATTGTATTCAGTGATTAGCGGAGTGTCTATAAACTAATTTTGTAAAATTATTTTTCCCCTCTCAAAAAAAAGGAGAAAAAAAATTGTACATTCCGATAAGAGTTCATTATAACCCATGTGAATAAATTACATCGTTTGTGGTGTATTATTATTATTATTATTTTATATGTTAATTGAAATTTGTTCATTGAAATTTGATTTGAGGTGAAAATATGTTTCAAACTCATAGAAATTATGCGTTAGCAATATGCTTTCGTAGATTGATTAAAATACAACAGGAAACACTTGGAAAAATTGCAATATCACATCCAATACCATTAGTGAGGATATAAGAATATTTTATTGAAATTTTTAATTAATTTTTCTTTTATTATAATAATAAATAATATTATTATATTATCTAATTATTGTATTAAATGAATTATTTATTATAATTAATTATTTCGAATTTTCTATTATGATACTGATACGGAATTGTCTAATTATAATTTTGAACTACCTAATAACAATTTTCTAATTATGATTTTGAATTCATAATTGTATCAAATTAATCTAAATTGAATTAATTATAATTTTAAACTATCGTTCAGTTTTAACAACAACAACAAAAATATACGCAATTAAAAACTTTTTTAATTCTGTTAAAATAGTTTTTAAACACTTAGAGTTAAATTGTCAATTTTATAATTAGTTTTTTTTCAAATTGTTTAAAACACTATTTTAATGAAATTTAAAAAATATACAATTAAAACTTTTTTTGTTACTTTTGTAAAACTTTTTTTGTTTTAAACACTTTGAGTTAATTTGCAAAATTTATAATTAGTACTCATGAAAATAATTAAATTAGATACATTATTAAATCATAATTGATAATATTTAAAATAAAATATATTAAATATTAAAAATAAATATTAAATATTTAAAAAAATAAATTATAGATAATTTTTTTTATTTAGAAGTTAATAATTAATAATATTAACAATATTGAAAATAATTATTAAATTACAAGTTTTAGCTTCAATCGAATGAGAGTAAAAATATTTTTGTTGTAAAAAATTATTCGTAGTTTGGTAAAAAATTTTACTAATTGTTGAAATTTTTTTTTCAGGTCGACTTAGAACCTCAAGGAAAGCTGCGAATCAAGATAGATTTACAGCGGAATAATCAAGGTATAATTTCAATTTTCGGATTTAGAATATAATTTTCTTATATAATAATTTATTTTTTATACCAAGTTGTATAATATTTGAAAAAAATTTAATTATTCAAATCGCTAATGAATTTTTTGAACAGTAAAAAATAACAAAAATTAGATCAATTTTTGCAAGAAAAATTTAGAAAGTATTTTATTTTACATTACTGTTAGAATTATAACTGTTAGAATTGAATTCAAATTGTGTTGAAAATAATAGAATTTATTATTTCAATAATTTAACAAAAATGTTATTAAAAATTATTCAATTCTTTTGATGAATTTGATTAAAATTAAAAAAATAATTGAATTTTTTCCACAAATTTTACTAAAATTGTACTGAATATAATTGAATTCCGGCAAAGAAATTTGTTATTTATGTAAATAATTGAATACTTACAAAGATTTTTATTTTTTTTGAAAATAAATAAAGTTTTTTAGAGAATTGAATTCAAATTGTGCTGAAAATAATAAAATTTATTTGAATAATTCAATTAAAATTTTATTGAAAAATAATTGAATTCATTTTATGAATTTTGTCAAAATTAAAAAAAATAATTTAATTTTTTCAACAAATTTTATGAAAATTTAATTGAAAATAATTATATTCCTTTGAAGAATTTTATTATTTTTTTGGAATAATTGAATTCTTGCAAAGATTTTTCTCAAAATTTTTGAAAATGATTAAAATTTTTTAGAGAATTGAATTTAAATTGTGTGGAAAATAATTGAATTGTTGGGAATATTAACGAGGTTCCAGGGATCACGAAATAAGACCAAAGATTCAGGGTTTTAAGTAAAGTCACAGATTTATTAATAATGAGCGAAAAAGGATTAATTAGATACAAAAATGTACTATTGTCTCAAGCGTCTCTATGAGAACTGAACGAATAAAAAAAGAAAGACGCCGTAACAGGCGATTAAAGAAAAATATAGCGGAAGCAGATGGCACCACCAGATATAAAATAAAATAAGTAATAAAAAAAGGGAGGCTCAATTTGAATATTTCTAACACCCCCTCTCAAAGTGATGTCCATCTAGTTTCACATTAATATTCCGATGTTGTTCAAACATTTCCAATGCTTGATCCTCGGCAGTCCTTTGGTAAAGACGTCCGCTGGCATGTTCTCCGTGGCAAGGTATTTCAAGTAAATTTCCTCTGCTGACAAGGCTTCCCTCACGAAATGATAACGCACGTCTATATGTTTCGTGCGCGAGTGGTACACGGGGTTCTCTGCCAATTTCTTTGCTCCTTGATTGTCCACGTGTAGCGTGATGGCCGGCTGCTTCTTTTTACTAATCTCCTCCAGGATCCGACGTAGGTGGATTGCCTCCTTGGAGGCATCGCTGAGAGCCATGTACTCCGACTCTGTAGAGGATAGTGCTACCGTAGGCTGTTTTCTCGACTCCCAGGAAACTGGACCTCCGTTCATTGTAAAAATGTACCCGGTGTAAGATTTCCTGTCATCGATGCACGCAGCCCAATCTGCGTCGACGAAACCGGTAATACTGCCCCCTCCTGCTCCGAAGGTGATCCCCACGTCCAGCGTTCCCTTGAGGTAACGAAGCACTCTCTTCGCGGCCTGCCAATGACTAATTCCGAAACAGTCATTAAATTGACTTAAGTTGCTTGTTGCATGAGTTATATCGGGGCGCGTCGCCACCGATAGATAAATGAGTGCTCCCACGAGCTCTCTAAATGGTGGTTTCTTACCATCCTTAGTTGTCCAGGTGTCGGTCTTGGACAGCTTCGTTCCCGGGTCGAGTGGCGTGTTCACCGGATGACACGATGACATCCCAAAACGGTCCAGGATCTCCAAGATGTATCCTCGTTGATTCATGGTGATCGTTGATGCATCATGAGAGAATTCGATTCCCAGGCAGTAGGATACTTCGCCTAAGTCGTTGATTTGAAACGACTTCCCCAGGAAGTTGTGAAAGTCATTGATCTTCTCGCGGTTCTTTGAGAGTGTGATGATGTCATCGACGTACGCGATAATTATAAGGGCGTCATCACCTTTACCTTTCACATACACACTAGCATCACCAAAAGTCGGTTTTGCTCCGAAATTGCACAACACTTCACCCAGGCGTTTGTGCCAACAACGTCCGGATTGTTTCAGTCCATACAGGGATTTCTTTATCCGACACACTTTGTTTCCCGAAAGGAGTTTGGATAACATCCTCTCAGATTTTTCGACGATTTCTCTAGATCCGTATTTCTTTTCGATTATAAATTTTAACACTTTTTCGGTGCACTCCGGGATCTCCATGTGAATTTCCTCTTCGATAACGCCGTTGAGGTAAGCAGTTGAAATATCGAATTGTCTTGTGTACATCTTGTGTTCCGCCGCAAAAGCCATTGCGACACGGATAGAGCTGAATCGTGCTACGGGAGCATACGTCTCGTTGTAGTCCATGCCAGGACGCTGGGAAAATCCTCTTGCGACAACCCTCGCCTTCCGCTTGATTACAGATCCATCAGCACCACGTTTGTTCCTGAGGATCATTCGACTTCCTATAGTCGACCGGTTTCCAGGACGTTCCACCAGGTCCCAGACGTCGTTTCCTAGCAACGAACAAAATTCGTCCGCCATTGCCTCCATCCATGAGTCAGCTTCTGGACCAGAGATTGCGTGATCAATCGGGATTTCCGCTGTGCTTGCGAAATTCGTATCATTATCGATGTCCTCTTGAACGACCCTGTTCCCCTTCCTCGGCCTACCACGTCTTCCCGTGAGAATCTTCCTTGGTCTTCCTCTGACCTTCGCCGGAACTGGAACGTCAGGAGGCTCATCTCCTGGAATTTGATCTGGATTAACGTCGAAACCCAGGAAGGGTTCATACTCACTTGAGGCATCCTCGAAGAGTAACTCGTCATCACCAGAGTCATCGGTCAAATTTTGTGTTTCGATGATTTCCTGATCCTCTAGGTTGCTTGCTTTCCTGTCCAAGATGACGTCAACTTCATCCGTTGGCATGCGCTGCTCGATTGTCTCGTTCCGTTCCAAGATTTCGTTTGACTCGTGGTTGTCGATTATCTGCTCCGGGTAGAAGTCCTCGAATTTTCGTTCATCTGTTTTCTGGCATTCCTTCAAGAACTCCACGTCCCGCGAAATTTCCACCCTGTGTTCTTCAGGAATCCAGATCCTGAAGGCCTTGGAGTCCGCAGCGAAACCCAGGAAGACACCTTTGCGAGCACGTGGTCCGAATTTACCTGTGTTTTTAGTCCGATTAAGGCAATAAACAGACGAGCCAAATTCATGAAAGTTTCCGACATTCGGTACTTCTCCCATCCACTTTTCAAAGGGAGTTTTACCTTTCAATGAGACCGAGGGGCAACGATTCCTTATGAAATTTGCAGTTGAGATCGCTTCTGCCCAAAATGAAGCCGGGAGTCCGGACTGAATCAGCAAACAGCGAGCCATTTCGACTAAGGTTCGGTTTTTGCGCTCGGCCACACCATTCTGTTCCGGGTTATTGGGAACCGTCAGCCGATGCTTGATGCCAGAGTTCTTGAGAAGGTCGTTGAATTCCCTGTTGACATACTCCGTCCCATTATCCGATTGTACGTATTTTATTTTCTTTTGATATTGTGTCTCGATCATGCTCTTGAACGCCTTGAATTCCTGAAATGCCTCGTTCTTCTGTCGCAGGAAACGAACTTCCGTCCAACGTGTTGAGTCGTCAGTAAATGTCAGGAAATATTTGGCATGACCGTTCGATGTGACTTTCATCGGCCCACATAAATCCGTGTGGATCAATTCACCTGGAGCGGAACTTCTCGAGGATGCTTTCGGGAACGGCTTGCGTGTCATTTTTCCTTGAAGACAAACTTCGCACTCGATGTTGGAGTTGATGTTATTGATCTCTATTCCTTTGATTGTTTGATTTTTCACTGCCTCACGAAGATCCCTGGCATTCAGATGTCCCATCTTCTTATGCCAGTTGAGTAGGGTATTTTTCTCTTCGCGGCTCACTAGTGCGGAATTTTTGACACTTGCATTTGGATCGTTCACAAAATATAGTCCGTCAACCCGATCCGCACGTAGAATCACACTGTTATCAGTCTTGTTTACAACTTCGGCCTTGTGTTTATCGAACATTACACGATAGCCTTTGTCGACGATCTTCCCGACCGAGAGAAGATTCGTTCTTAAGTCCGGAACATGCAAGACTTCACTGAGATTTATCGTTTTGTCACTTTCGTTCACACGCGTTACCATTTCCACAGCACCTTTTGCACTGATTTTCGTTGAACTAGAATTCGCTAAGTTCAATGTTTCCGAGATATTTGCATCGAGGAACTTGAAATTACTAATATCCTTAGCCATGTGTGCAGTGCATCCACTGTCTAGGCACCATCGTTCTTTATTCGACGGGTAAATTAACGCGGTACTCGCTTCGCGACACTCATTTGGTACGAAAGTAGCGTATAACGACGCATTTTCTGTTTTGTTTTTGTTTTGTTCACTTCTCACTTTCGACCAACATTTCGATGCTTTGTGACCCAACTTCCCGCACTTGTAACATTTAAATTTGCTTTCACTATTTTGTTTATCCGATTTACCCGACTTTTCGTAAACTCGATTATTTGACTTTTGTGAAAACATCGCGTTCTGCACAGAATTTTTCCTATTACTCGATCGCGCATCACTTTCTTCGACAATTTTAATTCGAAGCGTTTCGGGTTGGGGGAGCTCGTCGCGCGACTCGATTGCGACACGAAAACTATCAAAACTGGCCGGTAAACTGTAAAGTAGCAATATCGACAGCAGGTCATGGTTTATCGGAACTTCCATGTCGCTCAGTCGATCAACAGCATCGAAAAATTTTCGAAGATGGCTACGAACGTCGTCGCCCTCGTCCATGCGTTGTAGCACAATTTGTTTTAGCAAGTTAGCTTTTCTTGCGGGGCCCCTTGACTGGTATACGGCTTTTAGCTTCGTCCAAAGTTCATTCGACGTCACGCACTCTTTCACTTGTTTCAATTCCGTGGGGGAAATTCCCAAAAATATGTCTGACAGAGCCTTGCTGTCTTCGAGTTCCCATTGCGTTACAGCCGCCGCGTTCACATTGTTCTGACCAGGTTCGGGTTTAACTTTTGTACCATTTACAAAGCCCCACGCGTCATTTTTAATGAGTAATGCTTTCATGTGGATTTGCCACGTATCAAAATTATCCTTGTTAAGCATTTCTATTCGCGTTACCGTTTGCGACGCCATTTTTCTTTCTTTTCGCGAGAATGAATGAACTTACTTTCGAATCTAAACTTATTTTCACTTATTTACTCGTGGCCTGGGCCCATAACCTATTAACGAGGTTCCAGGGATCACGAAATAAGACCAAAGATTCAGGGTTTTAAGTAAAGTCACAGATTTATTAATAATGAGCGAAAAAGGATTAATTAGATACAAAAATGTACTATTGTCTCAAGCGTCTCTATGAGAACTGAACGAATAAAAAAAGAAAGACGCCGTAACAGGCGATTAAAGAAAAATATAGCGGAAGCAGATGGCACCACCAGATATAAAATAAAATAAGTAATAAAAAAAGGGAGGCTCAATTTGAATATTTCTAACAGGGAAGATTTTTCTCAAAATTTTTGAAAATATATAATTAAAATTTTTTAGAGAATTGAATTTAAATTGTGTTGAAAATAATTGAATTTATTTGAATAATTTATTTAAAATGTTATTGAAAATAATTTAATTTGATTAATTTGATCAAAATTTAAAAATAATTGAATTTTTCATTCCACAAATTTTATTAAAATTGTAATGAAAATAATTGAATTCCTGCAAAGAAATTTAATATTTGTGAAAATAATTGAACTCTTGCGAAGATTTTTCTTAGAATTTTTTAGAGAATTGAATTAAAATTGTGTTGAAAGTAAAAAAATTTATTTGAATAATTTAATTAATTGAATTCATTTGATGAATTTTATCAAAACTAAAAAAAATAATTGAATTTTTCCAAAAATTTTATTAAAATTATATTGATAATAATTGAATTCCTGCAAAGAAATTTATTATTTATGTAAATAATTGAATTCTTGGAAAAAATTTAATCAAAATTTTTGAAACCAATACAATTTTTAAAAGATTTGAATTCAAATTGTGTTGAAAATAATTGAATTTATTTGAATAATTTATTAAAAATGTTATTGAAAATAATTCAATTTTTTTGATAAATTTTATCAAAATTTAACAAAAATCTAAAATTTTTTCCACAAATTTTTTGAAAATTTGATTGAAAATACTTAAAATATTTTACAGAATTGAATTCAAATTGTGTTGATAACAATAAAATATATTTGAATAATGAAATTAATGTATTGAAAATAATTCTATTCTTTTGATAAATTTAATCAAAATTAAAAAAAATAATTGAATTTTTTTCAAAAATTTTATTAAAATTGTATTGAAAATAATTGGATTCCTGCGAAGAATTTTATTATTTTAGAAAATAATTGAATAAAATACAAAAAAAAATTGTAGGATTAAAATTTTTAAAAATAATTAATTTTTTTCAAAGATTTAATTATAAAACTTAAAAGTGAAACTTAATAATGAATAATTAAATTTCTGTAAAAAAATTTTTTTTTTTTTGAAAATAATTGAATTTATGCGAAATTTTATTTTATTTTTTGTTTTATTTTTATTTATTAATTTATTGCTAAATTTTATTAAAATTGTATGGAAAAATATTTTAATGCTTAAAAAGAATTTTATTATTTTTTTATAAAAATAAGTTTTGTAATATTCATAATAACCATAAATTCTATTCCATGTTTCGAGCGTAACTTCAGCAAGTTTATAATACTTTTTAATATTTTTTTATTTCGTGAGAACCTAAATTTAATGAATTATAATAAATTATTTCGTAATTCATTTTTAATAATTGTAAAAAAATATTGTTTATTAATAATACAATGTTTTATATCTAAAAGTCCTAAATATTCTCTAAATATCTTTTTATTACAAAATAATTTGAAAAGCGGTTTTGATTTAATTTGATTTTGTTATAAACGGAACTTGCTCTTTCATTTTAATGAAAGAGCAAATATTAATAATAATAATAATTTATTTATTTAACAATATTCGAGAGTAATAATTGGAAAATTAATTTAATAATTATAATCAAAGTCGCTTTTGATAATAAAAAAAATATATTAAAATCATTAAAATCAACATACAAAAAAATTAATTGTAATTTATTAATTAATAAAACAAAAGAATTATTAAAAATATATTTAAAAAATTTAAATTAAAAAAAATACTTTATTTTTTACTGAATTTTTCCAACTGTGTTATAAAATTAATACTTTATATAATTTTTAGAAAATGTAAAAAATTTTATATTCAAATTTACGTTTTTGATAATACTAAAAAAAAAACGTAGAATACGTTTTGGTTGAAAAACTCAAAAAGAAGATGTGAAAGTGAAAATAAAGAAAAAAAATATCTTATATTTCTGTCTCTATTCTACTAGAGGAAAAAAATTGTATTTCACTATAGAAACTAATCCTTTTTTTCTTCTTTGCTTTCTGAAGAAGTGTTTACTTCTTCAGAAAGCAAAAACAAAAAAAATTGAATTAAAATGAAAAAATGATTTAAAAATATAAAAAATAAAAATTTTAAAATTAAAGAATTTAATTTAATTAATTAATTGAAAAATTAAAAATTTAATAATATAATGATTTAAAATATAAAAATTCAAAAAATTTGTAATTGAGTGAAAAAGGGAATTTTTACAGAAGAAAACATTAATTTTTAATGTAAAGAAGAAGAGAATTTGTATGGAAGAAGAAAACATTAATTTTGAATAGAAATAAAAGAAGACAAATTTTATTTAAGAGGAAAACATTAATTTTTAATGGAAATTACGTATTTTTAGGACAACAGCCAGGATGCGTTGCAGGCGACGGAGATGGTATTGGAAGTGGCGTTGTCGGTGGGACAGTGAGCGGAGGAAAAGAGCCACGACGTGAATTTAAGGAACGTCAGGGTTTTAATCGTCGTCGTGGTGCAATGCGAAGAAGGGTTCATCAAGTCAATGGCCATAAGTTTATGGCCACTTTCCTCAGACAACCAACATTCTGCTCTCACTGCCGTGAATTTATATGGTAACGTATTTTTCACCACTCTTTTTTTCTCTCCTCAAATTATATATGAACAATTCTTTTTTTTAAATATTCTCTTTATCACGCTATCTTTTGGGATATTGGTGCAAATTTTTTTTTCTCTCGTGAAATTAATAATATATACAAAAATCCAAACGAATCACTTTCGCAAAGTCAAATTATTAAAATTAACAAAAATTAAAAAAATATATTACTGCATGCTGGATTCGGTACATAAATCGCCTTTTTTGTTGTCTTTTATTTAAAAGGAAAGAATTTCTTTATTTATATTTATTATTGTCTTTATATATTTAAATGTTAAGTATTATTTATTTAATTTTATTTAAAAGGAAAGAAGTTTTTTATTTTTATTTATTATTGTCTTTATATATTAAAATGTTAAGTATTATTTATTTAATTTTATTTCCTGCCTTTCGGGTTTGAAATTAATAATAAATGAAATATACTTATTTCTAAAAGTAGACGACCTTAAAAATAAAAATAATTATCAATAATCATAATAATAATTGAGACTTCAGTCTTTTAGCCCAGTGAGAAATAATAATAATTACAGGGTTGCCACGCAACCTGGAAATCTGGAAAACCTGGAAATGTCAGGGAATTTTAAAAACCTTGAAAAAACCTGGAAAAGTCAGGGAACTTTGATGGAAATCCTGGAAAATTGTTGTTTTCTAAAGTTATTGTGCTTATTCTCCAAAACTAATTTTACTTAAATATTTCATAATTAATTCAATTTTAAAAGAGTTGTGTTTACAATTTTCATAAGTAGATGAACTTCAAAAGGATTTAATTTGAAATTTTTGAAAATTTCAATTTTCAATGAATTTAATTAGAAATCTTAAAGAACGTAGATTTTTGAAAAGATTAATAATTAAAATTCTTCTGAAATTATAGTTAAATTTTTTAATATATATTTAATTGATTATTAAAAATAATGGATTTAGAGAAGAATTTTAAGTTAAAACACTAAAAGAAATTGAATTTTAAAACAATCACAAATAATTGCAGAAATCCATTATTTTCAAAAGTAATAAAATTTTTCTCAAAAATTCAATTATTTTTAAAAAATTTAATAAAATTCTTGGGAAAATTTCAATTATTTTCAAAAATTTTAATACAATTCTTGGCAAAATTTCAATTATTTTTAAAAACTTTCCTCAATTCAATGATTTTTAATATCTACCACTTTAATAAAATTTAACAAAAGAATTCAATTATTGAAAAATTTTTAAATAAAATTCTACGCAAACATTTAATTATTTTCATAAATAATAAAAATTTCACAAGAATTCAATTATTTACAAATTATTTTCATAAATTATTATTCAATTATTTTCATAAATAATAAAATTCTTTTTTGGAATTCAATTATTTTTAATTTCTATAAATAATAAAACTCATCGCAGATTTTCAATTATTTTTAATAAAATTTTAATTTCATTTCTCGAAAAATGTATAATTATTCTTAAAAATGTTAATAAAATTCGTCTCGAGAAATCAATTATTTTCAAAAGTAATATATTCTTCGTAAAAATTTAATTATGTCCAAAAATTTAGAAAAATTCTCGTCAGAATTTCAATTATTTTTATGAATAATAAAATTCTTCTTCAAAATTCAATTATTTTCAAAAACTTTTCTCGATTTAATTATTTTTAATATTTACTACTTTAAAAAAATTTCACAAAAGAATTCAATTATTAAAAAAAAAATTTTTAATAAAATTCTACGCAAACATTTAATTATTTTCGTACATAAATAAAAGTTCACAGGAATTTCTGGAAAAAATTAAATTATATTTTCAAAAATATTAATAAAAATCTTCACAAGAATTCAATTATTCCAAAAAATAAAAAAATTCTTCGAAGGAATATCATTATTTTCAATTAAATTTTCATAAAATTTCTGGAAAAAATTCAAATATTTTTTTTTAATTTTGATAAAATTCATCAAATTGAATTATTTTCAAAAGTAATATAATTCTTTACAGAAATTCAATTATGATCAAAAATTTACAAAAATTCTTTTAAAATTTCAATTATCTTTACAAATAATAAAAATTCTTCTCCGAAATTCAATTATTTTAAAAAATTTTAATAAAATTTTTGGTAAAATTTAAATTATTTTCAAAAATTTTAATAAAATTTTTGGTTTTCAATTATTTTTAAAAATTTTAATAAAATTCTTGGTAAAATTTCAATTATTTTCAATAACTTTCCTCAATTCAATGACGTTTAATATCTACTACTTTAAAAAAATTTCCCAAAAGAATTCAATTATTAAAAAAATTTTTTTTTAAAATTCTACGCAAATATTTAATTATTTTCATAATTAATTAAAACTTCACAGGCATTGAATTATTTTCAAAAACTCATAAAATTCTTTGGTTATGTTCAATTATGTTTAATACAATTTTAATCAGAATTTCTCGAAAAATGAAATTATTTTTAAAAATTTTATTAAAACTTGTCAAGATATTTCAATTATTTAAATTTTTGTTTATAAAATTCTTTATGATAATTCAATTTACAGAAACATTTAATTATTTAATTAAATGTTTATTTTTCAATTTAAATAATTGAATTCTCGTAGATTTTTCTAATAAATATTGATTTAAAAATAAATTTCATTTAAAATTTTAGATTATAATTGAATATATTGAAAGCATTAGAGTCTGAATTTTTCGAAAATAATTGAATTTTAAAAAGGTTTCAAATTAAAAACTTTGAAATTCTGAATTTTTCATACTTTTTCGCAGAAATCCAATTATGTTTAAAAATTCTCGTCAAAATTTCAATTATCTTTAGAAATAATTAAATTCATCCCCAAAATTCAATTATTTTCAAAAATTTTGATAAATAAAATTCTTGGCAAAATTTCAATTATATTTAAAAAAAAAATTCTTCTATTCAATGATTTTCAATATCTACTATTTTAATATAATTTTTCAAAAGAATTCAATTGTTTAAAAAAAAATTAATAAAATTCTACACAAATCTTTGATTATTTTCATAAAATAATAATAATTTCACAAGAATTCAATTATTTACAAATTTCTTAACAATCATTCAATTATTCATAAATAATAGAATTTTTTACAGGGATTCAATTATTTTCGTAAATAATAAAATTCTCAATGGGAATTTAATTTTAAGAAACATTCAATTATTCAATAGATTATTTATTAATTTTGTTTTTTTTTTATAATTTAATTCTCGTAGATTTTTTAAATAAATATTGATTTAAAATTGAATTTCAGTTAAAGTTTTAGATTATAATTGAATATTGAAAGCATTATAGCGTGAATTTTTAAAAATAATTGAATTTTTAGAAGGTTTCAAATTAAAAACTTTGAAATTCTGAATTTTCACATTTTAATAATTATGTAGAATTAATTTTTTCAAAAAGTTTAATTGAATTTTTTTTTAATTCTATAAAATTTTTCTTTTCAAATATACATTTAATTTGAAGAATTTTCAAATAATCTTAATTTCGTAAAATTGAATTGTAAAATAAAAGGATTTAAAAATTCTCAAACAACTTTTTCAAAAATTGTATAGTTAAAAATTCTAGAAATGAATAATTGAATCGAAATTCGTCAAAGTTTTGCCTGAGAATCAGAGAGTTATTTAATTTTGTTTAAATGTAAAAAATGTAGTTTTAAAAACATGGAAAAATTTCGTTTTTTAATCTGGAAAACCTGGAAAAATCAGGGAGTTTGAAATAAGCAAAAGCGTGGTATAACTCTGTAATTATTATTTTTCGAAACTTTAGCTCATTGGCCCAGAAGTGAAAATAATTATTATCGTAAATTGAGAAAGAAAATACTTTTTGTGGAATAAAAAATAAAAAGTATTTTTGGCCCAGAAGTGGAAATAATTATTATCGTAAATTGAGAAACAAAATATTTTTTGTGGAATAAGAAATAAAAAGTATTATTTGCCCAGAAGTGGAAATAATTATTATCGTAAATTGAGAAACAAAATATTTTTTGTGCAATAAAAAATTAAAAGTTTTATTGGTCCAGAAGTGGAAAATTATTATTATAAATTGAGAAGAAAAATATTTTTTGTAAAATAAAATAATCAAAAATTAAGAGAAAAAGAGGAAAATTTTGAAAAATTTTTTGAAAATTTTTTTTTAGGTGTTTATGTACTGAATTCTTACGATATAAACGGGGTTTTGGGTTTTACTCTCAGGTTGCATGTGTGACTCATTTCATAAGATCTCTTTAAACGGATATATAAATTTGATATAATATTATAATTAACAACCGTTATAATCAGTTTCCTAGAAGTTTGCATGCTTTCTTTTTGCCTTTAATATATACAACTCGAGCTAATGAGTATGAAATCTTTGAGATTCTTTACATATGACTAAAAAGTGGATTTTCACATTTACGTTATATACTATATGATGACTCAGATTATAAATTGTGTAATATTGCGGGAATTATCTGTTTCATGGAAGCGCTTATTTCTGAATTAGGATTTTGTCATTAATATTCAAGTACAGTGTGTTGAGAAAAATTCTCGTAAAAATCTTGCGAATTTATTCATCGATATAAGAATTAAGTAAATAAAATATTTATTCAATCTATATGTTTCATTTTTATTTAACATTTTTTTATTTATTTAAATTCTATTTTAAATTTTTTATTTATTTCAATTTTATTTCAAATTTTTAATTTATTTCAATTTTATTTTAAATTTGTAATTTATTCCAATTTTATTTCAAATTTTGCATTTATTTCAATTTTATTTCAAATTTTTTATTTCTTTCAATTTTATTTTAAATTTTTAATTTATTTCAATTTTTTTTCAAACTTTTTATTTCTTTCCATTTTTTTTCAAATTTTGTATTTATTTCAATTCTATTAAAAATTTTTAATTTATTTCAATCTTATTTCCAATTTTAAAATTATTTCAATTTTATTTCAAATATTTTATTTACTTCAATTGCAGCTTTTGAAAATTTGCTGCTTATTTTACTTGAATTTTATTTCAAATTAAAAATTGAAAATTTGCATTTTAAATAAAGACTAAAAAATATATTTCAAATTAATTATTATTAATAATATGAATTTAATTAAATGACAAATAAAGAACATTTTTTTCCATTTTGTTACAATTTTGTTAAACTTGAGAATTTTAGTTTATTTTTAATATTTTGTCCATTAATGATCCTTGGGATTAATTAATTAATTGTCACAAAAATTTGATTTTGTTTTTCCCTGATTTTTAGACGGATTCAGAAAATTTACTTTTTTCCTGATTCCTATTACAATAAAAATTTAAAGAAAGTTCAATAATTATAATTATTATAAAAAAAAGATCATTTTCAAAAGGAAACATTTGATTTCAAATTTTAAAAGTGTCTATTGGTTTTAAAAATAAAATTAATTATTGTGACTATTTTTAAAAATTCCAATAAAATTTTTTAGAAAAAATTTCAATTATTTTTAATAGGAACTTAAGGAATTTTAGAAAAATTTCAATTATTTGAAAAATGTTCAATTAATCGTTTTTAAAATTCGATTAAATTTAAAATATTGAATTGAAATGTTTAAAAAACCAAGTTTTTCAGAATTAAAAAATTTTTTATTTTCTTTTTTTCTGCAACTTTAATTTAAAATACAGAAAAAATGTTGAATTCAAATCTTTTTAAAATTAACTGTTTAATTTTATTAATTTATTTAAATATTTATTTTATATCTTTTTTTTTGTTATTTCGTTATAATAAAAATTTTCAATCTTACTCATTCGAAATTAAATAATTTTAGATGAAATTTGGACCCTTTTTTGGATGCTTTATAATACTAACAAACATTTTAATTACATTTGATTGTCACTCTTTGTAAAATTCAATGATTTACCAATTTCTGCATTGAAATTTTTTGAAAAATCGATTTTTTTAAATGTTTAATAAAAATGGTTAAATTATTATTACTTATTATTCTGATGACCGAGTGATAAAATCATTATTTGTATAATCGAAAAAAATTCTTTAATAATTACTTTGTAATTAAATTTAATAAAATTAAATTAATAAATAGAATTTTAAAAAAAATTAAAATTAAATAAAATTTATAAAATTAATAAATTTTTTTTTAAATAAAAGAATTTTAAAAAATTGAATTAGAATTTTTTTATATTTTTAGATTTTGAAATAAAATTATTTAAAATTTAAATAATATTTAACATAAATAATTATTTTTAATTTGTGTGTCAAAAAAATTTGTTTACACTAAAAACGAGAATTTTTATAATTAAATTCTAGAAATTTAACATTTTTCCATCACTTTTGATAAAATTCCTTAATATTTCTCTGATTTTCCTGATCAATTTCCATTTTCCCTGTTTAAATTTCAAAAAATTAAACGGTTATTCACATTTATTTTTTAAAAATTTAATGAAACTTTATAATTAAAATCAACGCGCCGATAATTAAATATTATTTGAATGTAAATGATAATTTCGAGGAAATTTTCGAAACGATAGCATTGAAATGAAACATATTTTGAAAGGAATTTCTCTCCGTTAATAATAATAAAAAAAATAATCAAAGTATTTATTATTACAATCGTTGTTATTTTTTATAATTTTTTTATTATTATTTTTATTTACTTATTTATTTTTAATAATTATTTTCATTATAATTATTATAATTTTATTTTTATTAAGGGCATCCATGCGTTATTTTGTAAGAAAATATGATTTTGTATCGAGAACAAAATTTCCGAATGAAAAATTTGATTTTTATTATTTTTGCAGCAATTTATTTTTAGACGAAAAATGTTAAAAAATTCTATTATATTCAAGTTTTCCATTTGAAAATTCTTTTGTTTTTTTTTCGAAACTAATTTCAAATAATTTTTTTCTGCATAAAAAATAGAAAATACTTATTTTTATTTATTTATTTATTTTATGAACAGAAAAGAATTTTAAGAATTCTTTTTTTTTAAGGAAAAAAAGGCAGAGAAGAAAAAAAAATTCATATCATAAATATATTATTTAAAAATTATGACCTGAAATTAGTTAGAAGAATAAACAAATGAATAATTGTCGAATAGAAAAATTGCATAACAATTAATTTATTTAAACATTTTTGAACTAAAAATAAATTTTTTTCAAAAAAAAAAATTGCTTCACAAAAATAGTCAAAATTAAATTTTTCATTCGGAAATTTTGTTCTAGATACAAAAACATTTTCTGTATAAAATTACGCATGGGTTTTAAAAATCAAATTTAAAAATTTTAAATTTAAATTTAAAATATCAAATCAAATCAAATCACAATTTTTTAGAAGAATAAAAATTCAAAAGGAGTCAAAATATTTTCTGACCCATATTTTATGGACATTGAATTATTCACAAAAAAATTGTGGTGAAAATAATTTTATGAATTATTTCAAATATTTTCTTGAAAAATATTGGTGACCTAATATTAATTTTTTTTTATTATTGCCTATTACAGGGTTGCCACGCAACCTGGAAATGTCAGGGAATTTTTATAAACCTTGAAAAAACCAATTATTTTCAAAAACTTTTCTCAATTCAATCAAATTTTTTACAGAGATTCAATTATTTTTAATACAATTTTAATCGAATTCCTCGAAAAATGTGATTATTCTTAAAATTTTATTAAAATTCCTCAAAATGATGCAATTATTTAAAAATTTGTTTGATAAAATTCTTTAAGAGAATTCAATTTTGAGAAACATTCAATTATTCAATAAATTATTTATTTTTGTATTAAAAATAATTAGGTATTAAAAAAAAAATATTATTAAAAAATTCGTCTCAAGAATTCAATTATTTTTAAAAGTAATAAAATTCTTCGCAGAAATTCAATTATGGTCAAAAGATTAAAAAAAGTTATAGTCAATATTTCAATTATTTTTATAAATATTAAAATTCTTCTCTAAAATTCAATTATTTTCAAAAATTTTAATAAAATTCTTGTCAATATTTCAATTCTTCAAAAAAATTTTAATAACATTCTTGACAAAATTTCAATTATTTTCAAAAACTTTTCTCAATTCATTGAAATTTTTTTTTACAGAGATTCAATTATTTTTAATACATTTTTAATTTAATTTCTCAAAAAATGAAATTATTTTTAAAAATTTTATTGAAATTCGTGAAAAGAATTTTAATTATCTATTTAAAAATTTGTTGATAAAATTCTTGAAATGAGAGTTGAATTTTAAAAAACATTGAATTCTTGAATAAATTATTTTTGTTTGTATTTAAATAATTGAATTGTCGTAGAATTTTCTAATAATAATAATTGATTGAAATATGAATTTCAATTAAAACATTAGATAATAATTGAGTTTTTAGAAATTATTAATAATAATTAATTTAAACTTTATAAAGAAGAATTTTAGTTAAAAAATTGTGGAAAACAATATTTGAATTAAAATATTGAAAGTAATTTTTAAAAAGTTACAGTAACAATATTCTTATAATATAAAATAATGATTTTATCACTGAGCCATTTTTAATTATTATAAAACATGAATTAAAAATTAAAAATTAAAAATTTGGTAAAATATAAATGTAGTTTTAAAAACCTGGAAAAATTACATTTTTTAACCTGGAAAACCTGGAAAAGTCAGGGAATTTGAAATTAAGCGTGACAACCCTGTAACTATTATTATTATTGACAATTGAATTGACTAAAGTATAATGAATTGACAATTGTTTCGTGAAAAATTCTGAAAAAATTTAAATTATTATTATTATTAGTATTATTTATTAATATTTTTTTATTATCATTGAATTATAAAATAAATAATAAAAAAAAATGTGATAATTTATAATTACAAATGAGCATAATTTGTTAAAAGTAGAAATTATAGACAATTTTCATTTCTATCAGTAAATAATATTTTTAAATTCTTATTTTTCCTTTGTACTTTCCTTTCGTTTCTCATTTTTGTTCGTATCCATCTTCGTATCTTAAGAGTTCAAAATAGTTTTCTTTAAAATTTTTTTTTTTTTTTTTTTTTTTTTTTTTGCATTAAAATATTACAATTTGGGCGAAAGTGGAAATAATGACGAATGTATGTGTGTGTGTTTTTTTTTTTTGAAATACCATAATAAGGGGTTTAATCATCGAGATGATGTGACGTGTTTTTTGTCTGTTGTATTTCAGGGGCTTGGGCAAGCAGGGCTATCAGTGTCAAGGTGAGAAAGACACAAATCACGTTTTATTAACGTTTATACATATTTTACGTTATACATATAATTTAAATATATGTTCTCGCTTTGCAGAACCAATTGTTTTTTTTTTTGAGTGTGCATTTCATTTTCTTTATATTTTTTGTGATGCGTATTTTTTTTGGTATACTTTTTTATTATTATTATTTTTCTTTTCACGCAGGTAGAGTTTTTATCAACTCAGAGAACTATTAAGCCTGAGAATCTCAGCTTCCTCAGACATTTGTCCTTCGTCTCTTTGATGTCTATAAAAATGCTTTTCTGATTTCTTCTCTCAACTGTGGAAGTCCGAATTTTAAAAAACATTAAAAAAATAAAAATTTGGCTCACTTTTTATTTTGCATGTATTCTCTCTCTTCCTTTCGGGGAAATAATATCGCAGGTTCGCCTTTATTATTTTTTTGATTTTTAAATTTTGTCTTTGTGGTTTTTTGGATTTTTTTCTATCGTGTATTTAATCCTTGTTTCATTGTCTTTTTTTTCCTCATTGTCTGCTTACTCATTTAATTTCAATTATGGATCAGACTAATTATTTTTTTTTTTTTTCGTTTCTTTTTGTTTTGTTTTGTTAATACGCTTATAATGCATGTGACAGTCGCTTTAAATGAATTTTATATTTGGTGATTAATGTACGAGAATTGTTTTTTTAAATGATGATATTTGTTACAGTTTGTACGTGTGTTGTTCACAAAAGATGTCACAAACTGGTAGTAACAAAATGCCCTGGAATGAGAGACGAGGTAAATTATTTTTCGTATTATTATATTTTTAATAATTTCAACTTTTAAACTTTTTTTTCTTTTTTAAATTTAATTTTTAATTTTTCAATTTTTTAATTTAAATATTTTTATAATTTGGTTTCATTTTTGAAACTTTACTTAATATTGTCTTCTTATTTTTTATTTATTTATTATAAAATAAAAATTAAATAAAAATGGTTCAACATGAAATAAACTTTTTTGAGAAATTTAAATTTTCATAAATTAGTATCTTTTTGTAATTTTTATTTTTCATTTTACTTTTTAATAAATAATAACTAATAATAAATTCAGGGATCACAGATTGTCACCATTTTACTTTTTCAAAATTTTTAATTCTCAACTATTTTCTAAACTTTTTATAATATTTTCAATCAAAGCTAATTTTAAGAAATTTTTAATTAATTAATTAATTTATTTATAAACTGAAAAAGTTTTAACAGAATTTATATATCATAAGTTTAAATTCTAAATTCTTAAAACTTCCATCGATTAAAATCTTAATTGACTCTGAATTTTATTTTGTCAAAAATTTTTCATCTTTTGGATTCTGTGATTCATCTCATTTCTAATTCGACTCAAATTCAAATAATTTCAATTTCAATTTCAATTTTTCCAAAGAAATCCAGAAATTTATTTAAAATTCCATTCAAAATAATTGAATTCATGTAAAAAATTTTATTATTGATGAAGAAAATTGAATCATTGACAAGCATTTGATTAAAATTTTTGAAAATAATTGAACTTTTGCGAAGAATTTTATTTTTTTTTTGGAAAAATAATTGAATTCTTGACAAGAATTTTATTAAAATTTTTAAAAATAATTGAATTTCTGTGTGAATTTTATTAGAATTTTTCAAAGTAATTGAAATTTCTGCAAAGAATTTTGTTATTGAATTTTTGTCGAAAATTTTACTGAAATTTTTAAAAGTAATTGATTCTCTGTGAAGAATTTTATTATTTTTTTTTTTGAAAATAATTGAATAACTGACAAGAATTTTATTAAAATTTTTAAAAATAATAGAATTTCTGCAGGAATTATATTAAAGTCATTAAAAATAAATCAATTCTTTCCCTTATTTCAGAAATTTAATTAAAATTGCATTGAAAATAATTTAATTTCTTAAAAAAAATTTTATAAAAAAATGTATTCTTTCGTAAAATTTCATTAAAATTTGTTGAAAATAATTGAATCTAATAGAGAAATTTTATTAAACTTACATTGGAAATATTTAACTTTCTGTAAACAATTTTATTCTTTATAGAGGAAATTGAATTCTTGACAAGAAAGAAATTTAAATTTTTTGAAAATAATTTAATTTTTGTGAAAAATGTTAATAAAGTTATTAAAAATAATTGAATTTCTTTAAGAACTTTTATTATTTATTGAAAATAATTGAATTCCGTTATTTACGAAAATAATAGAAGTTTCATTAAGAATGTTATTAAAATTTTTTTTTAAATATTTAAATTTCTGAAAATAATTTTGTTATTTATAAAGAGAATTATATTAATGACAAGGATTATTCTAAAATTTTTTTAAATATAAATGATTTTCTGCGAAGAATTTTATAATTTATAAAGATAATTGAATTTGTGCCAAGAATTTAATTTTTTTTTTTTCAAATAATTGAATTATTTCGTAGAATTTCATTACAATTTTAAAAAAATTTAATTTTTGTTAAGAATTTTATTATTTTTGAAAAAAATTGAATTATTTCAAAGAATTTCATTAAAATGTTTAAAAAATTGAATTTTTGCATAGAATTTTATTTTTTATTTAAATAATTGAATTATTTCGTAAAATTTTATTAAAATTTAAAAAAAATTCAATTTTTGTTAAGAATTTTATTATTTTTGAAAATCATTGAATTATTTCGAAGAATGTCATTAAAATTTTTAAATAATTGAATTTTTGTTAAGAATTTTATTATTTTTTAAAATAATTGAATTATTTCGAAGAATTTTATTAAAACTTTTAAAAAATTGAATTTTTGCAAAGAATTGTATTTTTTTCAAATAATTGAATTATTTCGTAGAATTTCATTAAAACTTTTGGGAAGAATTATATTATCTTTAAAAATAATTGAATTATTGCGAAGAAATTCATTAAAATTTTTGAAGAATTGAATTTTTGCAAAGAATTTTATTTTCTTTTTCAGATAATTGAATTATTTCGTAGAAATTCATTAAAATTTTTAAAAAATTAAATTTTTAGGAAGAATTATATTATTTTTTAAAATAACTGAATTCTTTCAAGAAATTTTATTATTTATTAAAAACAATTTAATTCCTGTGAAGAATTTTGTTATTTACGAAAATAATTAAAGTTTGATGAACAATTTAATTAATTATTATTATTATTTAATTAACTTTGGTATTAATAAACAAAATTAAATTCTTGTCTGAAATTTGATTTAAAATTTTAAAAATCATTAAATTTTTGCGAAAAATTTCGATATTTACGGAAATAAATGAATTTTTTAGAAAATAAAAAATCTAAATTTAATTTCAAAAACTTTAGTTTTTAAAAATGATTGAATTTTTAAAAATAATTTTGTTATGTGTGAAGATAATTTAATTCTGGCATAAAATTATCCTAAAGTTTTTAAAAATAATTGATATTTTTGAATGAATTTTAATTTTTTAAAAGATAATTGGATTCGTGCCACAAGATTTTATTAAAGTTTTTGAAAATAATTTAATTTCTATGGAAAATAAAAAAAAAATATTTTTAAGTAATTAAATTTCTCTGAGAATTAAAAAAAAAAATTTTAAAGTAATTAAATTTCTGCAAAGAATTTTGTTATTGAATTCTTGTTAAGAATTTTACTAAAATTTTTGAAAATAATTGAATTTCTGCGAAGAATATATTTTATTTATAAAAATAATTGAATTCTTATTAAGAATGTTATTAAAATTTTTGAAAATAATTTAATTCTTATGAAGAATTTTAATGAAATTTCTGAAAATAATTGAATTGCTTCATAGAATTTTATTAAAACACATGAAAGTAAAAAAATTAATACTGAATTTAATTTTTGTCATATATTTTGAGAAAATAGTTAATTAATTATTAAATAAATTAGTTAATTAATTATTCTAAGGAAAAAAAAGCATACTGTGATCCTTGTAAAATTCTCTTTTTACGATCTATTTATTTATTCCACCTATTTATTTTTTTTATTTCTTATTTCTTTATTTCACTTTCTTGAATTTTGAATTTGAAAACTAATTTTTTAATTTTCTATTGTTTTATTTTATTTCTTTTTTATTTTATTTTCTATTTCTACTAGGTTTTAATATATTAAATTTATTTTTATTTTATTTTCTATTTTTACTATTTTAATAGATTGAATTTTGAATTTGAAAACTAATTTTTCAATTTTCTATTGTTTTCTTTTTTTTTTTTTTTTGATTTTATTTTCTATTTTTACAATTTTAATAAATTGAATTTTGAATTTGAAAATGAATTTTTCAGACGAGCCAATGCACACAAGGGGCTCGATTCAGTATAGACGTGCCCCACCGTTTTGTCGTTCACAATTACAAGCGTTTCACATTTTGTGATCATTGTGGATCACTTCTTTACGGTCTGATCAAGCAGGGACTACAATGTGAAGGTAATTTTTCAATTATTTCGAAAGAAAAGAACTAAAATATTTTCTCAAAAATAAAAAAATTTTTCTATTCACTTTTTTTGTTAAAAATAAAAATTACCAAAAATTGCTTTTTCCAATTTACAAAATTAGAAAAAAATAAAAAAAAGTTGATACATTTATAAATAAAGTACTACAGATATAATTTATCGAATTAAATAAAAAAGTCGAAATAAAATCTAATTTTGGTAAATAAATTTCATTTAATACTTTTGATAAATAAATTTCATTGAATAATTTGGATAAATAAATTTCATTTAATAATTTTGGTAAATAAATTTGTTAAATAATATTATTTGTTAATAAATATAAAATTTGTTTCTTTCCAGTTTGCAGTATGAATGTTCACAAGAGATGCCAAAAGAATGTGGCGAATAATTGTGGAATTAATACCAAAGCAATGGCCGAGGTGCTCAGCACAATTGGCATCTCGGCTGATAAACAAGTGAAAACGCCGAAAATTAATTATAAATTCGCAGCTGGTGGACATTCATCGATTCCAAGCAGAGAATCACCAACGCCCGATTCATTGTTAACGTCGCAAAAATCGAAGGATGCAACAACACCCGTCGAGGGTTCAGTGTCAGGAAGCGAGAGTGAAATGAAAAAAGTGAATCTCGTTGATTTTAATTTTATCAAAGTATTGGGCAAAGGTAGTTTTGGTAAAGTCATGTTGGCTGAGAAAAAGAGCAATACTGATGAGGTCTACGCTGTTAAAGTATTGAAAAAGGACGTCATTATTCAGGACGACGATGTCGATTGTACAATGACGGAAAAACGTATTCTAGCTCTCGCTGCCAAACATCCATTTCTCACTGCTCTACACAGTTGCTTTCAAACCAAAGAGAGACTCTTTTTTGTTATGGAATACGTCAATGGAGGTCAGTTTCGTAAAAACAGATACAACAAAAAAAATTTTTATAATAAGTAATAGGGTTTTTCTAAAAGTCACGAAAATCGTTAAATTTAGGCCTCGGATTGACTTTGAGGAGCGAAAAAAATGGCTTTTGTCTAAGCACATGAAAAAAAAACGAAAAAGTCGTTTATTTTATTTTATTTTATTTTATCAGAAAAGTATCGCCTAACCTTTCACTGATTTTTAAAATTTAATTATTTTCTATTTATAAATATTTAAATTTGTTATTTATTTTTCCATAAGAATTAAAATTTTATTAAATTTTAATTTCAAACCTTCAGAAATTTGACTATTTTCTAAAAATTACAACTAATTTCTTTGAAATTCAGTTCTCAGGGTTGCCACACAACCTGCAAAACCTAGAAATGTCAGGGAATTTTATAAATTCTGAAAAACCTGTAAAAGTCATAAAATTTTGATCGAAATCCTGGAAAATTGTTATTTTCTAAAGTTTATTCTTAAAATCTAATTTTACATAAATATTCCAAAATTAATTGAATTTTAAAAGAGTTACGTTTACAATTTTCATAAGTATAGATGAATTTCAAAAGATTTTAATTTGAAATTTTATAAAATTTTAATTTTCAATCGTCTTAAAGAACGTAGATTTTTGAAAAATTTCAATTATTCCAATTCTTCTGAAATTAGTTAAATTTTTTAATATATATTTTTAATTGATTATTAAAAAGTAATGGATTTATAGAAGAATTTTAATTAAAAAGACTAAAAGAAATTGAATTTTGAATCAATTAGGTACAAATGATTGCAGAAATTCAATTATTTTCCAAATTAGTAAAATTCTTCTTAGAAATTCAATTATTTCCATCAATTTTAATAAAATTCATGTCAAATTATTTTATATTATTTTTTATTTCAATTATTTTCAGAAACTTTCCTCAATTCAATGATTTTTAATAAATCTACTACTTTAATAAAATTTTCCAAAAGAATTCAATTATTAAAAAAAAAATTTTATAAAATTCTACGCAAACATTTCATTATTTTCATAAATAATAAAACTCATCTCAGACTTTCAATTATTTTTAATACAATTTTAATGAAATTCCTCGAAAATGAAATTATTCTTAAAAATGTTATTAAAATTCATCAAAGAAATTCAATTATTTAAAAAGACATTTTAATAAAGTTCATCTCAAGAATTCAATTATTTTCAAAAGTAATATAATTCTTGGCAGAAATTTAACTCTGTTCAACAATTTACAAAAATTCTTGTCAAAATTTCAATAATCTTTATAAATTTTTCTCCGAAATTTAAATATTTTCCGAAAAATTTTAATAAAATTCTTGGCAAAATTTCAATTATTTTCAAAAACTCTTATAAAAAAAAAGTTTTAAAAACTCTTTTCTCTTTGGAGAAATTTAATTATTTTAATCAAATTTTAATCAAATTTCCGAAAAATAAAATTATTCTTAAAATTTTATTAAAATTTGTCCAGAGAATTCAATTATTTAAAAATTTGTTTGATAAAATTCTTCATGAAAATTCAATTTTAAAAAAACATTCAATTATTTAATAAAATATTTATTTTTGTATTTAAATAATTGAATTTTACTAAAAATTTTTAAAATAATTAATTTTCTGTGAAGAATTTTATCATTTTTAAAAATAATTGAATTTCTACGGAAATTTTATTAAAATTTTTGAAAGTAATTGAAATTTCTGCATAGAATTTTATTATTGAATTTTTGTCAATAATTTTACTAAATTTTTTGAAAATAATTGATTTTCTGTGAAGAATTTTATTATTTTTGAAAATAATTGAATTCTTGAAAATAATTTTAGAAACATTTTTAAAAATAATTGAATTTCTGCGTGAATTATATTAAAGTTAAATAATTAAATAATTATATTAAAAAAATTGATTTATTGGAAAAATTTAATTACAATTTTTTTTAAAAATAATTGAATCTGTTAGAGAAATTTTATTAAACTTGCATTGAAAATAATTAACTTTTTGCAAAAAATTATATTCTTTAGAAAGAAAATTAAATTCTTGTCAAGAATTTGATTTAAATTTGGAAAATAATTGAATTTTTCGTAAAAAATTTTATTAAACTTATTGAAAATAATTGAATTGAATTGAATTTTTTGCGAAGAATTTTATTATTTTGGATAATAATTGAATTATTTCGAAGAATTTCATTAAAATCTAAAAAAATTGAATTTTTGTAAAGAATTTTATTATTTTTGAAAATAACAGAATTCTTTCAAGAAAATTTGTTATTTACGAAAATAATTAAAGTTTTATGAAAAATTTTATCAATTGAGTGCTTGGATACAACAAGGGGACGTACGCTCGGCGAGCCGCTTTAAAGTCAGTCAAAGGTACCGTAAAGTGTAAAAAATGAAAATTCAAAATTTTGAATTTTGAAAACTGCCATCTTATAGGAAATAAAAATGCGCATCTTTTTTTTCTTTGAAATTTCTTTGAATAATTAATATTTTTATATGATAATGGAAAAAATGTGATTAATTTTCAATGTTAAATTTCATTGAATTTTAAAATATAAATCGTCGTATCTCCGACAAAAATGAATGAATTCTTTTGATTTTTGGTATACAAATGCATTTGGACCTATAGAAGACGACAATATCACGAAAATGTTAAAAGCAATTAATTGTTTATTGATTTTTAATTGTTAATACTGACCGGTCAAAAATAATTTTTTCTTATCTTTGGCTGCAAAAAGTATGCGGGGAACTTTAAAATTCAAACAACTTCCAGTGAGACATTTGTTTATTACGATGTGAAGAAGTTTTCTGTAAAATTGCAGAAAGATTAGTTTTATATTTACAGAAATACAATAGTTTTAAGAAAAATGCTCGCGCCGCCAACGATCCCTACCGCACAGATTTTAAGGTTAGTTGCACGGTAAAGTTTTATTTATGTATAAATATATGTGTGTAATATTTGCATTGAATTATTTATTAACTATTACATACTATACAACATAGGTATACACTTTTTTAATAATTTTGTAAAACATTATGTGTATGAATATAAATATTACAAATAATTCTAGCAGTATTTAATTAAATTAAGATTAATATCTGTGTTAAAAGAAATGTTTTTATTTTAAACATTATTAAATTTATAAAACGTTTTTAGATGTTAATATTATTGTTTAAAAACTAGGAAAAATTTTTATTTTAAACAATTTTTGACAATTGTGATATTTTGAACTATTATATTTTAATAGATATTATTAGATTATACTAGATTCAACATAGTATGTAATTAAAAAGGACATTAAGTGTTGTTGCAGCATATTGAGTAATAGTTTTAATACATTATAGAGTCGATAAAAATTGAGTTGTAAATAAACGATATACTAACAAAAATAAATATCAGAAATAATCTTAATTTAATTAAATATTGCTAGAATTATTTGTAATATTTTTATTCATACACATAATATTTTACAAAATTATTAAAAAAGTGTATACCTATGTTGTATAGTATGTAATAGTTAATAAATAATTCAATGCAAATATTACACACATATATTTATACATAAATAAAACTTTACCGTGCAACTAACCTTAAAATCTGTGCGGTAGGGATCGTTGGCGGCGCGAGCATTTTTCTTAAAACTATTGTATTTCTGTAAATATAAAACTAATCTTTCTGCAATTTTACAGAAAACTTCTTCACATCGTAATAAACAAATGTCTCACTGGAAGTTGTTTGAATTTTAAAGTTCCCCGCATACTTTTTGCAGCCAAAGATAAGAAAAAATTATTTTTGACCGGTCAGTATTAACAATTAAAAATCAATAAACAATTAATTGCTTTTAACATTTTCGTGATATTGTCGTCTTCTATAGGTCCAAATGCATTTGTATACCAAAAATCAAAAGAATTCATTCATTTTTGTCGGAGATACGACGATTTATATTTTAAAATTCAATGAAATTTAACATTGAAAATTAATCACATTTTTTCCATTATCATATAAAAATATTAATTATTCAAAGAAATTTCAAAGAAAAAAAAGATGCGCATTTTTATTTCCTATAAGATGGCAGTTTTCAAAATTCAAAATTTTGAATTTTCATTTTTTACACTTTACGGTACCTTTGACTGACTTTAAAGCGGCTCGCCGAGCGTACGTCCCCTTGTTGTATCCAAGCACTCAATTATTATTATCAGTTAATTAATTTTTTATTTACAAAAAAAAACTAAACTCTACCTTGAAATTTATTTATGAAAATTCAATTTTAAGAAACATTCAATTATTTAATAAAATATTTATTTTTGTATTTAAATAATTGAATTCTCGCAGAATTTTTTAATAAAAACTAATTTAAAAATAGATTTCAGTTAAAATTTTAGATTATTATTGAATATTAAAAGCAATATAGCATAAATTTTTAGAAATAATTGAATTTCCAAAAAGTTTCAAATTAAAATCTTTGAAAATTTGAACTTTTCGTACTTTTTGATTAACAATCCTGTAGAATTAATTTTATAAAAAAGTTTAATTGAATTTTTCTTTAATTCTTCATGTTTTTATTTTCTAATATATATTTAATTGAAGAATGTCAGAATAATCGAAATTGAGTAAAAATTAATATTGAAAATAATTGAATATTTACACAAAGAATTTTATCATTTTTGAAAATAATTGAATTCTTGCTGAGAATTTTATCAATTTTGAAAATAATTGAATTCATGTGAAGAATTTTTGTCAATTTTAAAAATAATTGAATTATTTCGATGAATTTTAATCATATTTTTGAGAATAATTGAATTCCTGCGAATGATTTTATTATCTATAAAAATAATTAAATTCTTGACAAGATTTTTAAGGACATTTAGAATTAATTTTTCTCAAAAAGTTTAATGGAATTTTTTTTTGTAATTATTTGAAGTTTTTAATTTCTATTTTATTTAATTGAAGAATGTGAAAATAATCGAAATTTTAGGTAAAATTGAATTGTAAACAAATGGATTTAAAAATTCTCAAAGAAGAACATTTTTGAAAAATTATTTTAAAAAATTGATTTAAAAAAGAATTTTAGTTTAAAATTCTAGAAATGAAGAATTGAATTGAAATGAAAATAATTTTGAAGAAATTCCAGTAATAATATTTTTATAATATAAAATAAAGATAGTATCAAGTTTTAATGATTATAAAACATGAAGAAAGCGATGACTCCGAGTCGAAGACTCGGAGTAATCGATTTCTTCATGTTTTATAATCATTTTTTGCAAGTTGCTTAATTTCAAAAAAGTTTGAATTTGAAATTTTTGAAAATCTTATGGAAAAATTATAATGACTAATTATTTAATTTTGTAAAATATAAATGTAATTTTAAAAATCTGGAAAAATTCCGTTTTTTAACCTGGAAAAGTCAGGGGAATTTGAAATGAGGAAAAGCGTAGCAACCCTGAAATTATATATTCAAAATTTACGGGTAAATTTAGAATGAAAATGAAATAAGTAAAAATACCAAAAATTGTAATAATAAATTTCTAATTAATTAATGTTTGTTTTGAACATTACACAGGTGATTTGATGTTTCAAATACAAAGAGCGAGGAAATTTGAGGAGAATCGAGCCCGATTTTACGCGGCCGAAGTTACGTTAGCATTGCAATTTCTCCACAAGAATGGAGTGATTTATCGCGATTTGAAATTGGATAATATTCTATTGGATCAGGAGGGTCATTGTAAATTGGCGGACTTTGGAATGTGTAAAGAAGGAATATTGGATGGTGCAACAACGACAACATTTTGTGGCACACCCGATTATATTGCGCCAGAAATTTTACAGGAATTGGAATATGGTGCGAGTGTCGATTGGTGGGCACTTGGTGTACTTATGTATGAAATGATGGCTGGCCAACCACCATTTGAAGCCGATAATGAGGACGATCTTTTTGAATCGATTCTTCACGATGATGTTCTTTATCCAGTGTGGCTCACCAAAGAGGCGGTATCAATTTTAAAGGGTTTTATGACGAAAAACCCGGCCAAACGATTGGGATGCGTCACGGCGAATGGCGGCGAGAGTGCAATTAGGACACATCCATTTTTTCAATATATGGATTGGGAGGCACTTGAGGGGCGAAAACTGAAACCGCCATTTAGACCAAAAATCGTAAGTTTTCATTGTTCATCTTTTTTCGATTGTTTTGAAATTTTTTCATCTATCTTTCATTTTTTTTTCGCAATTTATAGACGAAGAAATTCTTATTCAAAGAAATTTTACTCTATTTTGTAATTTTTCTTTAATATTTATCCATTATTCTCTTTATTCATTATTTTAATTTTCTATATTTAATTTTTTATTTATAATATTTTACATTTAGTTTCTTATTTTTAGTCTTTTATTTTTTTTTCTATTTTATTATTTTTCTGTATTTGAGTTTATTATTTATTACTTCAATTTTTCATTTTGAAATTCTTTCAAGAAGTTTAAATAAAATTGTATTGCAAATAATTGAATTTCTGCGAAGAATTTTATTATTTATGAAAACAAAATTGAATTCTTGCAAAGAATTTTAATGAAATTTTTCAAAATAATTAAATTCATGTGAAGGATTTTATTCACATTTTTTTAAATTAATTGAACTGTTTCCAAAAAGTTTATTAGTATATAATTAAAAATTAATTAAATTATTTAGAGGAATTTAATTAAAATGTTATTATAAAGAATTGAATTATAAACAAATTTCAGCGAAATTTTTGAAAATAATTAAATTCCTTAGAAAAATGTGATTAAAATTATATTGCAAATCATTGAATTCTTGGTAAGAATTTTAATGAAAAATACTCTGAAAATAATTGAATTATTTCGCAGACTTTTATCAAAATTTTTAAACATAATTTAATTAGTTCATAAAATTTTATTACAATAACAATCTTTAAAAAGTAAGTGGATCGTTTGAGGAAATTTTTATTAAAATTTTTGTAATTAATTGAATTGTTTCAAAGTATTTTGTCACAATTTTCAAAAATAATTGAAATCTTAGGAAGAATTTTATTAACATTTTTTGAAAATATTTGAGTTAATTTGCAAGAGTTTTATTAAAACTTTTAAAAACAATTAAATCCTTTTGGAAACTTTAATTGAAAATGGATTTTAAAATAATTGAATTCCTGCGAATAATTTAATTATGAAAAATTTTAATTATGAAAAGAATTGAATTTTTGTGATGCATTTTATTAAAATTTTTTCGTAAATAATTGAATTACTCGCAAGAATTTTATTAAAATTTGTGTAAATAATTAAATTCTTTTGAAAAATTAAATCAAAATTTAATTAAAATCAGTTGATTATCTACGAAGAATTTGATTAATTTATGAAAAAAATTGAATTCTTGCGAAGAGTTTTATTAAAATTTTTCAAAATAATTGAATTTCTGTCAAGAATTTTATTTAAATTCTTGTAATTAATTGAATTGTTTCGAAAAACGTCATTGAAATTGTATTGAAAATAATTGAATTTCTGGGAAGAATTTCATTACTTATAAAAAAATAATTGAATTCTTTGGAAGAATTTTACAAAATTTTTTTGAAAATACGGATACAACTTGAACTATTTCAAAGAGTTTTATTAAAATATTTGAAAATAATTATATTAAATCGAAAAAGTTTATTGAAAATAGTAGAATTCCTACGAAGAATTTTATTATTTATAAAAATAATTGAATTTTTTCGCAGAGTTTTATCAAAATTTATAAATATAATTAAATTCGCTCATAAAACTTTATTACAATTTTCAGAAATAATTGAATTTTTTAAAGAAATTTTTATTAAAATTATATTTAAAATAATTAAATTATTTCAAAATGTTTTATCACATTTTTTAAAAATAATTGAATTCTTCTGAGAAATTTTATTATTTTTGAAAATAATTGAATTTCTGTCAAGAATTTTATTAAAATTTTTGTAATTAATTGAATAATTGTTTCGAATATTTTTATTAACATTTTTGATAATAATTAAATTCTTTCGAGGATTTTAATTAAAAATTTTTTTGTAAAGAATTGAAATTATTTAAACAATTATTCTCAACAAAATTTTTGAAAAATGGAATTCTTTCGAAAAATTTTATTAAAATGGTATTGAAAATAATTGAATTTCTACGAAGAATTATATATTTTTTGAAAATAATTGATAATCGAATTCTTTCAAGGAATTTATCAAAAATTTTATTGTAAAGAATTAAATTCTATTAATTGAAATTTATCAAAAATTTTATTGTGAAAAATTGAATTCTATTAATTGAAATTTATCTAAATTTTTGAAAAAATTGAATATTTACAAGAGTTTTATTAATAATTTTTGTAAATAATTACATTCTGTTGAAAACTTTTATTAAAATTTTATCAAAAATAATTGAATTCCAGCGAAGTATTTTATTATTTATGAAAATAATTAAATATTTGTAAAGAATTTTAATAAAATTTTTTGGAAATAATTTAATTGTTTTGTAGAATTTTATTAAAGTTTTTTTTAATTTTTTCCCTGATCAAAGTAAAGTTCAATATTTTGTTCAAAATTTTCACTTAAAATTCTTCAAAAACTGGATTATTTTTAAAAACTTAAAAAAAATTCTTCAAAAGATAAAATTTTTTTCATACAATTAAATTTTTAGAAATTTAATTATTTCTAAATATTGTAGGTAACAATTGCCAATTTTTTAAAATTTGCAATTAAAATTCTTCTCTAAATCAATTATTATTTTTAATAATTTTGCGAAAGTTTCCCTGGCCCTGTAATCAAAAAAATTTTATTGTATTTTTCGAACAATTTCAGATTCTTTTTATTTTGGGTAATATTTGAAAAACTAATAATAATAATAAATAATATTATTATTCATTATTAATAAACTCACGAGTGTTGTTGATTTCTCTAAATTAAGAGGAATTTTTTTTCACTAATTTAAGAAACGAACATTTTTTCATAATTTTATTTCTGTTAGAAATTAATTGTTATTCTTTTTTTATTAGATCACAATTACTTTTGGGTAAAACAAAATGGTTAATAATAATTATTTTGAAAATTTTGAAATTGTAAAATTAACATTATTCTCAATTTATAGAAAAGCAAGAAGGACGCCGTGAATTTCGACGCTGAATTTACGAGAGAAACACCTGAATTAACGCCAATTAATACAGATATCGTTCCCTGTATAAATCAAGAAGAATTCAAGGGTTTCTCATTCGTGAATAAGGACTTCAATCCCACTAGATTTGTGACGCAATAAATTTTCCTGGAGAGTGGAAAGAAATCTGAAAACCAAGAAAGGAAAGGATTTTTTCAAAGAAATGAAAACAAAGAAAATCGCCTTCTTTTTGTCTCCAGATCAGCTCATTTCAATTCGCGAGCATTTCCTCATGGAGGCATTAAAAAAAATTCATAAACAAGGTGACAATTCAAAAAAAAAGAAAATTCTCTTTGCAATTATTTATTTGAAGAAAAAGTAATATCGCGACAAAAACCAAAAATGCCCATCGTATCTATTTCCAAAAAAAAAAAACATTTTTCGATGGAGCCTTAAACGCGTCAAGGTGACACTTGTCACGCGAGTCAAGAAAGAGAATTTTTTTTCTTTTACCAATATTTTACAAAATATATAAATATATTGGTTGTTTTACAAAATATGAGAGTTATAGGAGAATTAAATATAAATTGTTATTGAAAAAGAAAAAAAAAACCAGTGCACATTCTCGCACAAAAATATTGGATACGAAAAAATAGAAGGAAAGAGATTTTATACGCGATTTTTTTAAACTATATTTGCGAATCGAATGTCCTTCTTTATCCGTTCACAATACTCAAAAAAAGAAATTGTTTTTTTTTAAATAATGAAAAAAAATCGCTGGGCGATTACAACGAAAATAATTCTTTGAAAAAAGAAGGTTCGTTCTTTGATTCGCAATTTTTTGTCAGTTTTTTTTTCTCACGGATCGCTTTTCGAAAAAAATAGATTAAAAAAATTTTTAGTATTAAAAAAATAGAAATTTCGATGAACGTGCGATATTTGTCGTTTTTTTTCAAGTTCTCGGAGTTTAAGATTGAAAAGAGAGAAAAATATTTAGAAAAGTGTCGCAATGACCACAGGTGGTCTATCAGAGAAATATAATAGTTATACAATTTAAATTATTTTAGCAATTCTTACGCCTAAATACAACATAAAGAGGCAAATTCAAATTTTTTTTTGGGAAAAAAGAAAATCGATGCAAAAATAATAAATAAGCGTTTGTCTCTATAGTTAAATGTATTAAGGCTTTGATTGCGAAAAAAAAAAACTAAAAGAAACCAAATGTTAATCAGCGCACGTGCGGAAACGTCCAGTGTCCAGAATTTCGACCAAAACGTTTTTCGTTACATTCACTTCCATTTGTTAATTATTAATTTTAGAGAGAGAGAAAAAAATAATCTCAGTTTTTCTAGTCTTACCAGCGTAACGTTCGCGCACGTTCGCATTATATTTACTTAAAAAAACAAACAAAACGTCGCAACTAAGATACAAAAAGATAATTTTAATTTTTTAGAATAATTTCCAAAAAAAAGAATCTTTTTTTGGGGGAAAAAAAAAATTATTCACAATCTTGTACATAATCATCGAGTTCTGGGTTTGAACGGGATTTACAAATTCGGCCATTGGTTCAAACTATAATTGACGCTCGAAAAGTAAAAAAAAAAAAGTGTGGGAACGCTTTTTACGGACAACTCCTGTGACTATTTTATCCTTTTGATGCTTTAGTAAATTCTTAGAAAATCTCTCGAGTGGGTTGCCACGCTTTTGCCGATTTCAAATTCCCTGACTTTTCCAGATTAAAAAACACAATTTTGCAAGGTTTTTAAAATTACATTTATATTTTACAAAATTAAATAATTAGTCATTATAATTTTTCCATAAGATTTTCAAAAATTTCAAATTCAAACTTTTTTGAAATTAAACAACTTAGAAAAAATTATTATAAAACATGAAGAAATCGATCACTCCGAGTGAGTAATTCACTTTTTAAAATTCTGCTTCTTTTGCAACAATATTTCAAAATTATTTGCAATCTATTAATTTTTGTCGAAAAAGAAAATTTTTGAAATTCGAGTGCAAGGAAAAAAGTCTTTTTTAAGAAAGGAGAAAAATAGATGTTGTGATCGTGTTGTCATTTTTAGCTAATTTTCTCTAGGAAAAAAATAATTAATTTAGTATTTTAAAGGCGTTCATGTAGCTTTATACTATCGTTCGAGGTCTTCCTTTAATTTCAAGTCTGGACTTGAAATTCGGGATTGTGCCTTTCGAATATTCTCGATTTGACAGAAATTCGAAAATGATTCGAGCCGATTCGATGTACAATCCACAAAAAAAATTAAAAACATTGCAAAAAAAAATTCAAAAATGGCAAATATTTTTGCAATTGTAAAATAAAAATCAGCTGGAATCAATTTCGAAAATATTGTCATCTTCTTTGGGCAAAATACTTTCTGCGTTTGAAAGTATACACAAATTTGAAATTAGAGAAAAAATATTTTCCGAATAAATGAAAACAAGTACCTCTTCTCTTCTCGATGCTCTTGATTTTTTTTTTGTATTTATTTTCATCGAGAGAACCGTCTAGTCGATTTTAGTTATTCAGGGCTCGAACCAGTGAAAGTATTTGAAAATACGGACCAAACATTATTTTACATTATGAGAATATCGTTACTGTAAATTCTTCAAAATTATTTTCATAATTTCAATTCAATTATTTTTAATAATTTTCGAAAAAATTCTTCTTTTTAAATCCATTTCTTTACAATACAATTTTACGTGAAATTTCGATTATTCGGAAATTCTCCAATTAAATATAATATTTTGTAGAAAATAAAAAATTCAAATAATTTTTAAAAAAATTTAATAAAACTTTTTCAAAAACTTTAAATTGCAAACCTTTTCAAAATTCAATTATTGCTAAAAAAATGCAAAAGTTTTGAAAATAATTGAATTTTTGCGAAGAATTTGATGATAATTTTTTTAAATAATTGAATTCCTGATAAAATTTTTAATGATAATTGAATACTGGAGAAGAATTGTATTACAATTTTTAAAAATAATTAAATTTCTTCCAAGATATTTGTAAACAAAATTTAAAAATAATTGAATACCTATACTAAGAATTTTGTTCTTTATGAAAATAATTGAATTCTTACGAAGAATTTTGTTATTTATAAAGATAATTGAATTCTTGTCAAGAACTTTATCAAAAAGTTTTGAAAATAATAGAATTTTTGCGAAGAAATTAATGATTATTTTTAAAAACAATTGAATTTTTGCTAAAAATTTTGTTATTTTAAAAAAAATTAAATTTCTGCGAACAAATTTGATATTTATAATGATAATTGAATTCTTGACAAGAAATTTATAAAAAAATTTGTAAATAATTGAATTTCGGAGAAAAATTTTGCCAAGAATTTTATTATTTTTGAGAATAATTTAATTTCTTTGAAGTTTTTATTACTTATGAAAATAATTGAATGTTTGCGTAGAATTTTGTTAAAATTTTTTTAAATAATTAAAGTCTTTTGGAAAATTTTATGAAAATAGTAGATATTGAAAATTATTGAAATTATTGAATTGAGGAAATTTTTGAAAATAGTTGAATTTTGGAGAACTTTATTATTTTCAAAAATAACAAAATTTTTAGCAGGAATTCAATTATTTTTAAAAATAATTAAATTTCTTCGAAGAATTTTATTACTTTTAAAAATAATTGAATTCCTGCTAAAAATTTTGTTATTTTTGAAAATAATTGAATTTCTGCGAATAATTTTATGAAATTTTTGAAAATAATTTAATTTCTGATAAAATATTTGTTATTTTTGCAAATGATTGAATTTCTGCGAAGAATTTTGTACTTATAATGATAATTGAATTCTTGACAAGAATTGTATTACAATTTTTAAAATAATTGGATTTTTCTGAAGAATTTTGTTATTTATCAAGATTTTTGTTATTTATTCTTTATGAAAGTAATGGAATTATTACGAAGAAATTAAAAAAAATTATAAATAATTGAATTCCTAAAAAATTTTTATTGCTTCTGAAAATAGTAAAATGTTTACGTAGAATTTTATTAAAATTTTTTTTTTTGAATAATTGAATTCTTTTGGAAAATTTTACTAAAATAGTAGATATTGAATTGAGGAAAATTTTTGAAAATAATTGAAATTTTGACAAGAATTTTATTAAAATTTTTGAAAATAATTGAATTTCGGAGATGAAATTAATTATTTCTAAAGATAATTGAAAGTTTGATGAGAATTTTTGAAAAATTTTTGAATCTAATTGAAAATTATTAAATTGAGGAAAATTTTTGAAAATAATTGAAATTTTACCAAGAATTTTATTATTTTTGAAAATAATTTAATTTCTATGAAATTTTTATTACTTATGAAAATAATGGAATTATTGCGAAGAAATTTATAAAAAATTTGTAAATAATTGAATTTCGGAGAAGAATTTGCCAAGAATTTTATTATTTTTTTAAAATAAATGAATTTCTTTGAAGTTATTATTATCTACTTATGAAAATAATTGAATTATTATAGAAAATTTATAAATAATTGTATTTCTGACAAATTTTTATTATTTCATGAAAATAATTTAATGTTTGCGTAGAATTTTATTAAAATTTTTTTTAAATAATTGAAGTCTTTTGGAAAATTTTTTGAAAATAGTAGATATTGAAAATCATTGAATTGAGGAAAATTTTTTTAAAATAATTGAAATTTTATCAAGAATTTTATTAAAATTTTTGAAAATAATTGAATTTTGGAGAAGAATTTAATTATTTCTAAAGATAATTGAAATTTTGTCAAGAATTTAATTATTTCTAAAAATAATTGAAATTTTGTCAAGAATTTAATTATTTCTAAAGATAATTGAAATTTTGTCAAGAATTTAAAAAAATTTTTTAACAATTTATTGAATTTTTGCAAAGAATTTTATTACTTCTGAAAATAATTGAATTTCTTCAATAATTTTTAACTTTTTCAAAATTTTCAAAAATATATCGTAAAATTTACGAACTTTTCGTCCTTTTTCAATCAAATCACGGACTTTATGGACCTTTTTTCAAAAAAACTTACTTTTACGAATTTCAAGCAAATTTACGGTTCTTTAGGGATTTACGGACCTAGTTCGAGCCCTGGTTATTCAATTTTAATATATAGATTTTCTTGAAATCAAATTAAAAATAGTGTCTTCTTCTCAGGTTTAAATTTTTAGTTCCATTTGAAAATTGTTCCAATTCTGTATTAAAAATCAAGAAGGAAAAATATTGCCCGTCATTCAGAAAAGGACATTTTTTCCATTTTTCAGTTTCACTACTTTTAGGATTTCGATTTAATTTTTCTGTTTGGTACAATAAAATCGTGTCGCAATACACGAAACTTATAGATTTAAAGGGAAAAAACCAAATATTTTCTAGATAAGTTATAAATATTGTTAGAAAATTCACTCATCGACTTTATGGTCTCTCTCTCCCTCTCAGTGATTATCTCCATTTGCCTTTTCAGAGTCCTCGAAAAAAAAGCAAGAAAAAAAAAA